GGCCGGACTAACACTCAAGGTCTTAAAATAATTGAGAAAAATATGCTGCCTTTTTATAACATCAAGAAATGGTTTAGATATTCTAGTCTTCTCGGATAGGGACGAATAAATGGAGGTCCCGTCTCCTGCAGGGTTAGGGGTAGGAGACGTTAATTTCCCATGCACGAGATTACTGTGTGATGGATGTCCTCCCCTGGGGTGGGATGGGTGGGTTGGTGTCTTGCGTTTCATGCACGAGCCTCTGGCTTGGGCAATATGGGTAACCATGCCCCTCGTAAAAGACATTAAACTTTGATTACTATTATTACATTCACAGACGTATGCTCGTGCACCCCAATACGCCTCAGGAAGGCTTCTGTAAAAAGGAAATCGTGGTTTAATTTGAAGAAATTGTTTGTAGAAAAATTTTGGTGACCGAGTCATATTGACACTGATATTCTGAATAAACATGTGGTCACTTTTTCTTTTATCTAACAGCTGTACTTTGGCCTTCAATGAAGGCAAACAGTTGCCATGGTTGTTCCCATGCGTTAGAGTTACATGACAGTAATAACGTGGGTAGTAATCCTGAAACAGTTGTATCAGTACACTCCAGCTATGTATAAATCAAGGCGGTGATCTTTCAACGAGAAGGCGTTACAACAAGGGTTACTTCGCAAACTCAAGAAAGATCCCTGATAAAATAACTTCAAACTATTTCTCTTGTTACTAAATATTTTCAATACTGTTCAGTTTTGATGTACACTGTTGGGAGTTTTCCCGTGTAAGCTCGCTAGACTGACAACTCGATTTGGAATACTCGTCCAAAGAGCTCATGGCTGCTCTTCATCTGTGGGGCATTCTTTGAAGAACTGCATTAGGGACATGTCAGCGGATAGCGAGGGTGTCAAGACTTGCCCTGTTGGTCTGGAGTCAAAATTGGACTTACTCTGTTGGTCTTTAGTCAAGGTTGGACTTGCTCTGTTGGTCTGGATTCAAGATTGTTTTTAGGAACTTTCCCACACAAAGAAGAGTGTTGGATTTCCCATTCACCGGTAAACGAAACATTTGTGCAGAATAAGCACTTTTTCAGTCGAGACCCCGCAATGGCTCTGCTTCCAAACCAACCCAAGAAAATAAGAATCAATCCAATTACAGCCACGGCCTTACAGAGGCGACAAAATGCTATTTATCGTTGTCAACACGGCCCTTTTCCATAATACTCCTCATTCTTGATGTCTCAAAGGCAACAACAAAAAAAGCACTTTTCTGAATATTTTCTTAGCCCATTGAAGAACTGTCCCTATCCAACTCTGGGCTTCACGCGCTTGAGAATTACGAGACTATTACGCGCAAACCTGGTGCGGAGGTTTAAATGTAACGATCACGAAAAACACGAATAAAAGACCTGCAGATTTTAACTAGCAGTATTTTATTATTTCATCTTTTGATGGAATAAGACACAGCTTTACGATGATGTGGTTTGTCGAGGTCCAACACCACCTCCTGGACGCTGTCCTTGAGGATTATCGGGCTAAAATAGAGAAAAAAAGAAACAAAAGAAAAAAAATTAAACCTTGGTGTTCAGTAACTAGCACTTTGATACGAGATATCAGAAGCACATAAGCTGGAAGCATCTAAGTACGTTAGTACCCCATATTCTTCAAAAACAAGCCAGAGGTTAGCCGACCAATCAGAAGCAAGGATACAATTTTTGCCCAAATGTTGAATGAGAGGCTCAAGAAGTATTTTCCTTCATAACTGACAAAAAAACTCACAGCTGTCATGAAAAGGCAATAAAAAGCTTCCAAAAATGAAAGATTAAGCCGTAATCTTTAACGGGAAATGCTGAAAACTGGGATAACAATTTCAAGGCAGTTCATGCGACTGTGAATGAATCATGAGGATTGCTTAGGTTATATACTTCTGGCCACGTTTCATGTAACTGCAACTTTAACAGTGTCAGGAGACAATGAAAAGTGCATAACATTTATTCCACAGTCAGCTCTCCCTGAACAAAACTTCTTAGAAAAGGCTAAAGGTCAATATCTAAATCGACCTCAAGATAATTATGTTTTTTTGTGGGGGGAGGCAGTTTCACTAAAGGGAGAGGAACGGGAGAAGGACTCGTTCATTGGACTAAAACAATTCAGTAACAGTTTGCAAAACACCTGAATGGCAAGAATGGAGAAAGAAGAATGACTATATGAAAATAATTAATGAAGATGACCACTGAATGTAAATGATAAATTTGACAAATGTAAGCTCTTTTAGTTGTACCAGCTTCTAGGGCTAGCTTTAGTGTCTCATTTTTGAAGGTATCCATCTTAGAAGCATTGAAATACATGCTTACCCTACGGGGGAACCTTGGAGGAGGGACCCTGATTTTTCTGTTTTCCTTGGAGCGATTCCTAACAACCTTGGAGTGAATTGCGCAGCTGACACAGTAGTGAAGTTTCACATACAGTTTTGGTAGAGCATACACTGAAAAAAATTAATTCATTAATTAGTTAACCAGTGTTAAGGCACAATTTAGAAAAATATTTACTACTTTGCTACTTATGATACGTATGATGCACGATCCTCGCAGTAGAGGGCGCTATTTATGCAATAGCAAAAATCAGACCTGAAAAAAATCAGGCCTGTACGGGATTCGAACCACTGACCTCTGCGATACTAGTGCAGCGCTCTACCAATTGAGCTAACAAGCCAACTGGGAGCAGGCCGTTAAGTTGATTCGTAATAAACCCGTGATGATAAATCAGATACAATGAATATATGAAGTTCATATATTTTGAACTGCGGTATTAGATACGTATGATGCACGATCCTCGCAGTAGAGAGCGCTATTTATGCAATAGCGAAAATCAGACCTGAAAAAAATCAGGCCTGTACGGGATTCGAACCACTGACCTCTGCGATACTAGTGCAGCGCTCTACCAATTGAGCTAACAAGCCAACTGGGAGCAGGCCGTTAAGTTGATTCGTAATAAACCCGTGATGATAAATCAGATACAATGANGAGTTTAAAGTGCACCTACACCCAAAAAATTTTTTTCGCTTAACGAAGTAAGCTTATTTTTTTGAGTATTTCTGCGCAAAAATTTTTTTATTTGCTCAAATCTTCAATTTTCTATGCCCAGTCAAAATACGGAAAATCGGCCGCCATCTTGCCCCACGACCGAGTTTAAAGAAGAATGGCTCTAGCGGGTAATGTGACGTCAAATCGAGAACACGAAAGTCTGCATCTCACACATTTTCACTTGTTTGGGAAGATTGTCGTCGATATCGTCCGAAATATGCCGACTAGGTGTGTTGTATGAAGATTGTATGGAGCGCGATACCCTCTTGCAAATTTCGCACGTTGCTACATCCTTCTACAACACACTTAGTCGGCATATTTTCGGACAATTATCGACTACAACCTTCCCAAACAAGTGAAAATGTGTGAAAAGCAGACTTTCGTGTTCTCGATTTGACGTCACATTACCCACTAGAGCCATTCCTCTTTAAACTCGGTCGTGGGGCAAGATGGCGGCCGATTTTCCGTATTTTGACTGGGCATAGAAAATTGAAGATTTGAGCAAATAAAAAAATTTTTGCGCAGAAATACTCACAAAAATAAGCTTTCTTCGTTAAGCGAAAAAAATTTTTTGGGTGTAGGTGCACTTTAAGAAAGGTTGTGTGATCTTGCTAACATGTAAAATTTGTGAAAATGCCCCACTCTGCTTTTTAGTTTTTGCAACCTAGAAAAAGAGCCCAAATAATCTTAAGCAGTTGTTCCTAGAGAAGCTGGATACAGTGGCATCAACATTTTAAAACCTGTGTACAAAAAGTAATATATTATTTAACTTCATCTGTTTTCTGTAACAGTTTATAAAGTTAAAAAGTTGCTGGTACACTTAATATCATTTCAAAACATCACTTAAGTAGAAAACTTCACTATTTCAGAAAATTTACACTCATGCTACAAATCTTACCTTCATACACACTGGCATCAGCTATATCCCTGACTGCAGCTGCCTCCACAATATTCCTAATGACAAATTTCTTTATAGCCTTGTCCTTAGGGACACAGCGTGCACAGTTTGTACAACGCACAAACTTGACATGCCCACGGCCATGCTTGGAACGTCCACAATTACGCCTCTTCTGGGTCTAAATAATAAAAGATAACAAAAATACTTTTAGAATGAATTTCTCCCACACCAAACAAATATTGCAATCATTGAAATGTGAAAAACATAAGAGCTTTAGAGAAAAATGTAACATAGCTTTTGGAGGGCTCTCCAAACTTAACAAGTTCTACATATTTCAGTGAATACAAACATGCAGTTGACAAAAGAATCAATCATTTCAAAATTTTTTCACAAGGTTTAGATGTTACACAAAGAGAAATTACCCCTTCAATCCTTCATTACACACAAACACATGCCATCAATGTGCAAAATGGGTGTACAAAGCAAATGAATGTGATAATGTAAATTTACCAGCTGTGTTACAACATAAGTGAATTACAGATACTACAGAGCAAGTTTTGTCATTGCTAGTCATTCAATCTTAACTTGAGTTAATATGGTGAGCACTGTTCAACGTCACTACGTGTATGTTTGTGAGGAGAAAAAATTCTTATAGATTCATGTACATCCTTATATGAAAGTAAATGCCTTTGGTTTGTTCTTTTGCCCAGTCAGGTTAACGCTTATAATTTTATCTGTAGAACGAATAAAACATTAGGCGCTAAATTGTTCATCACAAAATACTTTCGTACCATCGACTTCTGAAGCTTTTATTAGCTTCAGTATTACTTCACTGTAAGTGAATCTGACACCAACACACATTGCCAAATACAGCCGCAACGTTTAGCGAAAAGAATACCATTTTAAAAAGCAGAAAACTTTTATTTTAATCTAGCAATTACATGAGGATGGGGATAACCTAAGTTAATCTTGGACGATCGAGAATTAACTTCGAGGCAAGTGAAAACGTGGTTTTACATCCCAACGACAAATCAACATTAATAACCAAATTCTTGCTTCCCCGGGGAAGATACGACCAAATGTCAGCAGGGATGGTAAAAAAATAGCCTAACATATACAAAATACTCCTTCAGCTAGAATAACAACTCGAAATAACAGCGAAAAATTCCCAAAATTGAAGCTCTAAAATCACATAAAGCTCACCATGTTAATCTCAGGGAGAGGAAAGAGACCGATCACATGGAGCCCCTGATATTTGTACAGGGCCGCCCCCGAAATTATCTCATGTAATCGCGGGCTCGCGCAATAGTTTCGTCATTCTCGGCTCATTCACGTGGTTCTTGAACAAAATGGCTGCATCTTTCCTCAACAGGCTCGGATTTTTGGGTTTGGGTATCGCTTGTGTTGGTGGGGTTGTTAACACAGCCCTTTTCAACGGTAAGATGACGTTTTACTTAACAAATTTCTCGCATGCTGAGTCCAGGGAGCGATGGCCCGAAATTTAAGAAGCTGATCAAAGTGCATTTGACAGCTTTATATAGCTCGAGTAATTTTAACTTTTTAGAAATACAGCTAAGTTGATACGTTTTCTCTTTAATTATTTTCGGAATTTTTTCTTGGAAGCTGATTCATAAGGTGCTACAACTGAAACTGCCCATTTTACCCTTTCTTTTCTGCTTTTTTCCCTAAGTTAGTACTTCAACTTTATCCTTAGGATTTTAGGGTGGGAAAGCTACCTTGTTAGACAGCACCTTTTCAATCACGTGCATGAAAGTTCTGAGAATGAATCCTCTCAAAAGGGATCAAAAGTTGGAAGAACTCTTTTGGAAAGCTTTGTGAGAAAAGGTGTTCAGGCATTGTAGAATTCATTGTACCTCAAGTTACATAATCATCTTGAGTCAATTGACAACTATTAGGCTCCCCTATTATGCAGTCAGGCAAGTGCTGCCTGACTGCATTAAAGTTTTTACAAAGTCTGAATGCAAGTTCACAAGTGTAAAATGACCCATTCAAAGATGGTGGTCCTTTAAATTAAGCCATCTTGATGAAGGTCACTAGAAAAGTTACTAGTTGCCAAACCTCTGATTTTGAGCTAGGTTAAAGGTGACCTGATAGAGAGAGCAGTATCTAGTTAGCATGATAACAAAGCAATTTGCATCTGAAAAGCAGAAACATTTGTATTATAACAAGGTCACCCTTAGCCTTACCCCTGTGCAAAGGCTTGGAAACCAAGCATGCAACTCTAAAATTGACTATACAAGGACCCTCAACATTGATCTCACAATTTCACACTTTTTTTATTCAGTCAATTTTCAGATATCAATTTTTGTCTGACCTGCAAATAGCCATACAGTATAGCTATGAGTAGTCTAAGACTGGTCAGTAATTAAGATTGGGATAACTAATCAGAACTATCTAAGCTAACTGCCTGATTTAATTGTTCATTTGTTTTATTCTCTAGTTGAAGGAGGCCACCGAGCTGTATTATTTGATCGATTTCAAGGAGTCAAACCTGAGGTAACTGGTGAAGGAACTCATTTCCTCATTCCTTGGGTGCAGAAACCAATCATATTTGACATCCGTAGTCGACCTAGAAATGTTGCTGTGACAACAGGAAGTAAAGGTAATAACATGTCTGTAGACAGTGCACAGTTTAAGCAAAAACACTTGAGACTGGAAAAAGATTAACTGTGAGTAGTTGTATTTCTAATCCTGACATAACTCTTCTTTCAGATTTACAGAATGTCAATATCACTCTGAGAATTCTGTTTCGACCTCAGCCCCATATTTTGCCCAAGTTGTACATGAACCTTGGAGAGGACTATGATGAGCGTGTTCTTCCTTCCATCATTAATGAAGTGCTTAAGGCTGTGGTGGTGAGTGAAAAAAGTTTTCCTCCAACCCTAACCATCATGCTTAGCAGCCTCGTGCATGCATCCATAACTCAATAGTGTACGCTGTGTTGTTTACCATTTGTTTATTCAAAGTCACAATTTTTCCCCATGATTATTTTAATCTTTACCACTATTGAGCAGTCACCTCTATCAAGCAGTTGTGGTAACCCTTTTCTAAGTCCCAATGGCCTGCTGGTATTGTCCTCTACCTGTACTGAACAGTCACTTAATTAAAAAGGAACCTCTTAATTAAAAATGCAGATAATCTTTCAAGTTATTTTAATTCTTGTTTATCTCCTGAAATCATTGTTAGTACTATTTTCAAGTGAGTTTTTGTACATCAAGTGGTCAATTATGGCATAGAAAGGGAGTTTTGATTGTTTATTACAATACATGTATTCCTTGGAACCTGTATGAAGCAGTTAACCTGTTTTAAGCAGTCACAGCGCCATTCCCTATGTGTGACAGTGTTACGCGGTTAATCTTTTAGCGGACAGGTAGCTTGCAGACCAGACAGAACTCAGGGTTGTCGGAACAGCAACAAGAAGATGTATTCCAAAAATGAACATAGTGTCCACAAAGTAAAACTCTACAACAGCATGTAATTCAATAAAATTACACAGCCTCCACCGACTGCACTTAACTTGATAAATTCACACAGCCTCTGCCAACTTCACCAAACACAGCTTCTGTCAGACTTGACTAAACACTATTAACTTCAACTCTATTCACTGGTGAAAACTAGTTAAAAACTTCACCGGACTCACCTACTTATATTCTAACATAATAAAATTCTAGAACTTTCTAAACAGTCTAATTGTAGAAAGATTACAAAATATACTGATTAAGGAACACTTAAACAAGATACTAAAATAAATGAACTATGAACTCTTGCGAAGCCTCTAGAAGGTCATGCTAGTCACACAATACAATTTTTCATAACAGACAGCTTAATACAGGTTCAACTTTACATTGCAAAGCAGAAAGTTAATGAGAATTTAAATAACCAGGAATTATGGGAAATTTCCCTTCTCTGATCTCCTCGCAGTCAAATTGTTTGGCTCTTGAGGGAAAATGTCCTTGTGGACCCTACAGTGTAATATCATATGGATAAGTATTTTACATATGTAGATGGGTAAGAAACATGATGTTTCCATGGGCAAATTGACTGCAGGGGAAAATTTTGAGGAGCTGACATTTTGATAAAGTGTGCATTGGTATTTTACAGGTAGTAGTACACAAAGTACATTTATTTCAAGATGTGTTTTACTTAACAGGCCCAGTTTGATGCTGGAGAGCTCATAACACAGAGAGAATTGGTAAGTGTCCGTGCTTTGGATGAAGATACATTTAGGCAACAGCAGTAAATGCAACAGCATAAATGTACAGTTCATAAAAACTTTTTTATCCTTATTTTATCCATGAAGAGAATATTTCAAGGGAAATGTTAGGAAATGAATGTTGGGTATTCTGTGTGGTTGTCATTCCTGTTAGTAGGTTAATGAACTGGATGTACTTAACATTAATTTTACTCTTTCTAAATTTTTGTTTGCTGTAATTTATCAATAGATATTTATACATACTGTTACTATGATGTCAATTGCAGGTTTCACAAAAAGTGCAGGAGTTACTGACAGAGCGTGCAACGAGCTTTGGACTTATCTTAGATGATATATCTTTGGTGAGATCTAGTTATAATAATTTTTCAGTACTAAATAACTTGCAGAATTTTAACAACGACAACGTAAAATTATTTTTCCTTTTAATACCATCATCTTTGGTTATCAGAATTTATACCAGATCTGTTAAAAAAAATCCTACAGACTTCCTTTCAGAGGATCTGCAATCTTCAATTGTAATTCTTGTTTATGTTGATAACTCTTATGTTTCTGAATGAGGCACCTCCTTACATTTTAGACACATTTGACTTTTGGCAGCGAATTTACACAAGCTGTGGAAATGAAACAAGTTGGTGAGTAAATTATGGCACTGTTGGCAATTCTTGGGAAAAATGTTATACAATTTTTTGTGAAAAGTGGACTGTTCAGCTTCTAATATGTATGATGATCTTTCAGAAATAATCTGTTTACCTATTTAGGAAGTTATTATCAAATGTAACGTAGCTGGAGGTCTCTTGTGGATTGGCATGGTTTGGCTTTCACAAAGATGCACTCACTTGTAATTCAAGTCAGTTACATTAAACCAAACGGTTTTCTTATTACTCACAATGCTATGTCTTGTTACTTTACAGCTCAGCAAGAAGCAGAACGTGCCAGATTTTTGGTGGAGAAGGTAAGAGGGGAGAAGGGGAGTAACTGAAACCAATACAACAACAACAACAAACTTTATTAATTTTTTTAAAATTAATAAAGTTAGCACGCTAGTCGAGGCGAGTTGTGCAGGGAGAAAAAAAGAAGAGAACAAATTAATTTGTAAGCTTCAAATAACAGACTATGAACAGTAAAAGAAATAAACAAAGTAAAAAAAAACGGCAGTGGTTGTGAGGATTGGGTTTGGAAAGCACTGGGGAGGACTGGGAAAGAGGGCTGTGCCCCATTTGATATGAGAAAGAGATGAAGTTTCTGGGCAATTTTGTACACGTGACCTCATTTTCAAAATAAGTCTTTGTCACCAGGTAGTGTTCCAAACAAGTGTAATTGAGAAATCTGGGTCGAGAGAGGAAGTGATGTTAAAGAGTTAGAATTTGAGTTTTCAATGAACATAAAACAAGAATAGAGCTCGACACTACTAGCCAAGTGGCTAGTGACAACCTAGATGTTACAACAATTTCAGTTTGTTTACTAGCCAACCTGGCTAGTGGAAATCAAAAACCACAAGCCAAAACTGAATTCCTACTAGTCTGTGGCTAGTTGGCTACCGTTAGTGTCGAGCCCTGCAAGAATTTCGTGCTTCGAGAAGTTAGTTACCTTTCTGTATACGACATCAGCTGAGTTCTTTCGTTGAAGATGTCTCAGACACGCGAGTCTTGAATCGACGTTCTCTCTAACTTCAGCCGTCTCCCGCTGCAACTCGATCGTAATACACAGTGATAAGGTAATGACTGACACATGAATTGTGAAATCTTTGTCAAAAATCCACACTTATCTTTGAAATTGTGGCGCAAAAATTTGTATGGTGAAATTTTTGCCAAAAGTAGTCTCTGAAAAGAGAGTGAGAGAGAAAAAGAACGACATTGATCCTAAAAGGTACTTAAAACACGTTTAAAAAAAAAATGCAAGTTGGGCATTTACTGTAATGGGTGCTGCATGAAGAGATGAAACCAAAGTAATGTGCTCTGTGGTGTGCCAAGCGTATTAACTGTAAGCAACGCCCTTATTTCAGGCGGAGCAACACAAGCAAGCAACGGTGATCAGGGCTGAAGGAGACGCTAAAGGAGCAGAGCTTCTCGCAGACGCCTTTAAAGAGGCTGGCGAAGGGCTTGTTGTGCTCAGGAAAATGGAAGCCGCTGAAGATATTGCAGATAAATTATCTCGTTCAAGAAATGTTGCGTACCTTCCTCATGGACAGAATATGCTGTTGAATCTGCCTGTGGGTCGTCAGTAAGGATATGGTTAGAAAAAATGAATAGGCGGAAAACAAGACTGTAGTTAAGACTTCAACAAATAAGAAATTACATTGTTCGGATAAAGTGTGACTTGCCTTTGAGTTCGTATTTCAGACTTTCAAGCTTTAAAAGGAGTGCCGCCAAAAAGCAGGAAAAAGGTACGATGAAATTCAACAGATCCTAGCGTTCGTTTTCTTGGGTGAAAACTGGGGTGTTTACTTCCTATCAGAGTGTTTCGCTATCAGCTTTCACACTTGGATTTCAAAGTTTTTTTGCGGGATCGAGTCCACCCTTTAAATTATCTGTGAGCGAGGGTAAAATGTGACATTGCACAATTTACAATAAATCTTCTGATCAAAAATATACCCGCTTCTTTCAACTGTTGTCTTCTCGTGTTTCTTTCTGTTTTTTTATCTTGGACCAACCCTGTCTCATGATGTTTTTCGTCAGTTTTCATAGGAAGAAACCTTGCAGCGCATGATCCAAATCCCGTATTCGTTTTTTAGAGGAACACACTCCTGCTACAGAATCCCAACAGTACGGTACTGTGGTAATCAACACTGAATTTTTATCACAACTGAGAGTAATGTAGCAATCTCGTTGGCCAATTTACAGTTGTCGAAGAGTACAGACAGCATTGCACGCGTCAGCGTATAGTGCAAAACCTTATCAGCTCTCAAACATGGATGACTCGGAAATTTTGGCCTCGATGTTGTGGTAAATCTGATTTAATCGATCAACATAAAATTTCACAGCGAAGCCATAACGAAGTTTGATCAACATGCAAAGTCCCAGCCCTAATTTAAAACCCTTTACGCCCAAACATCACTATCCATATTCTCCATACTCGTCTTTATACATTCCTTTGGTGTTGAAATAGGAGACTGATTCGATTAACAATCAAGCGCTTCTTTAGTTGGTGATCATTTCCTTCATTCCCTTGGTCTTAATGTGTGACTCAGGGGTGATATTGTAAGGAGAAATTAGACGAAAGTCACTCAGGGGATCAGTGCGCAAAAGTGCTTTGACACTAAACAATGCTCATAATTGCTGCAAATCTCAAGATGTAGTTATATGGGAAAGAAAAACTAAAACAGCCTCGTTACGAGCATATTCCGAAGCATTAGTTTGATTGGCTTGCACTCGTACGTTTGTCGTTGGGCGAACTTCCTGGAAACATATTATGATTTTATCAGAATAAAAACAGAATATCTTCGGCCGTAAGAAAACTAGTTAAAAAAGATTTGGAAGCGAACTGCTTAAATTTGGAATTCGCATTACTTCATGGGACGATCTCACAAAGGTAGTTGGGGTGAGGTTACAATAGCCTGAAGAGCAGGCGTAACTTCATGGGACGATCTCACAAAGGTAGTCGGGGTTAGGTTACAATAGCCTGTGGAGCAGGTGTAACTTCACGGGACGATCTCACAAAGGTAGTGAGGTTGAGGTTCCTATAGCCTGCAGAGCAGGCGTAACTTCATGGGACGATCTCACAAAGTTAGTGGGGGTGAGGTTACAATAGCCTGTAGAGCAGGCGTAATTTGGGCGAGCGAGTGCTCGGTTTTTTTCTTAAGCAAAAATTCGCCGTCATCTTAGATTTTTATGGCAGCGGAAGGCTGGGGAGAGAAAGTAATTTGTACCAAGGGAGTGAGTGAGGGTCAAAAATAAGGAGTGGGGCTGGGGTGGGGGAGTGAAAATTACACCGTCTTCTCTTCCTTTCCCCGCCACCTACCCGAACCTTCCACTCTCACTCCGAATGAAACATGGCGTTCGGATAAACGATCTCGAGCTTATAACCTTAACTCGCCCTAATAAGACGCCTGCACTGCTGGCTAAGATTACAATGGAACATTACTACACAACAGACAGGTTTCCTTTTTTAGAGACAGTGGGAAAGAAAAAGTGCTGATCCACCCCAGCTTACTCCAATTTGACATCTTTTTTTCACAGCTTTCCAAAATGTTCAAACATGTAGCGAACATACAAAAGAAAAAACTAATTGATGAAGCATCAGCCTCTCGCTGCTAACCCTGACCTTAAACAGTTGGCTTTATTCCTCATGTGTTTTTTTTTTTTTTTTGGAAAGCGATGATCTGTTTTGCCCGGCGCCAGTTTGTCAAAATGATGCTAATCGATGTTAGGTCCCTTGGTGTCGACAGGGTTCAGTAGTGACCGATGAGTTGTCATTTTTAGCGAGCCGGGGCCTTGAAGTGCTCAGTCTGTCTATCGTGCACTTTTCGCTTTGTTCCACCGATGTAAAAAACAAACAAGTGCAGTCTTTCGTGACACTAAGACAAATAAAGGAATTAGAAATTGTCTCTGTGTCGCAGGAAATAGTTCCTGAAACTATGGAGACCAACGGTTTCCCTGAAAAACAAAGTGGGATGTAACATGTTTCAGATAAACGACAATAACCCTCAGATTGAACACAGTTCATTAAAAAATGAATTAAACTAAAGCTAAACATATAGCGACTGTCGTGGTTTATATTATTAAAATCTTGACTACTTATCCTGGAATCTTGCTTGTTGTTAAGCCGTCCAACCGTTATTTGAGCATCCTACTTAGCAGACCTGCTAATTATTGACACTGATATCCCTCGCTAATAAAAAAGCACCTTTCGGTAGTAAACAACTCTCTTAACACCGTATGATGCACGATCCTTCGCAGTAGATAGGGCTATTTATGCAATAGCGAAAATCAGACCTGAAAAAAATCAGGCCTGTACGGGATTCGAACCACTGACCTCTGCGATACTAGTGCAGCGCTCTACCAATTGAGCTAACAAGCTAACAAACTGCTTAACACCTTTTGGTTTAGTGACCTTCGTGTGTTACTATCTTTGGCAGGTTCTGTACATTATCAATTAAGTTCTTTTTCAGAGTAAACACTTCTTCTTAATTAAGCATGATTCAGTCCACAAAGGATAAATTCGCGTCTTGCCAAAATGCCACGTCTATGGAGCCATTGATGCTTTTATTCTTCTCTCGCGGATGGGGGTGTCTCAAATAAATTCAAGCGCAGGAAATTAAATACGGACCTTAAAAAATAACTTCTTTTCACCTGTTTAAAAACGACAGTAAGAAAGAAGGCCGATTTTCCGGCTCTCATCGTTCTTTTTAGGCATCACCGAAAATAAAAAACATGAAGGTCAAATCATGTCTAGAGTTTTTACAAAGCACCCGTCACGAGCCGTCTACAGATAACACATGATTTGTCGCAATTGCCTACTTATTCAAGGCTTAAGCTTCATTATCAAGAGCTTTTTTCGCTTTTAAACCAAGACTTGCCGTACATGAAAAAAACAATAATGCACTTCCAACGCGTGTAAAAAACTCACTTCTAGGGTTTAGTCTATTTAACGATACATAATGAATTAGGTTATAACTTCAAACAGTCAAAGTTTAGGGGCTCTTACAATTACAGTCCGACAAAACGAAAACCTCGCCGCCCAGTCCACCTGACCTTGATTGTTCATCAGTTTTAAAAAAGCCACAACTGAAATACTTTATTAGAAGGCGTTGGTAAAAGTTTCTTTCTAACCTTCACTGTATTTGTATCAACTTGAGTTAAATTAGAGTTACTGCTGGATTCAATATTAGTAATTTGGATTTTCTCGTGAGACAAGTTCGCATGCACTCGCCATAAATAGCAGAGTCTGGCAGATATCACGTTGCGCATGAGCAGTTAGCCAGTATAAGTGATTTTCCATAAGAGGCATGAATCAAACAGATTTCAACATATATTCATAAAGTACGAGTAATCTTAATCCGTTAGCTCTTAACTTGAAGAACCTTCAAAGTATCAATTCATCTGATATCTTTCACAGTTCTTAAACTTATTTTCGTTGAAGACTGCTCGTGTAAGTTGAGTGTGAGAACACTGGTTACGTCATCATGAAAAACAGAACCACGCTGTGTGTGATGTCATCCAGATTTTCGAGTCAAATTCAGCATTAAGTTCAGGTCAAGATATTACTTGTCACTGCAGGTCGTCACGCAAGAAGAAATTTTCATGATACACTACGAATGGGTACTTTTTGGTACATCAAAGCTACCAAATACATAATAAGTTATGATTGGCCGCCTGGGATGCTTTTCGCTATAAATTTCTCGCCCTCGCCCAAAAGTAAACGATTAACGTAAGTAGAGAGTAGTTCACCATTACCTTTTAATCGAGATTTTTCAACATTCTCCTCAATCTTTAATTTAACTAATGCATTCCCAATTTTATCACGTGTCCAAATTCATTGCGCAGAGGATATGTAACCAAAGGAGACGTTTCTGGATTAGATAGAAGTCCAATCGAATAATGATTAGACCAGATTACCCCCGTCTTCAGTTCGACAGGTTATCGACTTTGCAACCGTTAAGATTCAATCAAAGATCAACTGTTTAAACACCTGTTGAGCAACGCAGGTTGATGATTTTGACACTTTCACGAAATCGAACTCCTTCTCTTGAAAGTAAGTCCCTCAAAAAGTAAAATAGCCAAAGAATCCTTGCGAAATTAATTTCAGGGAACAAATTTTATGTCGAAACCTTCAGGCGAAAGGAGTGCGGCAGTTCTGGTCGACATGTTGATGATCATAATATTGACTCTGCACTTGGCCACTGAGGTAAATATTGTGTTAAGTCAATTTTAGCGAGTCATTTTTTAACCTTTTTACTAAAAGATGTTAATGATTATTCTGATATTTTTCTTTGCGAACAGAGTTTTTCTGCAGCTCATCACAAACGACAAGGGAAGTCTAATCGCTGTAAGTCAAGTAGTTCGACTCCACACTATGACCAATGCTGCTTCGGTTGATGCATGTAAAGTATTTGGAATTTAGGGCTTAGGCCCGATAATATTTGTCCATTAAATAAGTAAGGTTACTGTATAAAAACAGCCAAAAGTCTTTAACTTCTACTTGAATGATAACAAACTCGTTTTACAAATGACAGTAGGTGGAATGAATAATTCATACCGAGGAGTCTACACAGTGGATGACAAGATTAGCAAGCTAGATATACATAAATATATTTCATGGCTTCATGATGGCTTTCCAGCAAAGGGGAAAAATAAAAACGGGATTTAAATTTTTTCTGCGCACTAAGAAATAATAAGTGGCATATCAAAAGGCAGAATTAACTCTTTTCCCAAAAGAAAGGAGAGGAAAAATAACATGTTAGGGCTTTCTTCGCATTAGTTTTTCTTTTGGACCTGCTTTTTCCATTTTTTTTATTTAATATCAGACTGCAAGTTTTTGAAGCTGATTGTCCTCGTTTCAGTTGCCTGGATGGGAGCGCTTGGCTGCCAGCACATATCACATACACTAAAGAGCCCGAGTCTCACCTAAATCTTAAAAGGAAAATGAATAATAACTAAAAGTGCGTTCGAAAGGTATCACTCTTAAGAAACAATGACAAAAAACTGTATTAAATACAGAAAAGCGATTTCACGAATCTCGGAATTTTTCATTGATTATTATTGATCTGCTTTTCAGATGCCGTAATCAACCAAAACGGACCTCGCCGCAGTGGTATCTTAGAAATGGTGCAAACCATGCCCACATCGACCACACCCACTAATCAAGTGTCCGTGCATCTAAACTCGACCGTGCCCTCTACAAAAGATAAAACACGAAACTCTGACACTGTTAACAAAACACCTCCCAAAACAAAGTTGTACTCTGTAGTTAATAGTAAAGCTGTGAGTCACAGTGTGTCTGTTGTTCAGAATACCACAAACGGATTGAAAAACTTGACGACATATTCGTTTGATAAACCGAACAGTTTTCCACAGCCAACGAGTATTCCAGCAATCGATACATTGTCAGAAGCATGGCCAAAACCCATGGGAGCGATCAGTAACGAAATGGAGGACGTCGAAAGTCCACCTTCAATGCAGCCGATTGCGAACGAGATGAGCAACGAAGAAAAAATTCCCGGTATAGCTGATATTTCCGACATGGAGCGTATTCCGTTAGACTTTCAAGAAGAAGAGCCGTGGGAAAGAAGTCAAGCCACTGTCAGTCAGGTGACGCACAGTCACTCCACGCATGATCATGATGGCTCTGGTGTTGGTCATGCTGTGCGTAGGCATGTTATTCCTACTCCGCGTAGACGGAAGATGAAGTTAGCTGTTAGGGAAAGGAGTAAGATAACTGATACATATGTGAGAGGGCGAGGACATAATAATCCGAGAACTCGGCTGAGGATCAAGAATGCTATCCTTAAAGCTAGAAGGTTAAGAAGGAAAGGCAAGTTCAAGTCTGAGAATCAAATTCTCCCAAACCCCAAAGTTAAAAAGCTCAATGGGAACAAAACCTGTCCGCCTTGTTCGTTTGTAAAAACGAGAAAGTCAAAAAAGAAAATGGGAATTCCGCCTCCCGCACCAATCGATCCAATTCAGCCGTTGCTTGAGAAATTTGAAAAAGAGAAAGAAGTTGGTGACATTAAGGAACATACAGTGGACATTGAAAAAGTTAAACCAAATGAAGGAATTGATAAGCATTTAAAAACTTTGGAAACTCAGCCCGAAATCACATCAATTTCTGAACACCTTACGAAGGAACAAATTCAAGATATCGAGCCCATAGAAAATCATCAACTAGAACTCAATACGAACTGAGCAATTTTTCTTGGTTCGAACGCTGAAGAAAACTAAACCTCTTTCCATGTTTCCACAGGACTGCACAATTCTTTCATAGGCCGTCAAAAGCAAAGGGCGTAAGGAACAAATGATTTACACTTAATAGTTTCAAAAACGTTTTAATTGTCTAAACAAGAAATGACAGGAAGGTTTCAAAACATAACGCAATTTTTTAGACCTCTGACTAATTCACATCTAATCAAAGAGCAAAGTAACAGTGGCTTGTTTTAAAGTTATTTTTCACACAGCTCGTGCATGCGTGGACCTCTATTGAAACGTAAATGGCAGCCGGGAATTGGGTTTTTCCTCTGGTGCTTATTACAAACTTTTTATCAGTAGCGTTAAGTAACGAAAGCAAACACGTAGGCTTGCGATTGATTACCCTAACTTAGATATCCAAGACATCCGAACCACTTTTTCTTTCAATCTAAGCTAGCTCATCAAAAGTCAACTGAATAGTTGTATCAAAATGCTGTTTTTTCTAGTATAGAAATGTCTACCTAAGCACCCTAACACAAGCAACATTGTGTAACTACTCATCTCATCACAGAATACATCAAACGACAAAAATTTGAAGTTAGCCCTTCTTTTCAAAATTGCATTTATTGGTCAAGGTTTCTCTCCTTCAACTTTGATACTCATTTTCTTACGACTAGAGAGATTTCTAAAAGATAGCTCTAGGCATAGGAAACGTTTACATGTAAGGTAGCCTAGTTGTACAGGAATTTGGCCAAACATAAGTAGGAATGAAATTTCAAGCTTAATGCACGTGTTCTTTACCCTGATGATGAATGTTCCCAAGCGAACTCACAATGAGAACAGTGCACTTGGGATGAGTTAGACAAGCGCTTGCATTGTTCATCGACTGGATTCCCTTTCTTGAACGATAAGATTTACTGCACTTCTATTCTGTCAATGATAGCATCCAATAGCTGCATCACATCCTTTTCCAAGCTGTTATCGACTCCGGATTTTCCTTCTTCCGATCGCGCTGGTGCCTTGTTGTTATTATTGTTTGAACCATCGTCGTCCTCTGTTTTTCCACCGGAGGTTCCTGCTGACAATGTATTGATACCAGAATAGCTTGCTGCGATAACAAATAAAATGACGTTGAGATGTTATACAAGTGTTTCTGTAAATATATATGTGTAAAGCTTTCGCTGTGCATTATCGTTTAGTTTGAAAGCTAATAACCAGGTTGCCAGTCTCTCGATCGAAATCAGTCTACAGAATAAACTTCGCCCATGATTTTATCATATTTTAGAGACCAAATTGTGTCTTGAAAATCATGGAATCTGACGATAAAAGATCATCTTTGCTTGAGTTGCTCCTTTTTCAGTTCTCAATCAGTTTTACAGATGAAATAGCGTTATTATTTTTTAGCTGCCAGATTTTTCTCATTCTTAGATTCAAAAACCTGCTACCTTCGTTCGTGTTCTCCTCAGCCACACCATAGGGAAGATTTACCAGTGGTAAAGACAACCTGCTGCTACAAACAGTCAGGTCTGTGCTTGTCCTTCGTCGGGAGAGATTAGCCCCTGTGCAGAAGCGCCGAGATACGCCTGTAAGGACAAAATGTTAAAAACAGCTTAATTCGATCATCAAATTGCACGGAAGGAATAAAGTTCTCAACTCAATTTTTTAATTAGGTTTATGTGCGATAGCAAGCAAAAAGGTATAATCCATATTTTTGGGCATCTTTTATTTTTTCATGTCGTCCAGTCGCTGTTCAGAGATGACCTATTACGTCATGATGATGTAAGAGAGAAAGGGTATCAGTCACACAAGTCACAGATGGAAGGTACTAATGTCCGTGGGTTGAGCAAGGGAAAACATGCTTCGTGGGGAGATGGTTTACGCTTAAGATGTGAAATACATAGGGAACAAAACCTTACTCAGGGTTCTCCTACTGGGGCGTCTGCCTCCACACACACTAAGCACCATTTTGAACACGAACAGGTAACCTTGCCTGTACCGCTGGCTCATCCAACCGTAAAGCGGTGGATTGACGACAGCATGAAGTAGAGAAATAACACTTGTAAACACCACAACTTTTGTAACTGGCTTTCGGTCAACAATCAAACAATACACATTGTTTAGCTGTGAAGGATGAAAGATTAAACCAGGTTAGTTTATTGATTTTGGGTTAGTTTGTATGTCCACCTATGAAAGCTTGTCAAAACAGCGGTGAATACACTTTTAGAACGATTAGATGTTAATGGTAGCCCGTGACCTTGCAGGAAAATTCTGGTTTTTAATTCGATTAGTTCAGTGAGCACGCGATGTCAGTTTTTCCGTCCAAGGAAGCACAAAAGTCAGACTGTTATCAGATTTGGTTAAATATTAGTTCGGGAATCTCTCAGATATGAATATGAAAAGTTTTACTCGAGGCTGTTTTTTTCATTTTTTCTGTGTCAATGAACAACAAAGAACGCAGTATGACAAACAAACTTTATTTGATGACATACGCTTAGAGAACCTTACTTCAAAACGTAGACCGCAAACATCTGACGTAATACTCTCTTAGCGAGGCTGAGGAAGATAAGTGTTGAACGAAAGCGTTCGATTCTTATAGCATAGACACTTTGCAATCTTCTACACATTTAAACAGACCTTTATGTCGCATTCTGACATATTTTTGCATGTAAATTCAGAAAGCGTACGTTCTTTCAAAACCAGTTTCGGTGATCAAGCGTAACCGAATTACAGAGTTGCGTAAAGAATACATGTACCCTGATAAAGATTTTCGCACGGGACGAAGTAATTTTCCCAACACTTAATCGTTATGTTACGCCATGACAGTCTTTTACCCATAGAGAAATGAAACGTAGTGATAAATCTCCTGCCCACTTAGCCTGGGCTGCCTGTGGCTTATCTGAAATAAACTGTTCCTGTGTTTTGCATAACCACGATTTGAAATGCAGATTGTAGAAAGCTCGATGATTAAATTGATCGGTTTTGTTTTGACCTGTCGACTGGCAGACAAAGAGTCCATTCACTACCTTTGTTAAGCCGCTTAGATGACAATATTTACACTGCTTCTGGGCAACCCATTTTGAAAAACATCCGCCCTGATAAGTTCTAGTTCCTAAATTAAACTGAATTTCATTAACTTACAAATGTTTCAGCCGCACGCCATTACAATATAGACTCTTTTGGGAAGCTGTAATTTCTGAGTTAACAGACTTTCGAATTCAGTCATTCTTGCTGCATGGATCTTTTGTATGCTTATACCTCCAATCGTATGGTCGTTTACTTTAAATGTGAAAGGTATTAACTGATTCTTTATCTTTTATATTACCACATTGATGGTGTCTGTAAGAAGTCATTCGATTGTAGACCGATCTACTGACGAGATATTCAGAATCGCCACTAAAGATACCAATGATCACAAGTAGCGGACAGATTTTCTTTGCATTTTAAAGAAGCACGCCGGCGGGCTAGCAGTAGAAGTATTTGTAACATTTAGAAGTTAATTGACATCTTTCTCAGCTCACATTCCAAATGTATGGCCTGAGAGACATACGCGGAAACATCAAAAGCACGCAAATGATTATGGGAAGTTCACTGCCGGCGATTGTGACTAAGAAGTCAACAAAGGATTAAATGTTTATCAAAGAACTGTGTTTTCTTGTTATTACAACTGCTTACCTAGCTTTAATTTAAAGAAAGCCTTCTTATTTCGGATTTCAGTTTCATTAATTGTCACTTTAAATTGAATTGTTCACAGAAGCGCGATAACTTTCGTTAATTTTATGTCAAACAGTACTCACCAGGAAAGGTAACCAGCTAATGTAATAAACAACGACCACTATTGACATCATCTTCGTCAGCTTTCTCACATTTCTTACCCCGCTTGTTGTTCCTGGTGAATGCGTGTTATCACGGCAGTTTTGAGTGTCACGGGGTTCCTTTTCACCGCCTCCAGACATAAAAGTTTGTCGCCGAATAAACATTTTTCCTGAGAGCTTGATCGCAAAATAAGAAATTAGCACGGCTATCAACTGTATTGCACCAAGCACCTCGATGTAAGTGGCATACGCTTTGCCCAAGTCGTAGATCTGCGTAAAACACACTCCACTTTGAAAACCTGAATGTCCGACGCCAATGAAGGGTAAAATGGCGGAAAAAATGGAAAAGAGCCAAACTCCAAGCACAAATTTCTTAATACGCGAAACTGTTATGAGAGTATGGTGCCTGAAGGGCTTTATCAATAACATAGCACGTTCTAAGGCAATTACTGTGACCGTAGTGGCCGCAGCTAATCGAAACGTGTACACCAAACCAATGAACACATCGCACAAGGTTTCTGTCATGTGTCGTCTCATGTAATATTTCACGGTTGTTAGAAGCTGAAGTGCAACAATCGAGTCCAAGATGTCTGCTAAGGACAGCGAAAATAACAGAACGTCTGCAGATGTCCAATTTCGGTAGCACGCTAATGCCGTAAGAACCACAGCGTTTCCAAAAACAACCAAGATAATGGCAGATTGGAAAATCAATCCAAAAAAGAACGGGTTAAGATTCTCTTGTGATTCTGGAGTAATTGTAGTGTTATTTCTAATAAATCCAGTGGTGTTTTCACTTGTGTAGGCATCCGCTGTAGAAGTCGTAAAAACGGGCCAAGGCGCTAAAGTTGAGTTGTGCCACAGCGACGTGTTCATTTTCTCGGAGAAGTCTAGGTTACGGTTCACTGGACGTGGTTAATTGGAAGTAAAGTATTTGTGATGCACGTATGGTTTAAATTAGCCTCGTAGTGGTCGCCATTGTGTAAACATTCGGCCTTCATAAATGTTCCACTGAGACTAACGTCAGTAAGAACTAACGCAGTGGTTAACCCCATGTACCGAAAAAACCGCAGTAGCAGTTCAGAACGTTACACCTTAAGACAGCTTCTAAATGTCGAGGAAACTATTTGCAGTTTACCCCATTACTTAGTTTGGAGTTGATGTAACGAGTTTACAAGAGTCCCCTTCTAGAGTCTTTATTGACTGAAACAAAGCTTTTGACACCCAGCTAAACCATCATTAACATAATAAAAAGGATTTTTTTGTACATGTTTTATTTATTTTAAGATTCAGCTTGTTTACACGAAGTTTTCGCAGCTCTTAAAAAGCTTGTAACAATGACAAAAGTGAGAAATGTGTCATTGTTAATACAGAGTTGTGTTGATACAGTCCAATGCTTGAATAAAAGATATTTTGTTTTTCATGTTAGAATGTAACAGCAACCTAGACAACTGAATTGACAGCGAATCTAATGGGGCATCCAAAAGTTAATATGTGAATCATCTAATCTGTTATTGCATCATGCATCATTTTACTTTAAAGAGCGATCCCTGACAAGCACATCGGTGATTACCTTTTTTTTCTTTTGCTTTGGCGCAGGAAATCTTATTCCAAGGTCAGCTTGAAAACTTCGTTGTTAAAAATGTAAATTGATAAATGTTGTGCAGGTGCCTTCTTAGGGGTCCGTTTGAGAACCATGCCACCTAGTGACCTCATAAAATGTGGAAATACTCAAACAAACGAAGTTCTCATTCTTCTCCTCTCCAATTTTGTTCGAAGTGTTTTTTATTCTCGGATGTAAATTTGCATCGCTTTTGTTTAACTCTGGCTTTGTTTTACTCGCCGTACTAAGCAATAGCAACATAATATATGTTGCTATTGCTCCAATGTTGCGTTATCATCCTGTGACATAAACTTGTGCAATTTGAAGTTGGAAATGCATTCATTAAAAATTCAGGAAGATATAACTGGGAAAATTTAATTTTACACCTGCTCTTCTAAAAAAAAGAGATTGAATGCAGTCAGATCGGCGCTACACCCCGTTGGCATAATTGTTTCATATTTCATACATACTAAGACTTACACTGTGAAGTACTATTGTACTATTGTTCGTGTTTCTGATTCGGGACGAATCAATCCAATCTTTGAAATTTGTCGGTCAGTGAGAAAAATCTCATTATATATGAAATGAAAACATCACTCCATGGATAGTGCGTGCGAACAATTTTTATTTACGAGTTGCCATTCATCGAAAAAACTCACTGGTTCGGTTTTTTGATGCACCACAACGAGTGAATGAAAATCGTTCGTGCTCACTTTCCATGGAATTATCTCCATTTCTCATACTAAAAGAGAGATTCTAATTGATTTGCTAGATATCTTTGCGAATATGTTTTTTATGGATCGTAGACTTCAGCTGTTGGGCAAAGAATTTGCCTGTAAAAATTCAAGCTCCCAGCTGCGCGAAAATTTTCCTACAATTGTAGTTTTCACCGAACATTTATTTGTATTTTTGGCAGCGCCTTTACGATTCCAGTGTAAGACGCAGAGGAGTTTCAGGCTACAAGAAAAAGCAAACACCACAACGATCAAAAAATGCTTGAAAAAAGCAAACCATTCGTGTAGTGATTCTAGCTAGTTATTTGACATCACGGTCTCAGTATAACTATTGCCTTTACCCATTACGATGGAACTCACCCGAAAGATAGTTTATTTCGTGAATTATGAGCAAAATAGATGTTTTGAAAGATTTCATACTTGCACGAGCCCCGGGCGGGGGCAATTTGAAAACCTTTCAAAACATCACGAGTGACCATAAATTTCCATATACTCTACAAGTTTGAAAGGATCTTTGCATGTTTTACAAATATTCTTGCAAAATCCCTTTTAACCTCTCTGTACTCGATCGGCATGTACATCGATCGAAAATTGTACTCCTTTGAAAATTCTTGCATGCTTTGTGTTATCAGATTGTTCGTTTGCAATAATTGGGAGAAACAAACGGAGCTTATCGTTGTACGAGGTATTCTAAAACATCTTTAAAGCTTAAAAATTACGTAAGAGTGCAACACGGAAATTCCATGTTGCTGTTGTTGATGACTTAGTTATAAACTCACCATTGACCAACCAGGAACTGGATAGTTTGTTCAGTTTGTGATAAATAATGGAAATTGAACTGAGTGTAAATAACTGAAGAAGGTCTCTGACCAAAACGTTTTTTATTGAATTTTTTTACGTCAGAAGTTGTCCATCCTCGCAATTTTTTTAACTTTCTACGTTCGTGTTGGCTGTGAGGTTTGGACTGCGAATCTTTATTGATCTTCCTGGCGCGGTGCACCTTTGTTGGCTTGAGAGTTCCATTAACGACTATATATATATATATATGCAGCGGTTATAAATTAATGACAGGAAGATCGTTTCACAATTACTCTGAGTTTCACGCAGCTTGCACTGCGATCGTCAGAAGGTTTATTATCGATAATAAACCGTCTAACGATCGCTATTCGATTTCATGAAAAATTATTGCTAGGGCTAGATCATATTCCAATGCCACAAAACGTTGCAATTTATGCCTCACTGAGAAATTTTTTATCTTGTCTTATCCACATGAAGCCTCTTTAAACAAGCGAAGTGAAATAATATCCAATTGTAGACATCGGCGAAAATATATTCTCAGGTATTCTTAACGCTATTATCGGCGCGCGCACGGTTTTCAAGATTTGAATTTTTTAAACAATGCCATGTGATCACGTTGCTGAGTTAGAGTTAACCGTCACGATGCCTCAGTGTGTATGGAGTTTAACTGATGAGTGGATCAACTTTTGTTGGTCTACGAAACAGGCTGTATTAAAATCCATATGTGCGTCACTTGAGTAGTCCATTTGGAATGTTTGCAAAGCGAGGTCGTCTACCAAGCCACAGTCGATACCAAGGAAGAAACTAAAACGTACGTTGGCCTCACAGCGACAGATTTTAAGACTAGATGGCGCAACCACCAAATGTCGTTCAACCACGAGAGACGGCGAAATGACACAGAGCTGAGCAAGTACCTGTGGAAACTAAAGGAGAAGAGGGAAGACTATTCGATTTCATGGAAAATTATTGCTAGGGCTAGATCATATTCCAATGCCACAAAACGTTGCAATTTATGCCTCACTGAGAAATTTTTTATCTTGTCTTATCCACATGAAGCCTCTTTAAACAAGCGAAGTGAAATAATATCCAATTGTAGACATCGGCGAAAATATATTCTCAGGTATTCTTAACGCTATTATCGGCGCGCGCACGGTTTTCAAGATTTGAATTTTTAAACAATGCCATGTGATCACGTTGCTGAGTTAGAGTTAACCGTCACGATGCCTCAGTGTGTATGGAGTTTAACTGATGAGTGGATCAACTTTTGTTGGTCTACGAAACAGGCTGTATTAAAATCCATATGTGCGTCACTTGAGTAGTCCATTTGCTACTATATATATATTTAACAATTATTCCACGAGCGCGCGTTGGATATGAGATGATAGATAGCCAACGAGGCGCGTAAAAATGTTAAATTAAATTATTAAATTTTATTAAATTCTTAGCTCCCTTTTAATTTTAAGCTGACACGTACGCTTACCATATTTGTAGATTATGGTATATTGGCTGATATACCATAATGGCTAAGCCAATAAAAAGTCTTGAATTGCATTATCCAATGATCCAGTTTTTAATAAATATATATATATGTATGTAGAAAGTTGAAAAATTGCGAGGATGGACAACTTCTGACGTCAAAAATATAAAAAATTATAACAAAAAACGTTTCGGTCAGAGACCTTCTTCAGTTATTTACCATTTAACGACTTGCTATATAGATATATGTATTTAATTTACCATTTAACGACTTGCTATGTGTATATGTATGTATATGTTGAGTTAGAAAAATAGAAAGACTACGCTTTCATCCCTACAAGCCTGTTTCGTGATTGCTCACTCATCAGGGGATTTTACCTGATGAGTGAGCGATCACGAAACAGGCTTGTAGAGATGAAAGCCTAGTCTTTGTATTTTTCTAACTCAACATATATTGCGCTCTACTTTTATGTAGTCGAGTTTACAATATCTTCCCTTTTTAGTGATCGTGGTTCATTTAATTATTGTACAAGAAAATATCATTTGGCTCATGGCACATGAACAGTTTGTTTGCCACTCAGTAGAAGTGACTGAGGGATAATTCAGGTAAATCGTCAAGGAAAAAAATTTAGACAGTGGCTTTCAAGGGGCACGCTATTTCACTTTCATTTCATCAATTTCAAAGTCATAACGAGGGTTTTTTCCATCCGGATTGATCTCGTGTACCCTTTATTCTCCAGAGAAATAGTTTTGGGTTAAATTCTATAATTTTTTGATGAGACACCCGTTGTACAAGAGCCGCTTTTATGCTCAATTTTGTTCGTTTGAGTTTTCCCCACTTCTCCGGTCACTTGCTTTCACTATGTCCTTCTGTTTATGTAGCAAAAATACATTCTTTCCCATGATGGTTCACTTCAGTAAATTTTTGAGTGAATAGTATGCCTGTCTTCACCCCCACCCTAGAGATAAAAGTAAACAACTAAACTGTGACGGAGCCACAATATGAATAAGCAGCTCTTGAGTAAAAGCATTATAAACTTGCCATACAGCGATACACGATCATTTTCTCCCAATGTTATTCTTAGCGCCCTTCCAACGGTTCAGTTATCAGAACTATTTAGAACCATTTCATCCCAAACACCTTCGGATACAAAAAACTTGCTCATAAGAGAGTCGCAATGGGGTGGTGGTTTTTACGGCTAACAGCCGGTTAAATTTATGGCCAACGGAGTAATATAATTCCATTGTTGTCACCAGATAAATTTTTTACGGCTGTCAGTTAACGCCATTGAGCCTCTCTTATAACAGCTATGTTTTTATTTCGGGTCCTTGTATCATTGCATTATCTTTTGTGTCCTTTTTCCCACTGTTCTTTATCAAAACGTCCTCTCCCATCTCCACAACATTGGTTCCTCACGATCTCTGACACAATATCTTTCAGTTTGCTCCGCTAAATCTCCAAAATTTAAAAAATTTGCTCGTTTTAAAAGAAATGTTACGGCACAAAATAATGGAAGTGGCTGGGGTGAAAAAATCTTGTTTGGACCTGGTTTGTTCTGGTTGCAGTCATAGAATTGAACATTAATGCATTTGGCTAAAAAGTATGATATCTTATACTTTTACAACTATTTCGTGAATCAATATGGGGAGTGATAATCACAGTCATGTGGAAAATACTGAAAATGGTGTAGAAGCCTTAAAAAAAATGCCGTTGGTGATGGTTGCTATTTAAACCCACGACCGTCCTGAAGTAAAGGTCTTTTAAGGATTCCACAATATCAAATTAGAAAATGTTCATGTTCTCTTGATGTTTTTATTAATAGCGAGTATCAAACGATCTCCCACAACTACTGGCTGGCAGTTGGCTTGGCCGTTTGTTTAGTTGGTGAGAGCGCTGCATCAGTCCCATGAAACGGTAATGAATTCCATTCCTGTTCAAAGATAACTTTTTATTAGGCCTTTATCTTCACAGTAACTTAAAATGTTTACATGTGTGCAATGACCTGTCCTCAGTTAAAATTGTTATTGCGTAGTTCAAAATAATATGACTTTCATTTCATTAACCCTATCAGTCTTACAGGCAGTCATGCTCCTCCCACTGCAATAACCCAGGAATAAGGAGACAACTGAAGCACAAAAATAGCCCAAGGAAGGTGTCCGTATGAAAAGTTACCTTTTTATACAAACGTCTATCTGGCGTCATGCAAATTAGCGTGTACCCAAACAAAAAGTCCTCTATCCACACTCTTTATCCAAATTCGCAAATTAATATAAAGAGTGTTATTTCTAAATATGTTAGCTAGGGCTTTTTTGTATGTGCGTCTGTTGGTGTGTTTTTTAAAGCGATTCACATAGACATGCACATACCAACTTTGCCCCTCAGAAACTTTGCCCCCCAGAAACTTTGCCCCCCAGAAACTTTGCCCCCCAGAAACTTTGCCGCCCCGCCCCGCACCACTCCGCCCATTTTGACTACTATATCATGACTTCTGTACTTCCATTTTAGACCTAATTATTCGAATAATCTCTTGAAACGCCATTAAAAATTTAACATCTTAAGAAAACTTTGCTAGACAGATTTCGATGAGGTTGAAAAGAACCATATGCTACAAAAATATGTCGCACAAAAGATTGTTCAAAGTACACTTAACCCGGCAACGAAGTATTCGCCATTGACACTTAAGCCTACACAGCATATTTGTCGAACAATTATTCATTTGAAACTTAGTTTCTAAACGAACGTAGCGGGTGGAAGAAAACACATTTAAAAGGATCTATAAATTGGCAATTCTGGGTTCTGTGTCCTTATTAACATGTCAAGTCTTTCTTTTGAGAGTAGGATAAACAAAACATAAGACAGAGGTACATATTGAGACTTTTAGACACCAAAACAGCGTTATGTTCTTCACTCACAGGAAGCAGTGATAGGTAAGTAAAACTAGCTTTGGTCAGTACTTGAAGCAAACATTCACAAAATGAAGTGAAAAATTGTAAAAATTTAGTTTTGAACTGTTAAGTGTGTGAACAGGATTTTCTCCTTGTATTAAGTACTCTACGGTATAGAATTTTCCTAAAAATATTTTAAAGAAAAGCCTCATCCAATGTTGTCGTGATTAAAGAAGAAAGTTTGTTCGTTTCAATACAGAAGTCCTCTTTCGTTAATGTTGAAAAGAAAAAACTTTTATGCCTCTTAACTCTTGTATGGATTGCATACCTAATAAGCTAAAGGATCCTCTTATAACGGCCAAAAGTAGATTACCCAGTGGATTTCACCATGCTAGGCAGTTTGTCTTACTTTCTTGTTCGATACATTGATGATTTGAGCTAAGTTACAAATTTACGTTCTGTAATTCTCAATGTTACCAAGATCACAAATGCTTAAAAACGTTTCATCCCGATTTAGGTAATATTATACCTTATTAGTCTGTATGGTTGTTCTTTCCGTATAATAATGTTTACCTAAAGAAACGGGTTTCACTATTATTTTTTTCGCTACTTTTTAAGATAAATTATTGTCATGTACAATTTGAGGAGCTTCTCCTTTCTGATTTTTTTTCCTTTTTATTTTTGTTCAAGTTTTTTTTTTTTTTCACCCCCGAGAAACATCGGCAATACTCAGGCAAGGGTCCGTTCTGAACTTTTGAATTAAAGCAGTCTTATTTTCCGTTGATTTAACGTAGCTCTGAACAAATTTGAAGGAAGATCACCAAATCTCGATGGGCAATTCAACAATTAGCAAATGAGGGTCACCAAGTGAAAAAATAGGGTCAACGAACCCGCTTCTGTATTGCAGGAAAACAAATGAGCGCAAAAAAAAAAAAAATCGTTTAATTTCCCATTGAACAAGCGCGATACAGCACGCCGCTCGTGATTTGGCTTTGAAGGAGTCTAAGGTTTCAGTATTTCCAAAGACCACATGAAAATCGCCTGTATTCTTAGCCTTAAAGGTTACACGATAAAATACCAAAATGTTTGTACTTTCTTATTCGGTGGACGATTAAACGATTTAATCTCTCGAGAAAAAATTGAAGAGCTAGAGTCGTCATCATAATCGTTCGCAGAGGTTTCGAAGGCCCTGTTTACAAGCAAGGAGGGAAACCCTTGTGCTAGGGTTACCCAAGCAGGCGGGTCAAAGATAGCCCGGGTTTACAAGCAAAATTTCACAGGTAGGGTTACCCTACCACCCGGGACAACTTACCTATGCTTGGTAACCGCACGCATTGTTATCAATGTTCAAAGGGTCTGGAAACAGAAAGTTCTTCCGGGTAGGCGAGTTATCCCCAGCAGAGCGTTAACAAGGCAGCTAGGGTTACCCTGGCGCTAGGGTAACCCTAGCGCTCAGCTAAGGTTTCCCTAGTGCTAGGGTAACCCTAGCTGCCTTGTAAACACGTCGATGAAAAAAAGAAGAAATGTGGGAGTGTTAGGATAACCCTCCTGCCAGGGTAACCCTAGCACTAGGGTTACCCTACCTGCTTGTAAACAGGGCCGAAGGAAGACATTATGATTGCAGGCTCACTCAAATGTAGCAGTGATGTGGGTAAGCTCATGCGTAAGACCCAGAACAAGCTTAAAAGAGGGTCTTAATGGGGTTAACCGATAGGCGTACAATGGCCAAAAATTTAGTCGATAGCCGTAAAAATTGAAAAATTTTAACCGTTAGCCGTAAATGTGGTCAAAAGAGGTAACCGTAAAAAAATTGTTCCCTAAATTTCTTAATTTTAAGGAAGGTGCTAAACTTACTTATGACCTGTTTCATTTCTTATTTTGCTGACTTTGACTCCGTACATGTCGTACATGTCCCAGGAATTCTTTCATAAGCGATTCCAACATTCCGCAAGTGAAGCTCGCGTCTGCTGCTGATTTCAACCAGGTGGAGGAGTACGAAAGCGATTCTGAAATTAGCGATGTTGATACGGATAGTGACTCAGAGGATCTTATCATCAGTAAGCCAGTAGTAACAAGGTCCGGAAGGCAAGTCAAGGTGTGGACACGGTTTGTTGTCTAGGCAAAAAAAGGTACCCGAGACAAGCTAGACTGTACATTGAAGGATTTTGAGGCGTCAAGCATGGCTATATTTTGAGACAATTTAACATGCATATAACACCATATAAGGACAAACAGGTCACCACTCCTGCAAGTAAATGTAAGAATGCATGACGTAAGTTAAGCTGTGTATGGCCTTGTATTGAATCATTTTTCGTAGTTCACAATTCTATGCGTAAAATAATATTAGAAGTGGTATGATTTATCAAATATTAAATTTTTTACAAAAGAATAACTCATTTAAGCCTGAGATGACCATAAAACCTTTATTTTGCTTTAGAGATTAAAAAAACACAGGTTTATTAATATTTAACCTTTTGGAACCAAAGAAATTAATTTTTAACTTTTTTGTTAACCGTAACTGTAAAAACTTAACCGATAGGCGTAAAAGAACCAAAATTTTAGCCGATAACCGTAAAAGCCAGCACCCCATTGAGACCCTCTTAGAACTGGTTTTAACTGCTAAGATTTAAATTTCGTCCACTGCTCGCTGGCAAAAAAATAACTCACGTCAGTACGTGAGCAAAAATAATGACAATTTTAACCAACCAATGCGAAATTCTGACTGGCACGAAGTAAGATGTCTAATTTCCTTGATTTAAACAGTGATAATATCCAGGGAAGTGATTAAGTTTATCCATGCATCCGTGGAGACTTTGTTTTTCAGCACGTGAGCACGCAAGCAAAGCAACCGAATGACAAAATCTACGCATGCGCGCTCGCACTTAGTTGCACCCATCTCGAAATGTCGAAAAAAAAAACTGTCTGTGCTAAAGCGACTTGGGTAAGTCGGACTTCCGCCAATGGCTGATGTTTCCCACGGTCAAATGGCCTTATCAACAAACCTTAAAAACCACAAAAGAAGATCAAAACGCGGAGATTATTGGATGCTTCCGATATGTGAGTTTAAGAGGTTTTGCTTTTTTATGTTAACACAAGCTAACGAGAATTCGACGATACGTGACAAAAAAAATTAAACATTCCTTTGTTATGTTCTAAATCAAGTCTATGAAAGCCTCAGACTAACATTACTTTCGCATTTTCATCAATCAGTAGCACCTAGCAAAAAGGTATAAAGAATACTTTGATAATCTTTTTTAAGACAAATGGCAAAATAACAGTGTCAACATGAACGCCTCAACTCTCGAATAAAGAAGCACTGGTAGTCCCTACGAAATCCTCAATTTTTACACCTATAGGATACCTTTATCTTATAAAACTCATAAGCGCTACTTTTATTAATAACTGAGGATCATAGTTTTAACCACAATTTAATCCGTATGTATGAGAGGATTTGGAGCCTCTTGAAAAAATATTATATGGAGACAATCTGACTAGTGCCCTCATAGCAGGAGTAAGGGCCCTTTGCCAGATTGCGTAACTACAAATGTGAGATAAAGTAAAGAACATGGTTGGAGATATGAGGTAACTCACCATAAAAAAAAATTATTTAAAGTTAGTTCTTTCTTTAGCGTCATTGACCATTCTAGTGACGACCGAAGAAAGCCATTACGCCAGCCGCGTGCAAAGAAGAGTTGTATGATGTTTTTTTTTTGTGACCTTTGTTGATTTATTGAGGCAATTTGTCAACATAATTCACTGACAAAACAAGGTTGTTGAATGTTGAAGAGATTGTTAATGAGTGTTTACTATAACAGTGGAACACTTGATGATGTAGATAAAACAAATCGCATTACATCTTCTCCTGCTCCACGTTTCAAATAGACGAAATGCATTTCATTGCCCGTGAGAAAGAAATTATCGACGATTGTGAAACACTGTATATTGCACATCACAGCATAACGAAACTACACAATAAAATTCACCATGCAATACCATGAATAGAACTGCATGCATAGCAATTAGCTTCACTATCATGCTCTACGATGCAATACTTTTCATCACAAAGCAGCCCAGATTTATATTCACCAAAACGAACGAAACTATGCCAACATGTTTTAGGCTAAATTGCAAAGCTCTACAGTGCATTACTCATCTAAATGCACCACTCTGTCACACATTAAAAACAATTCTTTTATAGATTGATGCTTAACAGTGCCAACGCAATACTCTTGACTTGGAGCTTCACTCAGTTAAGCACAGTTAGAGCGCAATGCGCTACAACACAATACTATACACTGCACTGTCTTACGAAAACGCTGCTGCCGGCACCAAGCCGTGTTCCACAGTACGAGGTAATGATTTGCTCAAATACAATATCCTGTATTCCCCGCACAGTATTACAAATGCCGCGCTCTGCAGTACGTGGCGATCTTGAATATGCTAAAATACGATATCTATATACACTACACGGTATTACGAACACACAGCTACCGGCACCATGCAGCGTTCTGCAGTACGTGGCAATAGTTTACTAAGAGCTATCCTGAACTGTTGTTGTGCATAGATTTCATGTTGATTTTGGAGGCTTATATGAATGAAGCAAAAGGCACATTTTTAGGTAAGGTGCGAAGAGAGTTTTTTTTGTAATGAGTTTTCTCACGAGAAAGCTGCAAGCTCACGAAGATTGATAAAAAGTAGCAAAACTGAGCTTGAACCACAAAAAATCCAAACGAAAATGTTGAGCAAGTCGAGCCACTTTCTTAAGCTTTCAAAAAAAGGGCAAACCTCATTTCAGTCTGATAAAAAGCCTGCAAAGTGACTACTTTCACTTCCTGATTTTTGAAAAATTAAATATCTTTTTTTCTACAGCCAACGTTTTTTTCATAATAATGGTGATGAGAGTTCTTCTGCAAACTTTGTCTATTGAATAAGACATTTACCTCCATTTAAATTCCCCAATTTCCTAGGGATTAGCGAAAGTTACACCTATCAGCATATCTCGTTTTACTCTTTCAATTATGATGTTCTTCTCACAACTCAATGTTAAAAAGCTTGAAAAAGTAAGGCGGAAGGATCTCTAAACTTGAAGTACCATTCATTTGTTTATCCAAGTTCTAATCGGTTCCCTCTCTGTTCGAATTCAACCCGTTCATGTCTTTGTGCTGGAGACATTTTGGAGCTTTGTCAAAGTGTGTGATAATCCATTCTGATAATCCCTCATAAACTGTCTGATTAAAAGATGTGCAGGGTAATATGAAAATTGTTTCTTTTCAACTGAGGAAGTCTTAAATAATTTGCGGCTACAGAGATGTTATTTCAAAAATGCGACATTCCTTACACCTCCCACGTAATTATCATGTCTCAGTAGAAACTTGTGGTCGATATATGCTTCCGGAAATCCCTGAAAAGGAGACAGACATCAGCTGATTTTCTTCCGGAGGCCTTAGTAACAAAGAAAACGTTGAAATGTAAAATAATATTGCCTTTGAATTCAGAAAAAGGATTGGTATTGGGATATCTGCGTATCCATTCCTTTAGATTCTTTTGCTTCTAATTTCGAATCATTGTATGATATGAGACATAACTGCAAAAGCATAATTGTTGACTGCTTGAATTGTCAGAACAATCTTAGTATAAAACATCCAAAGGAACTTTCTGTGTTGAAATATCTGGAAAAATATCCGGATAAATTGTATTTAGTTAAGTTCATCACCGATTATTGTGACTTACGCAGAAAATCCAAGTGGATTGATTTAAGTTCGTTTACTTGGCTAGGGAGATCATAACGATAGACGTCAAGGGGACTATCTATATTGTTTATAGGACCCAGTCCTACCTCAGCACCCTTCTCGACCTGGGTTATGACTTCTATTTCGTTCCATTGCGATGCTGTCTGTTGGAGTTGACCTCCTCCAATCGCCTTTTTTTAGGCTTATTTTCCACGGCCTCTTTTCGTTTAGTAGTAGTAGTAGCAGCAGCAGCAGCAGCAGCAGCAGCAGTAGTAGTAGTAGTAGTAGTAGTAGTAGTAGTAGTAGTAGTAGATGTGGTCTTTATTTCCGTTCAAGATAAAAATTACAAATCTTAAGTTACAAGTAGAATGTTTAAAAAAATAGTGAAACGGTGAAAGTAGTTAAAACTTGTAAAAAACTTTAAAGTTTTGCAGCTTCCAGAAAACGTTGTGTTTCCTCTGAGTATGGCCAATCCATTTCCATGTCCATTTCTTCCTTGTGACTTAAATAACATCCTCATGCGTCAGGTATTCTTTAGTAAGTATGTTTGGCCATTTGACCCTAACTTCAACCAAGAGTAGGATCGGTTTACTAAGACTTGGTCTTTGCTTGTGTGTACTTTGTCGCTCTCCAAATTCACTTTTTGGAACTTATAGGATTTTCTCATCGAACACTGTAGCTCTCGGTAAGAACTTTGACTTTTCGTTTTGATCACAGCACGTATATGCCGGGCTGAGATAAACAAAAATCAATCTTCATGAGACCTCATGGAGAGATAAGTTACCCTCAACAAACAAAAATTTTGCACTGCTTCACTAAAATGTAAAGGTTGTTTTTTTTGGTTTTACCATTTTTTATATGCGGATAAATGACACTGAGATTCTTATATTCCAATTCAGTCGTGAAATCTGTTCAGGGTGTTACTGACAATTTCACTCTTGAAGCATCGTTATGAAGGGTGGAGAAAAAAAAATTCAAGTTGCTGAAAAATACACAGAGCACTTTCTTATCTTAATTCTATTACTGTGGGCGGAGAAATCTGATTAAGTTTTGAAGAACGGGTAAAAAAATACTCAGCTATGTACTTAATGAATAAAGAGAAAAAAAAAAGAATCGAGATTGAGAGAGCTGGTTAAGAAGCTGCTTTCTCTTTTGCACACAGCGGGTAGTTATGCCGTTGGTGTGGTAGATTTTCACATCAGTAGCATCCACTGCATTTGTGAATGTTTGTGTATTTTGTGAACTAAATACAGTTGCCTACTTTGGCAGAAATTGCCATCAAATACTGCGCAGAGCATTACACGGCCATTTGATCTATTTTGGTTACAACAGGAATGTAACAAGTTATCTATTTCATTTAGAAAGAAATCCCTGACTTCAAAGACTATGATTGCAACTAGAGAAAATAACACAGAGCAAGAGTGAATATTCAAAGAGTTAGCAACATTGAATTTCCGAATACCAATGCACATCTGGAAATTTCAAGGACGAACGAGAGACAGTTTTCATTTCAAATGCTGCATGGAAAACTCTTTCATCAGGTATACAGCTAAAATTTTTATTTCAATAGTTTTTAAAGATAAAAATTAGTGATAATAATTTTGAGCGACGTTTCGACCTCGCTGAGGTCATTTTCAAGTTGATGAAAAGGAAAATTTTTACATAATTATATGTACTAAATTCAAGACGTGGGAATGATAAAGGTGATAAAATATGGAAATATGTAAACGNCAGACAATGAGAAATAACCTTTATTGAATCTAACATGAAAGTGTATAAAAAATGAAAAAAATCTTGCAAGTTACAATTCTCCTTTTAAGGAATAGACGTAATGGACTTGATCCTTCGGCATTTTTCACGTTTGTACACGATTTTCGCCCTTTAAGAGCCAATCACCGTTTTAAACTTAAGTTTGCATCAGCGACTTTAAATAGTTTCAAATATTCATTTTTTATGCGTATAATTGATAGTTGGAATAATCTGCCAAAGGAAATTGCCGAGGCGCCAAATCTGAATATTTTTAAGAACACACTGAGACGTCACCTCGTAAATTCTGCCAGTTAAGTAAACGCTAAGTTCTTATTTTTGATGAATTATATATATAGTTGTATCTAAATTAATGTCGTAATCTATTTTATTATCAGGAGATAAACTAGAAAGGGATAACCTCTTTTATCTCCTTTTCACTTTTTATTGATTGGGAATAAACATTAATTATTATTATTATTATTATTATTATTATTATTATTATTATTTGAGTAAGTGCCAAGTATTGCATAAGATCTTGTGCCCGTGTAAGGTCATTTAGCCTTCTGATCGATAGGATATCTTTTTTAATTCGGTGTAAAACTTTTAGTCATGGCAGTTAAAGCGCACTGGGAGCGGAGATTTACTCAGAGGTTGAGGTTAGTTGAGACCAATATTCAGAGCCCGGGAGTCACTTCAAGGTATCTCGCATAACATTTCGTTTTCAAAAGGCTCCCATATAATCACCTCAGAAAGTCGGACTAGAGCGATGAAAAACTCCATGTTATTATTTATGATATGTAGCCGGCTTGAACTCGTGATAGGCGACACGCAAATTACCTCTTTAAGGGTTACATGCACGAAATCAAATCGTTGACGACTAATGGAGAGACACCAAAAGTTCACTTTCGTGCTTTCAACTAACAAACTTTCTTTCGATTCTTTCAGTAGTTTTAAACTAACGACACAGCAAAGGGAAACTAGAAATACTCATTGCATGTTACATTTTGGAATTGTTCCCCTAAGTCAATGTAGTAATCCTATGCTTACCTAAACCACTAACTTTGATGAAAACCAGGTAAAGCAACTATGAACCTTACAGCTGATAACGGACGACAATATTTAAGACCCTTGGTTACAAAGGTCTTGAATGATAGCTGAGATCGCAAGCACTAACGCAGCCGTGTCCGCGACTGACCCAAGACTATAGATGTACCTTTTACAGTAATAATGTAAAGGTGCAAGTTCTACAAAATTAAAAAATTCTCTTGCATAAGCGTGAGAGGTTTCAAAGAGTCGAAACAGTTTGAAATTTGGGTAATAGATTTTTAACACGATTATGTAATAATTATAAGTTTTGAAAACTTTTGGTGATTGTATTAACACAGAGAGACATGAGAAAAGAGAACGTCAGCTTTTTAAAAGAAATTGAAAGTTGAGTTTGTCGTAGCCATCATGCGTCTCTTGTATGAAAATTGTGCATGAGGTTGGCCATAACCACGCCTAAAGGTAGACAGTTTGCGACTTTTTTAGATCGGGTTGATAATTGATATGTTCTCAAATATGAAGACAATACAACAATACATAGAACCTTCGAAGAGGCTATTAACCTATTAACCTATTAACCTAGGGTTAAGCTACTCGGAAGCATACCTAGGGATTTAATCAGCTTGGTAAAAGATATGTTGTTCCTGGATTAATTTCTACAGAAACCGTTTACCCAGTTTCAACTTGGAAAGAAATGAAAGTGTTTTTGATCACACTTTTCGAATTGTTGGTAACTTTCTTTTCAACTAGCGCAGAAATGCGGTTAGAATAACCAAAAGTCTCCGTTTGCAGATATTTACACTGAATTACAATATTCACAATAGAGGTATCCATTTTCATATTCTTTCATTGTTCTTTGGTTTCTATAGGTTTTAGTTAAAAATTGTTGCAGTTCAAGGTTTTGAAAGTTTTTTGCTTTTGACATAGGCGTACGAGACAGCACGGTGGGCTGGGTTCAAGTCTCTTTTCACAAAAATGAAGGAGTTCTATTGAAAAAGAAGAGAGGAACTGCAAACGAGTCAAGAAACCTCTATATAACACATCTTTACGCAATGTTAACGTTTTACACGTGAGACATCAATCGCACATAAAATGTTCATTCCTTATTCCCCCTCTCTCAACTAAGAGAAAAGGAATCCTCAGAGTTTTTATGTTATTATTTCACTATATAGTTGATAACGTTTTCATATCTTTCTGTTAAATACGGCCATATTTCGAACATCAGTCAACCCCCCCCGCCCACTCCTCCCTCACTGAACCAGATGTTCATTAATCATTACATATTCGTCATTCTTTTTCCAGTCGATATCTCTTGGTTATGTAAAGTCCCAGCTCCTACACATGTCGCTAGCGTCACGTAGTATTATTACTATTTTTAGACCTGACATCCGGAGCACTGAATGATCCAAGCGGAGTGGATTAACTGGTCTGTCGCTCGCAGTAATAGCGATTGTCGGACTTCAGAGTAAAGTGCACGATCGATGAGTAACCAGTTATAACGGATACATTAAAGAGTGATTAGCAGTTAAGTGTTTTTTCCGGGCTGTTCTAAGTCTTCCATTTAAAAATGTTCTTTTTTTCACCAGAAATTCTCCCCCCGCTGAATTCGCTAAGTTTAACTCTCGCTCTTGCTTTTGGAATCACATTCAATTTTTCTTTACCCAAACACTGTCAAAGCCTTTGCTCTTGAACACTGTAGCTATCCGAAAACAATGCACGGAGCGGTAGATTCTAAAGCAACTGCAACATACAACTAAAATCGTTTTTCCCTGGTAGTTCCATTTCTTTGTTCGCCAGCAGAAATACTAGGACAGAAATTTCTTGTTCACAAAATGACAACCCTCTTTGCCGCAATAACGATTCTTGCATTTTTAAAATTATGGTGATTACTGCGCGAAATGTAGCTCTCTCTTCTCTTGAAATTGCATAGAGAGAAAATCTGAAAGGGTTTAGGTCTCACAAAGAAAACGGTTTCCAGGCGCGCCTTTTTTGCTACGCTCAGAACACGCAACGCCACGTTCGCGTGCCCCTAAAAATGGCACAGACTGGATACTTTAAACGTGTCTGAATTAATCTTATAATAAAGTAGGACTTTTGGTCTCCATCCCTGATTAAAGCTCCTAAAATAAAACTTCCCTCAGGAGTACTCATCGACGATGAGAGTCCTTTTATGTGATTGAAACAAATGTTAAATCACCTATTTTGGTGTCGTGGTAACTGATACCCTTTGAGATCTCACAGCTGGCAGGTGATTATTTGCATCTCGTTAAGATTTGTTTCCATTCACAGTGGGCAGTGGATTCACTTGATTGTATTTTGAGGGTCTAGAACAAAGAAAAAGCGAAATTTCATAATACTGCTATTTCCGGAATTTTCGTTAACAATGAAGACAGATCACGCTGATTCCAAACACAAAGTAGCTTTCAAAACAACTTTAATTTGCACGCGCTATTGCAAAGTATTGCACATCAGTTATCTTTGAGACTTAAAACACAATATAGTTTTCATACCTACAAAGTTTAATTTTATCGAGTAATGTAATCATCATTGGCTAATTTTTGGCCTTTGCGTAATGCGCGAAGAACCCCGGTCAGCTGGGTAAAACAAAGAAATGTTTGTCATATCTCAGTGACAATATATAAAATTTTCTCAAATTGGAGCTCTGAACTAATTAGATAGTGAAGTGCAATTCAACACTTTAGATCCCTTTCGATGTCGAAAGGTGTTGATTCCAGACAGAGCTCGTCCATGAACAAATTTTTTTCGTCACAGTACCTTTCAGTCTGCGTGTAAATTAGTTGCTACGATTAAGGGATTAGGGCACTTCTAAGTTACACTCAATTAAAGCTGTCAAGGACTCTCATAGAGATATTTTACAACCTGTGGTTAAACCTCACCGATTATTACTGCCTTCTGTCTCTAATTCACCAACAGGCGCGTGGAAAGGCTATGAGAAGTCCTAAGAGCCTCAAACTGATTTAAAGTTCGACAACTGTGCGTTCATGAGAATACAAATGGCCTCCACATCTTTGGTTACCAGCGGCGGTGCTACAAACATGACGAAAACAGCTTTTACGGTGAAAGCAGCAGGAGATAATGGAGAAACATCCTCCCTGAGTCCATTTGCACTCGGCTTATTTCTCGAGGCAGGCATTTTGGCAGTTGCTCTTGGAAATCTCTTGGTGCTGCTGTCGTTAAAATTTCAGAAACAGTGGGTCATAACAGATATTCTCCTTCTGTCCCTTTCAGCAGCAGATTTCACTGGAGGAGCTGTCCCCCTGCAAATTGTAGTTTTCATGAACTATTTTGCCCAGCGGAGGTGGACTCCTTTTCTTTGTGGCTTTTACATCCTGTTGGTAAATGCACTTCGCTTTGCCTCGGCTGGGACGGTCACATTGATAGCTGTCGAGCGGGCCTTTATGATTTTGTCTCCATTCAAATATCACACGACAATTACAACTTCGCGAACGAAGAAACTTGTCATGTTCACTTGGTTGAATGCAGTGACGTTTGCCTCTTTGCCGTTCCTAGGAGTTGGAAAGTCGGGTTATGAAGATGGCAAATGCTTTTATCATTTAACTGATTTGGGAAAAGCTTACGCTATCCTTATTGTATCTGCATCCTTCGTATTACTGGCATTAGTGTTAGCATGTTATTTTGCGATAAAATCATCAAGTACACAGTTTATTAAGCGACAAACAGTTATGGACACAAAAAACAAAAGTGCCGGGACAAACATGTCCCGCGGGTCAGTTTCCGAGGATCACGGTCAAGAGCAAGTGAAAAAAAGACAAAAGAGTAGTACTCACGGGGTGAGGGAGATTCAAAGACTGTCACTTATGATGGCCCTCGTTGTTTTTCTTTATTACATTAGTTGGCTGCCAATTTTGGTAAGTATTTCGTCCAAGGGCAAAAAGTTGAAATTGGAAATACAAATTCTACCTAGCGAAGTCGGCTATCGAGACTTAGCCATCAGTGTTTGCAACAAAGCATTTCGGCTAAGATATCCCATCGTAAACAATAAAACATCCGGCTATTTTGATTCGGTAAAATTCGTGATTCTGTTTCGTCTTTTTTCCCCGGGGAGGGTACTCCCTTATAAGGGCTTAATGGGGACGTGCGGCCAGCCAGGGTATGTTTTTCGAGATTTTTGTCTTAAACAGGGTATCTTTTCTTGGAAGATAAACAGAAAAATTTTTACAAGCTCTAATTTTAATTAAAATTGAATTCCGTTGATTTTGACATTGATACCAGGCACATTAAATGTCTTAAACGGGGTATCAAAAATCGGAATTCTGTCTTAAACAGGGTTGGAAAATCAGCGATATTTGTCTTAAACAGGGTCAGGGTATGAGGGGCCGCGCCGCACCTCCCCACCAAGGAATATATCGAGTACCCCCCGGGGTTTTTTCCTGCTTTAGGGGAAACTGATGGTTTCCATAAACAAAGTATGCATGCAGCTGAGCGAATATAATTTGCAATCAACTATTGAGCCTGTATGCAAAAGGATACAAAGCGCGACAGTTTTACGACATGAAACTTCAATCTTGAATCAAACAATATAATTGCACAATAGAGAACGAAAAACCGCTCATATAACGCAATAGAAGCTTCCAAACCGAGTCAGTTGTTTCGTTTATTTGTGATGAGTCCACCACAGGTTCACTGACAAGCCAGAAAGAAAGGCACCACTAACAACTGCAATGATCTCTCTCTTGGATTTTTTGTATGGTGAGAACCTTCACAGAGTTCAAATTTCTCAGACACCCTCTATCTTAGATTAAGCTGTTAGTCTAAGAAACAAAACGATCTTCAGTACACTGGTATCTTTTGCCATTCATTAGATTTCACTTTATAAATCGGTTGACATAAAAAAAAAACTCCCAGATTTCATAAAGATTAGGATTTACCCCCATTTCGTTCCATACCCAGTGTCACTTGAAGACACACTTCTGTGCAGTGATGCTCGTGATGGTCAACAGAAGTCGGAATTGAATCTGAAAATCATGATGTTGTCGGGAAGAAAACATTAATGTTTAAACATTATTTTCAGATCAGCAATATTGTTACCCTGATAACAGGCCGCCAATCAAGTAAAACTGTTGTTCTTCTCACGGGAATGGTCTCTCTGATATACGCTCTGGCAAACCCGATCATCTACGGCAAAATGAGTTGCCGGTACAGATGGGCTTATAGACGATTGTTTGAATCTCTTTTTCTTTGTGAGACTTGTAGGCAGAGATCAAGATCCTGGAGCATATCATTCTCAAGGAGAAGTAAGTACATTTCTTATTTAACTCATTGAAGACAAATCATCTCTGGCTTTCTGTAGAATTTTTGACCGTTACAACGAAAGTTACGTTTGTACTTCGTTTTTATTTCTGTGTTGGTCTTGCCCAGTGGCAACCTCTCAGATGAGTGTGTGAGAGCTTGTACTCAACTATCCGTCTTTTATGAACATAGGATAATTCAAGATGAGCTGCTATCATAGATTACAAGAATAAACTTACCATGCCATAAGATATCCTTAAATAGATCTCGAAAGATGGTATATTTTGATCTCGGTCGGAGAAGAGAGAAATAGTTGTCATTTATTTGTTCAGTGCGAGCGCGGGACACGTAAGAAAAATCCGAGTCCTTTCGATGATTTTTTTACATTGACTTTGCATTTCGCTCAGCCCCAATGTTCGCTCGGCCACTTACAATGTTCATAGCAGTGACAAGCGTCTTCTTGTGCATACGAAAAGGATGGAAAACGTCGAAAGTGTCGCGTATGTAAACAAAATGGTTTTTCTTTTCTTCCCTTCATTTGTTCTCTGCACGTTGACAAACGACAAATTTTTCTATGATATCTCCAGGCACACGTTCGTGCACCTTGTCTTTACAACAAATCTCCAGTGACCACCAGCTCAACAGAAATATTACCAAAGAAGAGGGGCCTGGGTACCCAAAAAGGGCGCATGGACGACATCACGACACTGCTGGACATAGAAACGAGGGGTTACAATGCCAGGATGGCTTTGCAGAAGGCGTGGTACTGGGATTTGGCGATGATGGAAACAGTTCTTCTCAAAATGAATTTATGAGCAGAGACACGAACAGCTCTTACTTATCAAATGAGTTTTTATCATAAGATAAAAGGTTTGCTCGAGAACGTTTCCAAATATATTACATATATATTTATAATCACTACTCATCAACTATTTTAAAAAATTTACTGTAACTAAATGAACTTTAGCGGACGAAGAAACGACTCACTTGTCTGGCGAATTTACAAGAAGAGGGAGGAACAATTCGCACTTGTCAAATGAGGTTTTACTATAAAGTTAAGGACGAATCCCTAGATTATACATCTTTTTACTTAAATTTGCAATCTTTATATCAATTAATCTAAAATCGACGTATGCTAAATGGACTTTAGTTGAGACACAAAAAGGACACGCTAATTCGGAGGACTAAGCAAAGTGACCTCTACCGCAACAGCTAAGTATGGGAGGATTGATCTTATTAAACGATCGATACATTAAAGAAAAACCCGACCGATCAAGCAATTAGTTCCGTTTATTTAATAACAGCACCGGAAGATTAAAGATGAAACTAGCACTTAAATCATCTTAAAAATATTATTTGTTCCTATTTATAATAAGTTTTTAAACAGGGTCAATGAGGCGGAGAAATTTGGTTAAACTTATACCAAGCCAAGTATTTCAATATTTTACAGACACACCAGAATTTGGCCTAAATAAGAGCATGACAAGTTGAAGGATCGCAAAATTTTATATGTATCCTTTTAATGATTTTTCACTTTGATGGAATAAAGTTCATCTGAAGAAGTTAACTTCAACGCTAACTCAATTTATAGCAGCGGAGTGTCCTTTGTTTAAATATACGAAAATCGTTTGGCCTTTGGAACTTTCCATTATTCTTGTCGGAGACAACGATAAAACAAGGTCAAGTAAATTTGGGAATCAAAATTCTAAGTTATTATTTTCTTCCCAGAATTAATCGCGCCGCACGATTGAGTAACTGGAAATTGGTTCAAGCTCTTCAAGACATGGAAACAAAAAAGAAAACTTTGCGCCGGTGTGGAAATACGATTTGATTTTTTTTTTGAGGAAAGAGTTTCTCTCTAAACCCTTCAACCCTGTTTACCTCATCTCCAGCTATTTTGACATTATTTGTTTCATTGCTGCCTAACTTATTCGCCTGTCTTAGGCGCTGTAAACATTTATCCTCGCAATTGTCTTGCCGAATAGCTACCTGTCCTCCTGCGATAGCGGGTCACGCTGAGATCCCTCGACGATCCTCAGCATCCATGTCAGTGACCGTTATTTTTCCAGTTTGCCAAATTAGGAGATTATAATGATCTGACCATCTATCAGTTGCTAAGCCTGTTTTTCGAGGCCTAATTACTTGTTCGTTTTGTAACGAAAAAAAAAAAAAAAAACGCATAACTTCTCATTTTCTGTTTTTAATTTCATCCTAAGAAAAAATCTAAGGCGCAATTTTATTTTGGCTAACGTCGTGATCTGTTGATAGCAACAAGAGCGTCTCGGTGGCACCATAAAAAAAATGGTTACTCGTAATTCACGTGACACTCTGTGGAAATTGAGTAGGATAAGTTTAACCTGTTTACTGATTTCACCGAAAAGTGGGCGTTAACTATATGAGGGATGTCTGAGGGGGAGAGGGGGGTGTTGTAATTTTAATATATCATCATTAACTTGTGTCAAGGTTACATTAATTTGACTCGGCATCTAGGTAGTTACAATCAAAGGAGAATTTTTCAGTGCGATAATACATCCGCTGTTTGGGTAATCTAGAAAGCTTTGAATCTAATCTTCTGCTCTTGTCAACAACGTGTTAATGAAATGTACCTGAAACGTAACAACGCTTCTTGCAATTCATTCTTGATTTCTCGATGTTTATGCTACGTTCATTTACAAAAATTTCCGTTCGGGCGAGTCTTAAAAGGAGGTGATAATTCAACTAAACACATTCGGTGCTAACTAAGCAAAACGGTACGAAAGAGATAGGGGACGAGAAAATTCATCCCAAATAATGCAGAAATGAATCAGATTCATTTGACTGGAAGAGGGAACATGCCGTATAGCCGACTTACATCTGTCAATTGGAGTTTGTTCGACCTCCCAGCTTCAGTGCAGACAAACCTTCATATTGTGTCAGATATATCTAACTGTTTTGGAGAGACCTGCCTTGTAATGGACAATCAACCGCAGATCTGGAAGCCGTCATTCAACGATGTCATCCATCAAAAACTATGCTTGCATCATCCCGGTCGTTGCTAGGCTGCCCCACCTATCAAATCCAGGTCACACAGTCTGTTTTTTTTATCCACCAGAGAATTTCAACAATAAAATTATGTTCCTTGGTACATCTCAATGGGGGAAACTATTCTTTTTGGGGCAAAACTAAAAACTTCACAAATAAACTAGTTAGGAAATCGCAAAGTGCATTATAACTGAGTATCAGAAAATCCTGTAGGAGTATCATCATCATTAATGTTATCACCCTCATAATTTTCATTACTACAAGAGAGGATGAACTTGCATTGTAATTTTAATCAGCATTTCCACCCTTGCTGTTTTGAATTTGTATAGTCATTCATTACGTTCGTACTTTAGCAAGAGAATTCTTTTAAGCTGAATTGTCTCGCTAGCTTCTTGGATGACTGGGTTTTGATGAACAAGAGTCTGTGTAAATTTTGATCTGATTACGTACGCTCTACATGAAAGGAACCTTTCATATCTTTGTCGATTATAAGGTTGGTATATTTCTCGATTGGATAATTCCTCTTTCGTAAATGTTGGATCATACAAAGCCGCAGTATGTGGCATGCGGCTGGTCAAGGGAGACCTCCGACTCCATTGGATGACACTACTAGTCGACAAACACACTACAGATATGGAGGCGACTGTAGATTTCCAGTTTTTTGCCCACTGCAGTTTACTTATTTTCCCTCTCTTACTTTCATTTTTGGCTTTTGTGGATGAAGTTTTAGATATTTAGCCTTGTAAGTTTATGGGCTTAAATTTTCACATTTGCCTGGGTTATTATTATTATAGAACTTTACGGTTTGTTGGTTTTGAGAAAAGTTCATTACGTTTTTTTTTTTCTTTTTATCTTTTCATTGGTTTTTAGTAAATATCTTAACCCATTTTCCGGTTTCTAAAAGGTCGCAGTACGGTGTAGTAGGTCGTTTAAGTAACTTTTCCTTCAATAAGTTGAGGAGTACAATTTATGTGCCACCAACTTCTCCGAAGTCGGACCGCGTTTTTTAAGGGTTGATAGCTAAGATTGGACTTGAACAAAAGGTTGTGCCACCGTCTTTTCGTGTTGAGATGATTAACTGAAAAATAAAGAGACAAGAAATCTGATTACAGTAAAATTGAGTTCACTTCAAAGGAGGGTACGACTGAATCAGACTAAAAAAGATATTACTTTTAATTGTAAAGGGTTACAGACTAACCTTGGTTCCAAGTTTCACAAGATTTGATTGATTACTCAGAAAAAAAAAAATGAAAGAAAACATTTACCCTTACTAATGAGCATAGCCTTCTTTGATGTTAATCAAATTTTAAAACCATTTCCTGTTAGAAGTGCAAAGTCCACAAATATTCAGACAAAAAAAGTCATTGAGAGAAGCCTCACCCAATACAATATCATATATTCTGAGAACCGGGTTTCCAAATAAACGCGCAGAAAAACCTTATATGTCGAGCCGTTAAAGAGACCCAAGACCTCACAATGCTTTTGAGTTAAACAGGTCGCATTAGAGTTCAACTCATCCTAAAACAAACGGTAAACTAAAAACTAAAAGAAGAGATTTGAGATATCATTGAAATTGATTCAAATCGGCTGGGCAGGCTCCTTTTCAAAGATCTTTCCCCACCCCCCATTCTTTCGTCCCATTTTAATTTTCAGGGCTGGCTAACCTTGTCACATATTTCTGACAGTCATCTCCTGAACGGGCAAACCATCCAGCCCAGGAAAATAAACTCGAGGGGCACTCAAAGCAAGTTGCACCATTCATTGATTAATTTATATATAATAATAGTCAATTGAAGCAGTCTAGATATCTCGTGTGGTCTTTTTGAGATGAGAGCTATTAAACCGGCGATGGCTAGGAGATTGAATTTAATGAGAGAAAGATTGTCCAACCATCTTTTAGGAAGTAGGAGTTTTTAAACAGTTCAGAGAGCTGCCATAGCAAATCTGATATTTGTTTTCAACTAGAAGGGAACATTTTGTCACTTCGGACAAATTAAAAGAGGTAAAGTTTAATTTGTACCTAACCTGGAGTCTAACCTTGATCCGAAGTTTCACAAGATTTAATGGTGGAATGAGTAATAATAATAATAAAAAAAAAAACATTTACACTGACGTATTTATCCCTAATTAAATTTAAAAACCATTTCCTGAATAAAACCAGCACTGATCTATTCCAGTTTAAGATAAGTGCAAAGTTCGAAAACATACAGACAAAAAAAACAATTATGATTTGTAAGCAATTAGAGCCCACGCATGTAGAATTGTCTGTCCAAGAAACTGGGCATTAAAATCAAGGCAGAAAAAAAAGTTTCGCTTCTCTTCAAGTTTAGTAAGAACTGGAGAGCTACAGATGGTAACACTTTGCCTCAATAACATTGATTCATTTAAAAGCGGTCGTTTAAATGCGTCGAGTTCACATGCCCTATCAGATTGTAACCAGCCTCAGTACGTGCGAGAACATAAGCATGTGCTATTTTTAACATTTTATAAAAGAAAATAGGGAGGAGAGAACAGAAGTCTCTTCAAAACAGAAATAGATCAGCCTTTCCGATACGATGAAAGAACCACGCCAATATTCCCACGTACAGATTCTTAAAGGTTTTCTTAAAGGCCAGAGCTAATGATAAGATTTGAAAGTAGGAATTTCTGTTGAGTTGCCAGTCAAAAACTTCGCATAGGCAACTGCGCCAAGCTTTCTATTTATGTCAGGAACCCTTCAAGTAATGCAAGCGCAGCACGGAACGACAAAAGAATATAATGGAGGTGAATTTTCTCGTGATGAAATGAACTCTATCATTTGAAGTATATTTACTGACGTGTTACTGTTTACAGGCCATGAACTTGTATGAAATTTCTGTGACTGATAGATGCAACAAAATGTCGCTTTAAGATTTGAGGTTTTCCTGAGAGGTGACTACCCTTGCAGAGGAAGGAAAAACGAGTTTCATCTAAGGGAAGAGTCTTTGATCGCTTAGATGTTACTTATATCTGCTTAGCTCAGATACGTAACCTAGGGAATATTTGCTATATATGCCATAAGCAGAGAACATGGAAATATGCAGAGTAAATGTCACATAAAATCAGTGTTCACTACCATAGGATTTTCTGTGATTTCTAACGAACAGCATACTTTGTATCGGTCGGGCCTCGGCGATTGGGAAAGAAGGGAAGAAGGCCATCTTCCTCGTGTTTCATAGTTAAGGAAATATTGGCGTAACCAAGAGTTTCGTTCTTTGCCTACGTTTTGTCTGGTGTTTACTACAATGAGTCGAGAATACTTGCTAAGTTTTCAACATGCACTTCAAGTTTTTGTGGAATTTTTGACATTTTTAGCGCCTTCTATCAAAGGTGCAAAATAAAGAAATGCCCCACTCCTGAAGGCTTTAAGTTAAGTGTGCAGCGTCAAACGGATTCACTCGAATGAAATGGCAGCTGTTATAAACAATTGCGAACAAGGATTTTCTTAGCGTTTTCAAGCGTTTGGAATCCAGTCAAGAAAAACCGTTTTTCTTATACGAGGCCTTTTTTTTGCTCCTAGAAAGCAAACAACGCATCTACCTTCAACTTACCTTGTAAATGATTTGGATGTTACTGTAAGTCAATCTCCTCTGCCACTTCAGACCCAAGACGCCGAAGATATTGAAACTACCTCGTTCTTAATTTGTTGTTGCAACTGTGTTCAAGTTCAATAAAATATTACAAATATTTTTTAGAAATAGTCGTGCGGAGTTCCATTAAAACAATGGGACTATTCTGAGGTTAGGCCGTAATCAGTTTAGTGTAATCATGTTGGTGCTTTTGGTGAATGTCCCGGCTAAGTGATGATAGATTTCTCCAAGATTTGTTCCGAATCATGCGACTGATCATGAAAGTTTTGGGCACGTTTCAGATTAATCACTACTAACCCATATACAGATTTTAAGAGTAATTAATAACTAGTAGAATGAGAAGAAATGCGATAAATCACTGAGAAAAATATTTTCACAGCATTAATTGATCAACTAATCCCAAGGGAGCCATTTTTAATATCTCGGGTATTTACTTCCAGTTCAGCCATAAATCAAGCATGCACAGCTGTTGAGCCAGCAAATGCTAGTTCAGCAATCACATTTCATAGAGATCTAAGTTCCTCGAATGAAACTGGACATATGTACCTTAGCAGGAAATATTTGGAGGATTGCATATTTAGCGCCGTGTCCTGGAGCCGTAGCAAATTCAGTATAAAGACAGTTTTGGACACTCCCAAGATCTGATTGTCAGTTCTCCCCTCCACACATCTCCTTGTAAATGAGTCATAGGAACATGGTGTCAGATCAAGACAAGAACCTCTACCTGATAAATTTGAGCATTCTCATAAACTATTTGCTGGATGACGTATGGATATCATAGGGATAAGTTACATGTTCTAATCTAATTCGGATTCGTGCGCATAGGTGATGAACAAAACACTGACCCTCAGTCCATGGACTACCACAGTGGACTACCTAAAAGGACTGCCCTAAAGGGGACTAACCTTAAAAAATCTGATTTCAGATCGGATTTCTATTGAAAGCACTGTTATGTCCATACTTATATTATTATTATTATTATTATTATTAAATTATTATTATTATATCGTGCTGGTGCCTCCTTCAATTTCTTCAGTCCTCGATTCCTCAAAACGAGGATGCCTTTTGACGTCAAATACTTTTTGACGTCATCTGTTATGTATTGTTGAACAGATCTACACGCTCGGTAACATGGAACCCACATGTACTTGTTAAAACGACTGAATATTATCTCTGATTTCTCGCCTCATTTCAACTTGACTTCAAGCCATGTTTCAAAGAAAGGACTTTATGATCTCCTAAGTTTTGAGATGTTTGATGTGGCTGACGAAAACAAAAGACTTAAAGAGCTGGTCCATTTTAAGGTAGCCCATTTGGCTAGTCCATTAGAGTAGTCCACTTCCTCGAGTTAAGGTAAAATCAGCCAACAAACCCAGTAGCTCATTTGATCGGAGCTCATCCCAGTTTCCTAAGCATGGAACGATTACCAGAATTGCTAACCCCACTCTCCCGCAATCGAATATTCATGAATCGCGCACCACTCCTCATCATCTTGTTTAATGTTCTCGACAGTTTTCTGGTACTTACTTACACTCCTTAGTGAGGGGAAGCAGGGCCACAGTTACTTGTCCTCATCAAGAACACAACCGGCAACTATGACAACAAAACGTCTCCTACCAACTGATCATCTTAAAACTAATCGTTGTAGAAGGTTTATTTTGCTTGTGTAATGGATAAATGGAAGAAGTTACTTTGCAGTGGGGGGAATGCAACTACTGATGGTATAATCTCGAGGTTAGCACGGCGACCAAGCACAAGAAGATGAACTTCCATTAACGTTCATTAGCGTTCTATTTATCGTGTAGAAATCGATGCGAAATCTAAAATTGTGTATTTCATGGCCGTTTGAAAAACAAACCAAGAGCGACTAGACACACAGACAAGGAATAAAGCACTTTTGGAGCCAAGTGTAAGGACTTCTGGCATAACCACACCTTTTCCGACCAAAATTTATGCACATAGCTACCCTTGATGTTAAGAGAAATCTAAAACCTGATGAAAAAATAAAGACTGTCTCAGTCTTTATTTTTTCAGGTAGTAAATTTATGTTTGCATCGGAAGGAACGATGTATGAAAAAGTTTAATAGACGTAGCGAATCTCTATTCTTCCGTGATTAGAGGCGTTGCAGCTTTCATGCTGCATGCTGCATGCTGCAGCCTCTACGGTGGCTGACCAAACAAAACAATGGCTATACAGAAGGACAGAAGTTGAAGACTGACTATAGAACGTAATAAAAGTGTGTAATGGGTCATTCAGGTTAAATTGATCCCCTCCACGAATCTCCAAAGCGAAACGCTAAGGCAAAGGAAAATTTTTCGAAAATGAAAAAGTGATTGCGTTTGTCTGAATTTATGCTTTTATACGGATCGATTGACGTCATGCTACAAACATAAAAAAGTCCGCTGGTCTCCTTTCTCGCAGGCTCATCACGAGTTGATCGACTTTAGAGAGTCTCCTAAGGGAAGTTGTTTTGGAAGATCTCAAACATAAATCAGTTAGTGGGCGGCGGAGTAAAGAACTACTTTACTTTCAACGATGAACCAACACTGGAACTGAGGGGAGTAAAATCTCCGAAAATATCGAGAAATGACAACGCGTTACTCAACTGTCTCTGGTGGCTCGGATGAGCAAGTACATCTGATGAACGATGAAGAGTATAAGAGTCCGGATCCGCAGTCTTCTCGTCTAAATCGGAAGAGTTTGGTGATTTTTTTTGGAATCACTGTGGTAGCAGTAGCGTTAGTCATCGGAACAGTCATGGTGTCTTTATATTCTGGTAAGCGATAGTTATAGACAGAGAATCTTTGAGTTAGGATGCGAAATTCAGCGCTTTTAGGAAATGTTTTGCATTACCTAACGATAGTCCCGCGCTAATTGCATCGCTTAGAAGATCGGAGCCAGGTGTTCGTCCAGAAATTTGCAATTGTGTAACTTCAAATTTCGCTTGTTATTCCAACCATGATTTGATAATGGCGTATTCTGTTTCTTTTCCTTAACTCTAAAGCACCGGAGGCATTTTATTTCGTCTTGATCTTTGTTTTGTAAGTTGATCTTTTCACGCGCTCTCTTGTCATCGAAATACAGGGAAGAGTCTCTTCTCGTCGATTGTCTTCGTCGATGAAGTTATTGCTGTAGGAGTGAATAGTCATTTGTGGTTTAAATTGTCCTTCCTTTGTAAATTGTGGTTTTTATGGCTGGGCGTTCTATATTCCGTGAGCGGAGGGAAAAATGCTCCCTGAAATGTAGTTCGATCAAATGGAGAACAACAACCTGCCTAACCAAGCTACCTGTAAATTTTCATGTTTGGTTGAATCTATACAATACTTGTTACTTATACCCGCGGCTTGTGGTTTTTTCCCGGGATAGGTTACCTCTTAGTGTTAGTCTTGCTCGTAAATTCGGCAGATTTTCTTTTATGAGAGGAAAATGGCTTCAGTTTATCACAGAAGATCTCGGGTAGGGTTTCTATTTGGCTAATTAGTGCTTTATTTTTGTCTCTTCTGTGAAGAAGAATTTCGTTTAGCGTATCACGGTTCATCGTGGGTTACTTCTTTCCTTCTTTTTGTAGCAAAATTGTTTTCCAAAACGAAAGGGAGGTATTTGGCCATCAGAATCTTTTTTGACATCGTATTTTGTTAGTTTTAACTGGGACGAGCGAGAATGTCGTTGGTCACGAAGCCTTTAATTTTGAGAACTTTTATGTTAATATGTAATTTGATTGTACCACAGAAATAGAAACCAGAAATTAAAGTTTACTTTAATGCGAGAAACGAAGGTTGGTACTGCTGATTTTTATTTCGTAAGGGAGAATCAGAAATACAGGAGTCAAAGAAGATGAAAGACGTTTCTGGGACGACTTCAGTTTCAAATCAGGTGAAAATTGGCTGAGATTTGCATGTATACTCATAGCCAATACAAAATAAAATGGGGGTGTTCTGCAGCAACTAATTATTCTCATGAATAATGATAATAACACTGAGTGAAGATTTTATTAGATTTACCTCTTGTGTATGGATTTCTAACTAGGAAAAATAGTCTGAGGACTCAAAGTGGTTAAAAAGGTTGCTGTTAGCCATAAAGTAATCAAGATGAACACATCTGTAGTGAAGGAGAATCATATGCCTCACAATATAGTCGCTTCCTTTGTTGATCCCAATGTTGATCCTTCAGGCAATCCACGTCAGAAGTGATGCTCATCAGGTGATCCACATCTAAATGATTTACACTTTGAGACAAAGTGTGGCACAGATATCCAGGAAGACTTTTTTCTGGGTTTTAGTAAATATGACAGCTTGATAACATTTGAACAGGTCATGAACTTGCATGTGAATCTATAACAACTAAAAGTGTATACAAATTAAAGGGAAAAATCCAGGATTTCTTCAACTTTCAACGAGGGGTATATTGCAATCTTAAGCAGAAAACTTTCACTAAAGGCAGCGGTCACACATCAAGACAATGTGGCTGTTCTGTAAGCTCGTCTTATTGCATTTTTCCAAATAAACTCCTGAATTATATTATATGCTGAAAAAAAAAAACTCTAGTTAAGAGTTAAGTCTGATAGCAGTTACAAACAACAAATTTGGGACCCCATATTTAGTTTCTGAATTTCTTAAAATATTTTCTAAATATTTTAAATATATGGAAAACTAATTCTAACAAGTGAAAGTATTAGGTAGATATCGTACAACTCAAGATAAGGAAACCAAATATGAAGATCACATAAAACATGTATGTGTAGAAGTCTCTATGCTTGCTAGTATTGAGAGATGAGCAAATGTGTCTATTCTGAGGTGCATTTGTATACTTAGTTGGTTTAAGTTAACTTATTGGTTTCTCTTTTGTGGTTGGTCATTGTTTTTCTCAATGGGCATCATATTTGCAGTAAAAACAAGTGGTTAAGCTGCATTGATTGTCTTGAATCTTTTGGCTATGTTTGTTTTTTCACCATTGTGGTCTGTGGTCGAAAGGGTAGTTTTCACTCCCCTGCCAGTTTTGTGACATAATAAAAAAAAGATACCCATATAAAAAATAAAATCACTAATTGGGGACCCTATAGACCACTTTCATATATGGCTGCCAGATTAATATTCTTTTGTTTAAATTTAAATTAGCCCTTCTGGCCTTGTTCTCCAGTACAAAATTCAAAAGAATACATTATCTCAAGCGGAACCAGAAGGGCTAATTTAAATTAAAACAAAAGAATATTAATCCGGCAGCCATTTATGAAAGTGGTCTATATTTAACTCTCAAATTTATAATAATATGCAAAACAAGTGACAAGAAGCATGTGATATGTCTGATCAAGTAGATATGATTAGCATATTATATAGAAACTTTGAATTAGTGTATTGATTTCAATAGAACTGAAATAAATTATTTTTTCTGTTCTTGCTGTGATGCTAGAGAAGTCAAAATGGCCTTTAATGCCAACAGGTAATGAAAAACAAAAATTTCCCCTTCCAAAGAAAACTATAAGGTACATCCTGGAAACTTTGAAGAGAAATATTAAGAAGAGAGCATTTTATAGTTGAAATTAGGGAATTATGTCTACTGAAATGGAAGATACAATTTTTCTTGCCATGATGCTATAGAACACAATAAACACCACCTACTCATTTCAAACTGGCCTCTCGCTAGCATATCATAGAAAATAACTTCCTTGCAGAAAAATCTGACATCTAAGAATGGTACATTGTGGAAACTCTGAACAAGACCCTTTTTTGTGAAGAGGGAGCATTTTAGAATTTAAATCAGCAAAGTATACTCAGCAGAACCATTGTCAAACCAGGTACTGTGTATGATGTACAGGACTTGAATTAAGGGCCAGTTAACAGATGCTGTCTAGGAAAGATGAGAATTTGTTTGAATAATTCTGGGTTTGGTGGTTATTTTGATTGATCATGGACAGGGCAGTCAAAATAATAAGTGGAAAATAGATTTACTCACATTAATTGCAGAAATGATAAACAATTGTATCATGAAATATCTCAGCTGCTTGCCGTCAGAAGAAATGCAAGAACCAATGAGATGGTCATGTTCTGTAGCTTTGTGGTTTCCAAGAAGGTTTATTGGTTTGCATGAAAAAAACAGAGACAGCTTTGTCTGTGAATAGGTCAAATAGATATCACATCAATTTACATCTGCTAAACCCACATTTACAGTTTCAATTGGGGGCAGGGAAAATTTAAACTTTAAAGTGGTTTACAAAAAAAAAATATATAAATACAAATTATGAATGTTCATAACCGTTTACTTCTCATAGACAACTGTCAGTCTGGTGATCACCTAGAGCATGAAACTCGAGTAACTAGTAATAATTTCCTTCTTTCGCATTTGTATTTTGCTCTGCACATTTCTGAATCAAGCACTCCAAGGATAAGTGAAACAACTTTATTTCTTGTTTATTCGTTTATATATGCAAACTAGTTCACTATTGGATCAACAAAACATTGGTACAGACAAGAAATCTGGTATCTGAGCAACTGAAGCTTTTGATTTCAAAAGAAATGTAGCATGTGATTTCAAATCAAACTTGTGCTGTGCACCTTTTTGACTTTATAGTCATACAAGTCATATGATTTCAGACTCAATTGCACTCCACTCCGTACAACTGCCATTATTTATTGTCTACCAAATCACAAGATTAGGTTATATGGTGAAATTCTTTGAATGTTATGGTTACAAGGCTTCTCTAAATTTTTCCCCATCTGGCAATTGAACATATCTAATATTGAACACCTTAGTTGTGGTGCTTTTTGTCAAACAGAATTCCACTAAATGTTTCCTTGTACCATAAAAAATATAAAAATTTGGTTTCCATGGCAAGCGATAGGCCACATTTCTCAACAGAACCTTTTTTCCTTTCATTGTTGCTTCAACATTTGGATGTACTTTATTATCAATTTATTCATAGATATCTAGTGTTAAATAACTTTTGCAGATGTTGAAAACTTAACTTACAGTATTTTCAGTGTTATCACGAATCACCTGTGAAATTTGCTGGATAAGAAGCAGTGGTTGCTGGCTAAATTTAAGCTGGCAATTGCAATCACAAATTTCTCCCCACAGCAGCTTTTTAGGTTACAATTGCTTACCATTGTTCACCATATGTAACCTTTGAGCCACCTCACTTGAAATTTTTAGCCAACAGGGTCATTCTTAGCTACAATCCTGTATTTTCCCCTTCCTGCTAGTATATTTTTATTAGTAATTAAATCATGCAGGCACAGCCTCAGCAGACCAACAAAATATCACATAGACGAAGATTCATAACCCTTAGCTCCAATTAGCTGCAAACTGGTTTTTCTGTGTAAAATTTGCATGTGGTTTTCTGAGATGTCCAAAGGCAAGAGGCTTTGGTTAAGGGTTTCTGATATGGTAAATCACAAGAAATGTTAACTTTCTGACTTGTTTGCTGCAAGCCAAAGACAAATGGCACAGTTTACAAAGTCTTGACAACACTGAAAAGAAAACTCACTTTGTTTGCTTGTGACAAGTCCACAGCCACATGCAAGACAGTAAAACACACACACACACACACAAAATATCCCGAGTGGAGTTGGTAGTGCCATCTGCTAAACGTGATGTGTGGAGGTCTGATTTCCATTCTCATTGTCCACCCCACACATCTAGTTTTGTGTCAAAAAGAATTCAGAAGCCAAATTTGCTTGTGAAAATGCAGGTGAACACAAGTGATATACTTTTAGGGATCAAAGCTTTCAGGTTGGCATGCTGTACACAATTAGCACTAGGGACTTCTGGTATTTACAAACATTTCCAATGCAATGCATAGGGGTATGAAATTGGTAAAATCAATTTCAAGTTTTTTAAAGTGAAACAAAGAACTTCAATATAGTGACAAATTCGAACTTTGACTGTCACATTGTATTAAGAAACCTGCTCAGCCAAACATATTTCTCCCCACAGTAGCTTTGTTCTCAAGAATCTTGTTACTTTTTACAGGAATCAATTCCACATGTTATATTCAATAACATTTGTTTTGTGTTTTATTTTATCTTTACAGGGAAAGGTGAATCCTTCCCTGGTAAAATGGTTCGAAGTGCAGATAAGTTTCAGTTTCAGGATATTTTCAGTGGTCGTTTTTCTCCTGCGATGTATTCATGTAACTGGATAGATGGTGAGTTTTTATTCTAACTATAACTTAATCAATATTTTCAAGTCCACTTCAAATTTAGCCTAAGTAAGGCCCTGCCTATGACAGAATGCTAAAACAATACTACAATGCTACTTGTGGCACCATTAAGATTGGCAAGAAGAAGCACCTTGATTTAATTATGCTTAGTGTACTGAACTTTAACCCCTCACTCGGCAAAGTGAGAAGCTATGCTGTTGATGAGGAAACCGCACATTGGGCCACTAAATTCGATGACAATTGGGGAGGATCGGATCGAGTGGGTGAAACACTCTCGTCTTTTGGGTGTTACTATCGACGAGAGACTTTCATGGACCCACCACCTTACTGATGTAAAAAAGAATTTTGTAAACAAACTTTGCCTATTGAAAAGGAGTTCGTTCTTGAACAGAAACGCCTGGTTGGAATTATACTTCAAGATAATACTACTATCAGTTCTATACGGACTAGTCATCTGGGGTGTCTGCCCTAATGCAGAGCTTCTACATTCGCTAGAAGTAGTTCACCGTAGGGCGGCCAGAATTATATACAACTTGCCCCAAGATATGCCTACTGAGGAAGTTTATCCACATTTGAACTGGAATACTTTAACCCTCTTTTATAAACTTCGATTAAACTACTCCATAGCGTGTTTATAGGTGAAGCACCTATGGCATACTTAACAACAAACCATGCACCACATACAATTTTCGAAGGAGTAATAATACGATTGTCCCGCGTTTTAACTCGCGGTTTCTTAAAAACTCCATTAGCTATAGAGGCGCTATACTCTGGAACACTGTCTTGAAACATTTCACAGACCAGTTTTCAGTTTTTTATCGCAAAGTGAAGAAGGACTCTTATTTTAAGGATCTCTATTTTAGTGCACAGTCAGTCCAGGCACTACCAAGATTTTAAATGCTTTTAACTATTTTTATGTCTTAAATGCTGTAGTCAATTTACTTAGAGATAAATAATGTAAATCATTTTTATTATTCTTACTGTATATTTTGTAGAGTGATTTTAAGGGACACTATTCTTATTGTTATTGTAATCATATTCACAAGCCCCCAGCTTTAAACCTCATCATGTTTAAATAAAAGATATGATTGATTGATTGATGGGTAGTGAAGGGTTAGCACAGATTTTAATCAGTCTTCCATGACTAATTTATCTTAAAACAACAGTTGCTGCCCTTAATTGTAATACCATGTGGTTTATACTAATGAAATCAACATACAGTGGGAGTCTTGGATAAAATTATACCTAGCTAAACAAAGTGGTGGAGTCAAAGAGATGGTGTACATGATGGTATGCATAATTCCCCACAAATCTGTCAACTCACAGAGTAACTTTCTCTAAATGCACATTTTTGTTTGTTTTGAATCACAAAACAAAATACTGTATTTATTCATCTATAAGCCGAGCGATTTTTTCACAAAATTTTACCAAAATCTCTAAAATTTGAGCTAGAGAAGGGTTCTCGGCTTATAGCCGAGTGTTTTTCCAAACAATTTTTTTTGAAACAGAAAATTCAAAGGAAACATAGTTATATTCGTCTATAAGCCGAGATATTGCATGCAGAAGTAAATAACAAAACAAGTTGAAGTTGGTCATTGACTTTATTTATGTGGTTGCTTGAAAAGGAATGGTTTGTTGTTTTCGGCGCATAGTAAATTTATACGGCTTACTGTTGGTCCTCAGTGTCGGTGTGAAATTTGTCGTCCATCTCCTCCTCATCCGCTAGTTCTGCCATTTCCTCCAAGTAGATTGCTTCATCTTCCATGCCGTCTAGAGTACTCAAGATTCTGCAGGTTTTGAACGAGTGTATAGATCTTGCAAAAGTGTTTTAAGAATTTTGAAACTGACCAATCAGAATTGCACATTCCCACAATTGGTAATCAAACTCTTCACATGTTACGGTATTTGTGAACATGTAGAAAGAAAACTGACCTTGGCGGAATTGGCTTCTCTGCTCTGTGAACCAGTTGATAAGTAATCTCCCATCCAGCTGCGGATATTTAGGAGTGTAATGGCCCATTGTTGTGCGTTTCGTTGACATCTCGAGCTCTCTACTGAAGAGATTCTCTTGATCTTTCCTCTAGCGACTCACTGAGGCCTTACTCTCTGGTTATCTCGGAATTGTTTTCGACAGCAATACTGCATTGAAACTCTCTTCTGTTTTGAAACTTTTGCGTTCATTTCAGTTTGTTCAAGAATGGAATTCTCTGAATATGGTCTCAGCCGAGTATTTTCAATTTACATGTTTTAAGAACCTTCCCGATTAATACAGACCGAAGTTTAGGGTCTCGGCTTATAAACAGATAATTATGGTAAACACAAATGCAGTGAATAGGTGTTAAACACCCAATCATTCACAGGAAATTCTACAAAATTAAAGATGAGCCCAAAAATGTCTATTCAAACAGATCAAGAAAAGCTCTTGGTAAACAATGATTTCCACCCACAATGTCAAAGAATTACGTGTAATCTCTCCTCAAATGAAATTGTGAGACAAGTTAATTAGTAAGAAAGAAATGATTCTATAACTTCCTTTCAAGAAGTGGGTCATTTAGATATTAACAATTCTTTTAACAAATGACACAAACAAAGTAAGTAAGTAAGTAAGTAAAGAAGTTTATTTATTCACGTTGAACACAAAAGAGCTTATGACAAAGCTCGTAAGAATGTGCACGTGCTAAATACTAGAAAATATGTAATAACATATAATAAAAAGTATGAAAATCATAATCTTTCACAATTTATGATTTATGACCTGTCCCTTCCAACCCAAAAATGTGCAGTAAGAAATGCCCAACTACTCTGATGTATAATTCATCATTAATTAACTGTCGCTTCTAACCCAATTTATATATGAAATATGTAATACTGAAGAAATCCCCAGCTACTATAACTGTTATAATGTTCAATTAAGTATTGGTACTGGTAGCTCTGTTATCAAACATGCCTCTTAAAAAACCAATTCTAAGTCGAACTTCTTCAAAGCTGTTTTAAAAGCCTTGATGTTTTCACTTTTCCTAACTTCCATATTAGGTAACTTATTCCATAGCCTACTGGCAGTCAAGGAGAAAGATTTATGCAGCCACTCAGAATTAAAACGAGGTTGAGCCAGATTACTGCCTTGACCCCTGAGATTATAGCCTACATGTCTTAAATTTAAAAAGTCAGTAATATAACTAGGACCAATAGAATTAAGGCATTTATATATCAAGATCAATGTCTGATAATACCTACGCCATCTTAAAGTACTTGATTTAACTAACTCTAAAAGACTTTCATAACTGTTATTTTTAACTTAAAATAATGTTCTTAAAATGTAATAATTAGCGTCTTCAAGTCTATTGGCCTGCACTTTGCCAATTAAGACCAATAAATATGCTACAATATTCTAAATGTGGGACAATGAATGCTTTATATAATAATATCATAGTATTCACCAATATGAATCAGGAAATTCTTTTTAAGGCAGCAGTCTTTGCATTAAAACTTTTTAAAGCTGTTCAGTGATATGCTCCTTTATCCAAGGTGATGCCCAAGATTTTCAAAGTGGGTTTAACATCTACTTTGATGCCTTTAATTTGGATCTCATATTCATATGTCGAAGAACCAAGAATCACGGCCTGAGTCTTTGTATTGTTAATGGAGAGATAATTTTGTTTAAACCATGTAGCAAGGGTAAACAAGTCTTAGTTAACCATAAACTGTAATGCTATCGAAGAAGCATCAGACTAATAGCTGGTGGTATCATCAGCATGTAATCTCAGCGCCATATTAGATTTACAATAATTAATATCATTTATGAAGATATTGAACAAAAGTGGACCAAGTAAAGATTCCTGTGGCACGCCCGCTTTAACTATTCTCCAGCCAGAGCATATGCCATCAATCTTAACTCTTTGGCGATGATCGTTTAGGTATTCACCCAGCAATTTTGTAGCTGCTTCAGAAAAACCGTAAGCTCGTATTTTAGCCAACAGCAAATCATGGTTTACACTGTTGAACGCTTTGCTGAGATCTACTGATGCAGTTGTGACGGTTTCTCCTTTGTCCAAACTTTTGCGCCAATCCTCAGTCATCTTCTATATTGCTGTTGCACACAAATGACCTTTCATGTATCCTGATAGGTTGCGGGACAGTAGAGGTGACATAACTGGATAGATCTGATTATAGATAACTTTTCAACGACTTTTGATAATGTGGTTAGGACAGAAACCGGTCTGTAATTGGCTTTGTCTGGTTTACTTCCTCTCTTGTATACTGGCATAATATTCAGTGCTTTTCCATTCTCTAGGTATACTTTGGGTATTTATAAAATGGTCAATGAGCTTTGTAACTTCAGTAGAAATGCTTGGAGAAGATAGCCTCAGCAGACATGAAGATATGTTATCCATGCCAACAGATTTTCTTGGATTCAATTGTTCCAGAATTCTTTGTATGTACTTTATGTCAACAGGAGTAAATGCAAAGTCGTCTAGCTGTTCCATGTTGCCTATCAATAACACAGTAGGATGTGCATTAAATTCCAAATCTTGAACATTATGATTGATTTTATCAGTAAAATAGGAATTAAAACTCTCAGCTGTAGTCTATAACATGATCTTTCTCAACTAGAGTGATTTTGTCGAGAGCCTTGCTTCTGGTATTTGGCAATAAAGGATTCATTCATTTCCAAAATTGCCTGTATGTTTCAAGTCATTTGCAGCGTGCTTACAGAAAGAATGCAATGCTTTTCGTTTCATTGATGTCACTATGTAACGTTGAACTTTGTATACATTCCATGTGCTTGGAGATGGATTCTTCCTGTGCAATTTATATGGTTTATTACGATAGAAAATTTGACGTTGTATCTCTGGGGTAATCCATGGTAATTGGTCCCCTCTTATTTGTTTCTTTTTAATTGGTGTGTGTCTGTTAAGAATGTCTTTATAGAGGCTCACCCAATGGTCCCATATGTCAGAGCAGACAGAGGAGATTAAATTGTAGACTTACTGTTAATCAGGTTTTATGTAAGATCACCTTTTGTGCAAGTGAAACATGTGCATTCCATATCCAGCCTTGATCAACAAGAACACTTATCTTGCACTATCTGATGACCAGTTTAAACTGCTTGTCATGAACTTGTTAACAAAATGTACAAGTCAGTATACAATTTAAGCCAAAGACTGCTTTAAAGGAATAACTTTATGTCTCTAGAATGTTTGAAATATGACACCCAACCGAAGAGTCTCTGTAACATCTTCAAACAATCTCCGACTTACTTTTAATAAGTAATTAATTAGATTGAAAGATATTGTTGCTATATTTGGAATCTTAATACAGTTGATTATAATAGGAAAATTGAAACAAGTAGACATTCAACCAATGACAAGTCAGGATTTTATTAGAATAATTCAACTACCAGTAATTGTGGTCACCTAATGACATTCCTTGCATTCTTGAGCCATTTGTCCTGTCTGTTGCAGCCAGAGTATTACTTGAATGTCATTAGCAATTTTTTTTGTCAATAAGTTACTCACAGACAGTTGATCTAAGTGTAGTAATCAGTATGGTGTAAATGGCCTTCATAGAAATTCACAGTCTTCGCACCTCATTTAAGGTGCGGTAATTCTGCCAACCAATGAAAGGCTACTTTGAACTCCCTGTGGAGTCTTGTGACAAAGAGGTCCATTAAAATTTTGGGAAAGGTCATCTTGCAACCCCACAGGAGAAAACCAGTGGATTGAACAAAGTCTAAAAAAAAATTCATCAAGAAAAGCAAAGAGACAAATTAAACTTACTACTATAGATGATTTCTCTATCTAAGAGAAAAAAAGAAACAAAATTTGGAAAATTTTGACCACATTTTGTAGACAGTAACCAAAATTCTGTTGGTACAAGTCATTTTATTTGAAACAACTTCAAACATGAAATCTTACATTAATGTATTTGAACAAAGAGTTTTTCCAAATGTGTGTTAATTTATGTTATGAGTCCTGATAGCCAGTGTTTCATCTTGTCAGTGAACTCTAGCTACTTCTCTCCGTTTCAATGACTAACCATATCTTATTTTTGAAAGAGAAACGTGTTAGATATTCACTGTGGGTAGTGCGTCCATGGTTTGATTTCTATTGGAACATGTCAAAATATCATAAATTAAACAAAGTATTAAAGATTGGACTTCTAAACATTTCTAATAATCATAAATATTAACACTATAGTGCTTTAAACATCATCCCTGATCATTTTCAGGTGTTGATCATGCAGGGTGTACAGGTGTTTAACTAACCATTTGATGTCTTATTACAGATAATAAATACATTACCTCTACACAAGATGGATTGGTATTAGTAGATTTAACTGAGGATAAAAAAGTTATTATGCTAGATGCTGATACCAAGGTGATTATCAGATACTTGTGTTATAGTTGACATTAATTTAATCTTCATGTAGCCCTTCCTCAAGCTCAAAATGACAGCTTTGAAACTCTTTACAGTGGCTAATTTACATTATCAAAATTACCTTGTTACACTCTCCCACTGATGCAGCACCACAGTTTCATTTAAGGCTTAATTATCCCCTCTATAAGTTTACTTTCAGGTGAGTATTAATTCCATTGACAAAGGAGGAATTATAGTTGCCAATTTGAGGCAGAAATTTTTTGTATCCTTTTTTAGAGGGAATTAACTTCTTTTCTCATACACAACTAGGAGCCATGCCAAGCCGACCATGCAGTCGGACCTTTATTATATCAACACAATGAACCATTAGGATTACAACACTAACAAAACAGCTAAAACTGAGCCTAGCTACAGAACACTGACCTGCACGAATAACTGGAGCTAAGGCACTACTTGAAATCCTATATCCCTAAAAACATATGGAGGGTGGGTGGGTTGGGAAGGTCAGGCAATGGCGGAAGGCATCAAAACAACTGAACTGAACAGCGGAAAACCACACTTCTCACACACAACTGGGAGCCATGCCAAGCTGATCATGCAACAGTACAACGCAAAGAGTATGAAATTCGAAACAAAATTGTTCAAAAGCAACGACTCAAAACCGGTGAGCTGCACTGGTTGTAATATAAAGAAGTGTCCATCCTTAACTGATTTGGATACAAGGAGAAGCGAACTCAACGACTCCTTTACACAATTGTTCCTTGCTTTCTCACCTCGCCACCCCCCATGCCTCTGAAAAAGTCTGTCTGGCACACCCAGTGCAGCAGCTGTGGAAGCCCCTCCTGCACGCAACCTGTGATTTCCAAATTTTGCTGGGTGCAACCCTTCTTTGAGAAGCTCCTTCTTAAGAAGCTCGTTAGCACGACTATATGACATCTGCTCTCTCCTCAGATGCACTCCATTCTTTGATGTCTGCACATGTTGAAACAATGGCGAGCCTTTAGCATGGTTTCCAACTGATAAGAACTTCTCCAAAACTGCAACAGGACATGGCCCGGGTGTAATGCAGCGGGCCACAAAAACCCATGATCCCTCACAGAACTGGTCATTCTTTCTCTTCTCCAGAAAAATGGCCACATGGGACTCCTCAAAATATAAACTGTCCACTCTCAAATGATGCAGGTCATTCCAACGGAGAAAACCAAAATAACCCAGGGTGAACAACACAGCCAAATGGATGTCAGCAACACTACCCTTCTCTAGGCGAGTGACAACTTTTTGTACTATGTCAGCAGACAAGGGGTCTTTACGCTTTGGAGGATGAGCAAGAATATGCTGGGCAGCCTCGACTGCCTGCTTCACCATAGAGTACTCGCTTGGTTCCGGGCAGCCACTTTTGCTATGGACCCAACTCACCCCATACACTGCTGTATTAACTGAGGACACTGAACGGGACTGCTGGATAATAGACACAATATAGAGAGTAAACACCACAGGGTCTGCAGGCAAATAAGGGGCACTGTGCTGCTCAGCCCATGACTTCCAGGACTTGTATGCACGAAGATAGGTTACAGCTGTTGAAGTGGCTCTATCCAGCACTAACACAGCTGATAGAAAACTTGCCAAACGCCTCAACTCTAGATCATCAAAACACCCCACTCCAAATTCTGCTGGAAGAGTAACCTCCCGTGAGATAGGCTGCACTGCTGCAACACAAGCAAATGACAACACATTCTATAAAAACAGAACATCACCCACAACAACAGAACAACACCACAACAACACCACAACACCACAACAACAGAACAACAGAACAACAGAACAACACCACAACAACACCACAACAACAGAACAACACCCATTTTAGGACATTATAGGCACCAGTGACAAAAAACATCTCAAATGCAACTCAGTCCATGACAAACTAAAATGCCATAACAGCTCAAGGGAGCCCATAACAGGCAGAGAAACCATAACAGTGGATCAGGAAAAACAAAAAAATTCCAGCACATACTGCAACACTGTAACAGCAGCAAAAAACATGACACCTGCCAGCAGAAAATTCCCATAACAGGCTGGTCACATAAGGAAAGCGGGTACACAGAACAGCCACAACCTGAGGCTGGCAAGGTTCCTGGGAGCATCCATGCTTCATGACCTTACAGGCTAAGACTCCAAAGACGCTAGGAGAGAACATGTGCACCACAAAAGCACAACTTCAAAGCCAGCAGACAAAAAGATGGCACGCCTGCAGTAAAGACGCAGCTTGCTGTTGCTCCTGGAATGAAAAGACCCTCATAACTTTGGATTCTTAGGGATGCTGTCACAAAACCATGCCAAGAACCATGCTTTGCGAAGAGAAGGGGCCACCAAGGTGCAGAAGGCCATTCTGGGACCAGGAGGGTTCCGTCTTCCCGTCAGTTGCACATGTGGCGCAACACACTAGGCACCAGGGAAGGCAGAGGAAAGAGCCAATTTTAATCCCCTACCCACAACACAGTGAAAGCATCGACAGCTTGACAACCAGGATTGAGGAATCTGCTTCAAAATCTGTCCAGCTGCTTAGTTTTCACACTGGCAAAGTGGTCAATGGTGTGAGGGCCCCAACAGCTATCCAAGCGAGCAAACCATGAGGGATCTAGCATATAATCGTTACAATCTTCAATTCGTGATAACTCATCAGACTCCCTATTAAGATCTCTGCTAATCCACTCTATAGTCAGGCGAATGTCAAATGACCGGCATAACTTGTAGATGTTCAGTGCCTCATTATGAAGGTCAACTTTGCGGCTTCCCGCAGAAAGAATGATTTCTGTGTTCCTATTGTCAGTCCTGTGCAGGACCTCTTTCCCTCTCAGCTGAGGAGCAAATGATTGCAAGACAAGGCTAGTAGCCCTAAGTTTCCTGAAGGTAGAGCTCATTTTACTCTCCTCAACTGACCAGTTCCTCACCGCTGACTGTCCTCCAAGTTGCACAGCAAATCCACCCCAGCCTGTGTCGCTGGCACCTGAGTAAGTCAAAACCTCAGGCTTTGGGCTAGAAGACCAAATAGGATAGCCCGCATTATCAAAATTCTTCTGCCAGAAAAGAACTTCCCCCTGTGACTCTGTAGATAACTGAAAAGGGCTGTCCCATTAAACTACATGCAGAATATCATGATAAAGACTCCGTGTCCACAGGCGTACTACTGGACCCAGCGCCAGACTCATAGAAGCCAGGAGTCCTGTAAAATGTGCTACCTTGAGGGCAGACACAACAAAACCATGATCTAGAACATCCTGTAGAACATGAAGAAAAGTATCCACCCTCTTCTGTGGAACTTGGAATGTACCCATTTGTAAATTCAAAACATAACCCAGCAACTCCCCTGACTGGACTGGTACCCATTGGCTTTTCTCATCATTTGCTACAAAACCGCTACGTTGTACATCTTGCCTTACCAAATTAGAAACCCTCTAAGCTTCATGAAAATCAGAATCCGCACCTGCACCATCATCCAAATAAGTAAATATACGAATTCCTTGACTCCTCCATTGCTTTGTTAGGGCTTTCTGGATTTTCATAAAAACAAAGGACCCATGGAGAGACCAAAAGAAGAACGGTAAACTTGAAGTATTAACGGAACCATTAACCATCCAAGCGCAACCGAGGAATTTAGTATGCTCTGGAAAAATTTCCACATGGTGATAACCACTGGTGTAGTCAAACTTAAAGAACCAATCACCCTGATTGAACAAGTCAGCTGCAGTGCATATGTCTTCATATTTGAACTTGCATGATCTGAGATGTTGATTCGCAAAACGCAAATCCGCCTATGCTTTCCTGAACTGTTAGTAGCAACACCCAGTGGGTTACACACAAGTAGGTCTGCAGCATTAACTTCAGCCAAAGCACCTGACATTAGCAACTTAGAGATCTCTGAAGACACAAACTGCATATTACATAACGTACTATCATGATTGCAAAAAAAAAAAACTTCTTGGAAGGTAAATCTACAAATGGCAAACAATAACCTTCACAAATCACTTTCAGCAATCAGTTACTTGCTCCAATACTGTGCAAAAATCAATACTTTTTTATAAACGACCTTTAACAACAACACCACTATAAGCAACGTTCTCAAATATGGCACTTTCACTGGTAATATGCAAGGAATCCATTTCACATGAGAATAAACAATCGTCCATCCCACAAAAAGAAGCACTAATGGGCTGGCTGTTGGTAATTGGTTGAGGTCTGCCCAGCTGATCCTGCCCCGTTGAAAACATCGGCGGCATGGTAGTCTCTAGTGTAGTGACCTGGTTTGAAGCAACGGAAACAAACAGACTGCCCACCCATCATGAGACTGATTCTGTTTTCCTGCCACAAATGGCGATACCCCACTCGGGCTATTTCAGTTGAGGATAAGCCTCCTTTCCAAAGACCACAGAATTACTCCTTTAGGCCTTGTAACTTTAGAAGAAGAATTTCTTCTTTTCTCCTCCCTCGACTGCTTGCTCTCCTTGATGGTTTTCCGAATTTTCTTTTCGTCATCTGAGTCTCTAGCAAACAGATCCGCAGTATAACAAGAGACAGTGTCCCATCCATATTTCTTGGCAAGAAGAATATGCTTGTTTCACTCCACAAGTAAGTCCTTACCTTCTGTAAGTTTTCATGTACGTTCTTCATTGTCTTCAGCCCGGAGGGCCTCGTCAATCTTCTCCATTACATCCTTACTGAGCAAGTACTGCTTCCTGTTCCCGGCAAAACAAAACTCAGGATCTGCTGCACAAGGCTGCTGACTCTTATGTGACTGTGCCCTTTAACTCTTCCTGAACCCGCTTAAGTTCTGCTGCATTCTCCTGCTGTTGTTGTAGGAGCTTTTTGGCCCAGTCTGGAGGATTGGATGGCGATCGCGAGGGTGATTGCGAACAAGAATGATGGTGTGAAGCACAGGAAGATTCACCACCATGTTCCTCGCCAGTATCTCTCGAATGACTGCTTGGACCGTGGTTGTATGGCTGCAATCGTCTTACAGCATGAGATCTCGGGCGTGAGCTCTCCTTTGCCATCGAATGATAATTATAAAAAAGAACAATACAACCAGGACAAAGAGACCGTAAACAACTGCTCAGCCAAAAGAAGGTCAGGCAATGGCGGAAGGCAACAAAACAACTGAACTGAACCTTGAAATGCCATGTGACCTGGAGACCCCTCACATACTTGAACCCATTCTCCCAGCTGCTTGTGAGAAAAAAGTTTTCCGCTTCTTTCATCCCTCAGCCAGTGGAAAACCACACTTTTTCTGACACTGAAATAAAGTCTTATTTGTTATAATTATAATACATACAGGCTAGTCAGTATACTACTGGACATTTTTGGTCTCACTGCTTTGAATTCAGGGCTTTGTTCTACCCACAGTACTAAGCAAATTATAACATCCTAATTACAAGTGATATTTCTTTCTTCCCTTTGAACTTTGGTACTCCCTTCTTGAAGGACATAATAACAATCTTAGCTATGGTTTGTTATAGTCTTAGTTCCAGTCCATCAATGTGGGGTGGTTCTTTTTCTTTTAAGCAGTGTTTATTACCATTATGCCTGACTAAACTTGGAATTGCTTTTTCTTGCAATGTAAAAAGGTCTCTTTTTTATCAAAGCAACAACACTGAAGAGTGAAAACTTCAGTTGCAACAAAATTTTTAACCATCCAATAAAGTTTTGCCCGGAACTCACAACCCCTTTTCAAGTTTTTTACTTGATTGATGACTCTAGAGTTTCAACCTAACTTTGACAACCACCTTTCAAAAGGTTTGGGAAAGGCCCTTCACTTCCTTCTGTTATGTACAGTACCAGATCCCCAAAAGCTTGCCTTTCAGCCTTGTGCTCTTTCAAGTGAGCCAATTGAATGATGGTTTGGCGTTGGCAATGTTTTTTTTTCTTTTTCAAAGACCACATATTTCACAAGTGCTTTTTCTACTTGGAAGGAAATGATTTGCATGTAATTCAAACTTCATCTTGACCAGTGAGATTGATTTTCAAATATCATAGAATTCTTATTCGTATGTTCAACTTGAAGTATTGATTACCATTGATAATTAATACAAGACAAAAATAATTATTAAAATAATCTGAAAAATTTAAAACTAATTGTATTTTTTTACTGTACCATGATTTTTTTTAAACTCAACTTTGAGTTATTTGAATATGGGGGTTGTCCAAATCAACAGATTCCTAAGAATATATCTTTTTTTCCCCTTTTTAGGAAAAGTTGGGGATCTACAAACATTGGTTTTCACCTGACAGAAGATACATTCTTTATATTAAAGATCAAGTACATGTAAGTTAGACATCAGTTGACATGTGTATAAGTTAAGAAATGATCGTAATAACCTTAGATAATTAACCCTTTCCACCGTAACATCAGTATGCATACTCTCCATTCTGTTCTTTATACATTTCCTTAGTAAGGAGAAACTGTTTAGCAATCAAGGGCTTCTATAGTTGGTGATCATTTCCTCTATTTTCATGACCATCATGTGTGATTCAGGGCTGATATTGTAAGGAGAAATTAGATGCTAATCACTCTTGAGATCAAAGGGTTAAGTACCACATTGGTACAGTTACATATTAAGCTATACCTCTTCAGCTAACAGTTATTGTAAAACAGGAGGATTTTTATTGATGTTCTGACTTTGTTGTTGTAACACTTTTTTTTTTTGCCTTTTTTAGCAATATAGATATTCCTTTTTTGCAGAGTATTATATATATGATCTTGTGACAGGGTATGTATTGCTTTCCTGAAGTTTTAATTAGCTGAAAAGCCCTCATTGATAATTAACTTTACAATGAGTACAGGATGTTGCTAGACTTAAATCTATAGGCACCCATCAACACTTTCTTTATGGTGTTGGCTGTAAAGTCTAACTTTTAATATATGTTATCTGCAGAGTAGTTATCCAAATTGATCCTGGAAAGGGAGAAGATGCAAAGAAAATACAATATGCCACATGGGATGAGAGTGGAAGTAGTTTGGTACAGTGATTAATTTGGTATTTGTTACCTAGACTGCAGAACAACTTTCTCCAAGTGCTTTTGATCATATATTTTGGCGTGTGGTAGTCAATTTTTATCAATATTTACCCTCCCCTTCCTTTAAAAATTTCTCAAATAGTAGCAAATGTTTTATTAATAAGTAGTTTATATTCATTTACATATTATATTTATATTCATTCATTATATTCTTCTGGCATAAATCAAGATTACATGGTACTTACGAAAACCTAACATATAGGAAATATAAATGAAACTAAACAGAGGATGGGATGGATCATTTTCACTCAAAACTGGCCAATTCGTGCATAAATGTATCAAATGGGGAAAAACATGCCTCCTTGCATGCATTTTATTTGTTAATTGGAAAGTTAAGGTTCCTATAATTTTTACAACTTTGGTTCAGATTTCTATGGAATGTGGTCCGATTAACTGATTTATAGACCCAGTTTATCTTGTGTTTGTTTGAAAATTATGAAGAATTTCCTAATCTCTTGGCATTGTTGAAGAGGTTTATTTGTATAGAACAGCTCATGGATGTGGCCTTGAAAATGGGGAATTTGAGTGTTTTTGAAAGGTACCCAAAGGATACCCAAAAGTAAGTTTTATTGTTAATATGGTGTTAGATCACCCCGCAAGCTGCATTTAATATCTCATTTCAGGCATTTGTGTACAAAAATGACATTTTCTACAAGGAGTCACCCAAATCAGCTGTCAAGCGGCTGACTGATAGTGGTGTGGTAAACAAGATCTTTAATGGAATCCCAGATTGGGTGTATCAAGGTTTGTGACTGTCACTATCACTACTTTATCAGAAAACAAAACTCATGCCAAAAGGCCTTATCCCATTATATTTTATACAGTAATAGAGCAATTGATACTGGGCTCTACAAGTGTAGCATATCCATGTTAATTGCCCAGTATCATGGATTTGCTCAAGTTAGAAGGAATCATCATGCTTAAGAGATCTGTTGTCAGTTGATATTTATCATTCCAAGATATTGCAAACAGCACTATTTTGCATGCCATAGCCTTTTTCAACAACAGTCATGTAACTAAAGGTACTAAGTCAATTTCAAGACCCTTGCCAGTGTCTCCCTGCCTGATGTGTTTAAACCCCAGTACATCAGCAGGTTGGAAACAATTACTGATATTTGAGGCTTTCATTATTTTCTCAGTTAAAAGTGCTTGACAGTTCTTTTCAGTTAAGTCTGATGGCTGGTTTTAGTTATGCATTGTCTGACTCACTGCTTAGTTCACTTTTTAAAGTGCTTCGAATTCTCCAACATTTTCTCAGTTAAGTTGGTTCCTCCAATTAAACATTTGGTTATTTTTCTTTTTTACAGAGGAGGTGCTTAACTCTGACCATGCCCTTTACTTCTCCCCTAAGGCTACGTTCATAGCATTTATTCAGTTTGATGATACTAAAGTGAATTGGTACCAGTTTCCTTGGTATGGCGATAAGGGAAATTCATATACCTCAATACGAAAAATTGCATATCCCAAACCAGGATTTTCAAACCCAACAGTGACTGTGAATGTGATTCACCCGGAGACTGGGAACACGGTGTCATTGTTGGAACCTGTTGATTTCCGGAAAATGTAAGTATGTGTACAGATTTGAAGAGCAAGTTATTTTCTACAGTCTCCTTTATTTATACTTGTATGCATCATTCATTGACTAAGGGTTAGATCAAGATGGCTAAATATTGGCCAAGTTCTTTTACTGCAATTTTTATATTAAGTCAAAATTAAGGTTCATAAAAAAATGTAAGGGTCAAAGTGATGCCATCCTAACTGGAAAGGCTTTGACATCTAAATGACAAAACAGCATACAGTCAAGCCTCAGTTGGACCTTGATTATCCAGACTAATTGCCTCTCTGGTACCAATTTTTCACAAAAATTAATTAGCCACATTTGAGAACTGTAACAACTCTGAGATGATTAACATGGAACTTGCTCATATGTTATCAATGTTTGATCAAGAAAACAGGTGTCTAGAATGGTCAAACTTTATAATGAGCAAGGGGTTATGATTGTGATGAGGTATCACCAAATTTGTTTTTCAGTGACAGCGTGGCAGAAGCCAGAAAGGTGAATTGGAAATCAGATATCGATGTTGTCCTTTTAGGGGATCCTCTGTACTCAACAATAGTTAAAGTAAATGAGATACTGAATGATGCCAATCAATTTACTATTTTTGTTTCATTCCCAGTGATCATTATGTCATTAACATTGCATGGGCTTCAGAAACAGCTGTAATTGTGACCTGGCTTAACAGAGACCAGAATAAAGCTGTGCTTCACATGTGTAACCTGGAGCAGACATCTACTTCTCCTTATCTACGTTCCATCTGTGAAGAGGTAATCTTCAAACAACTGTTAGATGCCAGTAACTTTTACTTGTGTTGCATGATTGTAAGCATTTGAAGGGACGTTTACCTAATACAGACTCATTGCTTTCTGAAGTTGAACATGTGATGTTTGAAGAATTCATTTAGCCCATTTTTTCCATGTTTGCTTGTTTTTAACACAGTTTTAATTATGTTGTTTAGTATACTAATGTATTCCGACATTTTTTTCATGTTTCCAAGAAAAAAAGACTTTTGGAAAAACTGTTTTTAACTGACACGAAAAGATGTTTTAACTGCTTCATTGTGTTCACCTTCAAGCGAACAACAGGCCTTTTATTTGATATACTTCATCAATCACTTTGTATCTGTGAATGCTGAATTTTATTCCAAGCAAAAAAGTTACTTGTAATCAATGAAGCTAACAGTGACAAGAAGGGTCTGTGGAAACTGCTAAGACAGAAGAAAACAAACCCTAATTAACATGTACACTATAGCTATCAGAGGGAAGAAAACTCTCAGAGGGGATATGGTTACAAACCACAAACCTCTTCTTAAGGGGTACAGTATTGTCAATTGTTATATTAATGAAACTCTTTGTTTAATTTAGAACTCTGTCATTACAGTGCAGAATGGTTGGGTGGATGATAAGGTATTTTTTCTTGTAGCAAGTTATTCTCTGTGCCTTTCAGAAATTCTCTGATTATTATTTATAATTAATACTTATATGGTATAGGGTCTTACCTGCACCCTTCATTTTTAAAATATGACCGTTTATGTCAATGATAAGATTGACCTTGGATTTATTTCAAACCTCTTTCAGTACCAAACTCCTTATTTCTCCAAAGATGGATCTTACTTTATTACAAAATGGCCATTCTCACAAGGTGGTGCAGGAAAATTTATTCATCTTGCAAAGATAGGGACAAAGGTTTGTTTTGCAGTCAAGAGAGCTGATTACTTGAGGTTATGGAAAAATCACAGTACATTTCACTAGGTCATTTATATTATTTTCAGTGATAGAGTGAATGCCCTTAGCTTCCTTATAATAAAATTATAGTAGTTTGCTTACTGGACTCAAAATTGAAAAACTGGGGCCAAAATGGTGGGCAGACTCTTGTATTTGTGTGGTCCTTTCTTTAGCAAAACACTTACCCTTCACAGCTTTAATTAGGAAAACAATTAGTTATTGATCAGCTGTTTGGGTAAACAAGACAGAATGGTTGGTAAAACCGAGGGAAACCTACAATGGACCCAAGTTACATCCAGGCTGAGGTAGTAGCAAAACTCTGCACCACAGTTGTTCAAATGCGTGATTTTTCACATTTGATATCCTTGCAGTGCTTTAAAAGTGAACAAAACATTCAGGGTAATAATTAATAGTGTATTGCAGATAAAACAAGTCCTAGTTCATGGTTGGCAAGCCTTTGATTTGGAGTGAGGCTGAAGGTGACCTAGTTGTGATAGACCAGCATCTATTTAGCATGATAACAAAGTAATTTACATTTGAAAAGCAGCAACATCTGTATCATAACAAAGTCACCCTTAGCCTCACTCCCGTTCAAAGGCTTGGCAACCAAGCATGCAACTGTAAAATGGACTATTGTTCCAAGGGTGGATATTGCTATCCACTGGTGAATTCCCTTAATGGTTGATCTAGCGCAGTTTGTTTTCTTAACTCTTAACCAGTGGTTAGCAAATTTTTATCTGTTGCCATGGATAGTGTTATCTGCTTTTTAAACAACTGGGTTGAGATGGTTAGTTGTTTCCAACTTTTTTACTATCAGACCTTAGTCACTGTATAAATGATCATTCAACCTCCACTGGTGAGGTCTTACTTGTGGGTTGTCATTTCGTTGAAATGTTTTTTTTGCTTTATAATTCAGATGGTTTTTGTGATTTCAGGGGAAAACAAATCCTGTAGCAGTAACAAGTGGAGCTTGGGAAGTAGTGACCATTCTTGCTCATGATGACAAAAATGAGATAATGTTAGTACAATTAATTGGAGTTATTATTAAGTTTTATAATTTATCCAAATGTGCTTCATAGAGTACAAATAATGCGTAAGATGAGTACAATTATCAAGTGATATTTGTACTCCAAAAATATCCACAAAATTCACCCGCACTGAAATAACAATTTGGTGTGTTGGATAATAAATCTCTTACTAAATGTTTTGTTATGTAGTATCGCTGAGTATTTTTACTTGTTGTTTGTATTTTGACTTGCCCTAGGGGCTCATCAAAATATGGCACAACTCATAAAAATAGTCAGCAATACTACTCAACAAAATGTCATATAAGATATGTAGATATTTTAGAAAATCAGTAACTCTGCTTTTAGAATCTGTGGTAACTTGAAAAACATTTTCCATGATATGAATTAGAGATAATGATCAATCAGTTTTGCTGTAAGGATTATTTATGTCTCACACCATTATGATTATACTTTCTTGCAGCTCTTGAATTATTTGTATCATCATTTTTACTGCTCTTATATGAAATAACTAAATTTTGTTCATAAATATTCCATCCATTTACTAACAAAATGTTCCTCATCAGATTTGATAACATAATGGTGATGTTGAAAAGGCTTTATCAACTTTTACATTTTCAATCACCAAACTGAACTTAAACCTCCTTTTTAGTTAAAAGTGATTCTGCAAACAATGATGTGACAATAACCACTTATTTGATAACTTCCACTGTAAATGGAAGGTCTTAACTGCGTTTTACTTCTGCCATCTTAAGTTATAAGGATCAACAACATATTAGTGCATTACTTTATGAATTATCAACCCACCAACACTTCCCATTGACTGACTGACAAGATTAACCTCCTTACCTTTGTACCTCCCAGTACCTCCTTGTAATGGTGCATGAAATTTTAACCTTTGAGGCAAGCAAAACGTTCTTGACTTATAGATACTTCAGTGCAACCAAGGAATCACCAACTCAGCGTCATATCTACAGGTCTGTTAACACTTCTAAATTGCTTAATGTCATTTATTTGGGCAGAGACCAGTGTCAACCTTTCATATGTATACATACAATAGCTAGGTAACTTGCAATGTGCTCACAAGTGTGGCTAGTTTGTGAGTAAAAGCACCATTGAGTTCAAAGAAAAATCCCTCCTATTGAAGTTCTTTCAATCATCAACTGGCCATTGGTGACCAACTCCCCAGCTTGGATTTCACAGGAAATTAGAGGTGCCATGATGTAAAAGTTTTACACTGAATCCAGGTTGTTTTTTGTCTCATATGTATAGGGGTTTAGCCCTTTGGTTTCACTCAATTTAGCATATTTTGGAACTTATTTGATCAATTAAAGTTTGTGTGAAGGAGAAAGTTTAGTGAGGGTGATATCTGATAGTTACAATATATTTGGAAAAAGCAGGAATGTAGCACTCCCAGTCAATTCTCAATTCTGATGTCTTCTTTCCAAATAAAGCAACCAGTTCCAAAGTATTTGACACCATGGCACTAAGAGTGGTGGCAACTTGGATAGTTAACAACTATTCACTGAAGTGGAGGTGGTTAGTGGTGGATATTTACTGAGCCGCGAAGCAGCAAGGTAAATTTCCACCGCTAACCACCAACACTGAGGTGAATAGTTGTTTTAGTATATACTAAAACAGTGAGATAATATACACCACCGTCGTTAATTTGAGTGATGTCTTCACTTGTCACAGATGCAAACCGGGACGCCATTTTTCCTGAGTTGCTCGGAGGTAAATAACAAAGGATATTCGGAGTTTGACTAGCCAATCAGAGAGCGCTTTGAACGTTATCCACTCTTTTAGTATATACTAATTGAAAATATTTATCGCGGGCCTAGAACTTTCTTCTTCATACTGTTACAATGAGTGTAATTTTGTGCTGTCCACCATTGCCTATTATTCTGTTATAATTCTCTGGCTTTTAACTTTGTTTCTTGTTTCCTTGGTTGAATTTGCAGTGTGAAAATAACATCAGGAGAGCTTTCCTGCTTGACTTGTAATCTAGCCACAGTGATAAGTAAGAGGCTACTAATAGTAGTTAAAAGACCATCCTTGCTTAAGTAGCCTTGCATGCCTGTATTTTTGTCTTGAATGAAGTGTGCCATTTGGCCTTTCCCCCCAAAAATTAAGAATACTTTTCAACTGCATGAAATTTATGCAATGCATTTTAATTGAAAAATAGACCCTTTTTATATGAAAAACAAATTATTGGATGAGTTTGAGTATGATATCATGATATCTTGTGGCCAATTTCCTCAAGAAGGCTTTTCAGAGCCTATAATTTATAGCATGTGAAAGGATTTGAAACAAGTCTCAAGTTATTAACCATCTCCATCAGAGGAGATAGGGAAGTGATGAAGTAGAAAATGCAGCAGTATTTTATTCCCTGTCTTCAGCAGGACAGAATATATAAGATCTTGCAGGTAGCTACTCACCTTTTTTGAACAGTGACCTGTGTTGGGGGTTCTTTTCTGCTGACTATGGGAAAATAGTTTTGGAATGTGTCCTTCAGTTATGAATGTTTCTCAATCAGAGTCTTAATTTTTTGCTTTAGAGGGAAACAAGTGCTCCTATTACAGTGCAAGTTTTAGCCTTGGTGGTAGCTGGTATATCTTGTACTGCCGAGGTAATTTCCTAATATCCTGTAAATGCATGGGCTCCCATTGGCAGTGTAGCACAAGTCATGTGGCTTGCATGCTAACTCATTTCTCGGGGTCCCACTGTTGTATGGTAAATGAGAGCCTGTTCATAAGAGCAGGTTTTGAGCATTGTTTTGGATATTATTAGGTGTTTGAATGGTTAAATTTGTAGAGTTGGATAAATTATTATGCATTTTGTTAAAGATAAGAAGGAAATGTTGTCTCCTGACACCACTCACTGTGAATGAGACATCATCATTTGAATTTAAGCAATTTATAAGCCAAGGATTCATTCAGAAAATTGATTGAAATCACTTTCATCTCTTCTCTTTTTCTCTGCCAATAACCTCGGTTATTTAGACCTAGTCACACTGTTAAATTGAACTTAAGTTATTGTCAAATTTAATTTAACCTTTTTCTCCCTTGTTATTCATGCATTTTTATTTTCTTTTTGACATTCCTTCAATTGGTTTTTAGGACCAGGAATACCAGAAGTAACTCTCCGAAGCACAAACATTGATAAAGGTGAATTTAGACACATTGTGGTTAAATGCCTGCGTTTCAATAGCTTCCTATGCACCAGGATAGTCTTGCATGTAAAATAGTGTTCAAGGCATGTCTTTGTCAAGACATTCTTGCAAGCATTAACTATTAACAGAACCTTTCTGTTATTCTTGGCTCGTGTGTGTCCAGGGTGGGTCATAAAAAGTTACTGGATGTGATTCCTCTGAGAACAACAAAGTAACTAATATAAGGCAGTGACTGTGTGACTGATTTCATTATTGATACTTTTTAACCCTTTGCACCATAACATCAGTCTCCATATTGTCTCCACTCTTTTTTCTATATAATTATTTCTTTTCTTATTAACCATGAGAACTTGGTTAATAATCAAAGGATTGCTCTAAGGCAAAATTAGATGCTGATCACTCTTAGGGTTAAAGCTAGGGTGAAGCAATCTTAAGAGTGGAAAGCAAAAAAAAAATTCAAGTTAAGGTCATGGTAAGTTGCAAACTCAAACTAGTACAAATCATTTTGTGATCACATACTCTTGAACACAACTTTGCATTTAGTAAACACAGCATCAGTTTGCCCAGATCTTTGCTGGGTGTTATTTATTTCTAAGTGTCATTGATAAGGGTATTTTTTAGGATTTTTATCAGCATAAAATGTGCTTTCTTTTGACTATTGACTGGGTTAGTTCAGAAGATGGAATAATCGCTTTGCTGACAACTTTTGGTGACATTTTCCTCAGTTTGTGGTTCAGTAAACCACCAAGTGAAGGGGCATCAGGGAAGGTGGGGTGGGAGGTTGCAAATCTATCTTCTATATAAGGATTCTGGGTAGTTTTTGATCATACAAATTTAATTGTTGCCAGCCATTCTAAATGTGGATTCTTTGATGATTTTTTCCATGCATGTCAGTTGAGACCCTGGAAGATAACCACGCCCTTCGTGAAAGATTGGATGGAGTTTCTTTACCCGTAGTGGAAAGTTACAACATCACAAGTGGTAGCTATGGTAAGTAAAACCTGCGAGAAATGCATAAAATGTTGTGATTCCTCCAAGACTATACATAGACGGTTTTCATAGTTCTTATGTAAGTGGATATTGCTTCAATGTGAACAATGGGTGAAGTTGCTAAGGAGTCCTTTCCATAAAAGTAACTGGCCATGTTTGTCAGCTGTAACTTAGCTACAGCATTAAATTTTGTGTACTTTTTTTCATGATCTGTCTTAACTAATTCTTTATACTTATCTTTTATGTTCTTTATATAATGGAGGACAAATATAATCTACTTACAATTATTTATTATTTACTTCTTATGTCCTCTTTTTTTCAGATCTTTACGTAAAAGAATATCGCCCACCAAACTTTGATCCAAGAAAGAAATATGCTGTTCTATTTTCAGTGTAAGTACACTTGTTAATGTAGTAATTATCTTCTTTGAATTTCCAAACCGCGAGTTGTTAACTTGAAAAAAGGTATCTTTAATAGGCTATTGTGCCCTCAAATTATCTTCAATATGGGACTGACATTTAAATGTGTATGTCCTGTCTGATTAAATATGTCATTTGTGAAAATTCCTATGTCTTGCCATACTTGTTCATATTGCAAAAAAAAAAAACAACAAAAACAAAATGAACAAACAAAAGCTATTTGTACTTTAGGAGGTTTGTGAGATGTTTGGTGTAACAATGTTATGTTTTTCACTTGAAAGAGCAGTTTGCTCAACAGATGGCGGTATTTTGTACAAAGAAACACCAAACAAAATTAATCAGTATCTGCTGTTGCATCTTGCAAAGCCCTCTGACAGGTTTTCCACAGTGGATTTTACTAAAATTGAATATATATAAATGAATTTCAAATTATTTTCAGGTATGGTGGTCCAGCATCTCAGAAGGTACTTTTAATCAGTACTACTTACATGTAACATGTCAGTCAAGAGTTAAAGTTCAACTTCAGTGTCTTAATTTTAATGAGTTTGTTATTTTACTTAGCTGGTTCTCTGATAGCTGAGTTTTGTTGAATATTGGTGTGACTAAGTAGTGTCCTTGATGAACATTTTTCATGTATATGTGATGGAAATAAGAGACAAGCTAGTACCCTGTGGGTAGTGTGGAGTACTTTGGATCAAGATGTGCAGGTGTGAGCCCTGGTTTGAGCTGCTTTGTGATGTGTTCCTGGATAACAAGCTATCTTAGGGGGGCAGTCTCCCCAACCAGGAATGTAAGCAAAGGTTTTGAAAGACATGACATTGTTGAGGGGTTTCCTGTGATGGAGTAGCATTCCTTCCAGAAGGAGAATGTAAAAGGGTATTCACTGGCCTGTTGTGAATGAATGAGTGGTGTAGAGTTATTTGTTTTGTACTTGGGCTGAGAGACTTAACCTTGTGTTCTTCTTCTGCACAGCTTGGCTTATGTTGCTTGTTTTGGTGCAGTATTTTCTTTGTTATTTGATTGTTTGGTGTTTTTTTTTTCATCAGGTTGTTGACAGTTATGGATATGGATTTGAAACTGGCTATTTAGTTAGCAACTTTGACTTGATTGTGGTGAATGTTGATGCCAGAGGAACATGCTGCAGAGGAGAAAAGTAAATGATACAATGTTTTCTTTTTGAATGGACTTCTAAATTGCAACTTTTATCTAAAGAACATCTACAAAGAGATTTCCTAATTGACCCAAACAATCATTTAACCCCTCATCCCTCACAGTTAATGTTCCAGCTGTGTCAGTTTCAAATGATTATTATGTCACATGTCATCATTTCCACACAGCAAAAAGAAGATATGGTTTTGTTATGTTGATATGTCGTAAGTGTGAAGTACACATTCAAGTTATGCTAACCTGGGAAGTATACCTCAAATTTTAAATATAAAGTAAACCGAAGTCTTAATTGTCTTATTTTGTAGGTTTAAGCATGAAGTTTATCGACATCTGGGAGAATATGAAGCAGAAGATACAATTAATGTTGCCAAGTAAGTGGTGGAGCTTGGAAATTGTCTACTATAAATCACTCTGCCTTATAGATGCATTGAGAATTTTAGTTAATGCAGATTTTGTGAGAATGGCATTTTGAATGAGACACAGCAAGGCATATGATGAACTTTTTCATCATCAAGAAAGCAGTATAGAGAGCTTGAGCTTGACTGTATCTGATTACAATATGGCTCCAAATTAGAAAATTAATACTAATTAAAACAACTGAAATGTGCAACATATTTCTAATTAGTCTAATGCCATCAGTGGCATTGATTTTTGAAAGTTCCATTTCTTGGTCCTATAAATCAACTTTTTACTAGTCTTGGCATTGTAATTGTGTTTTTGTTTGTTTTATCCACAGGGAAGTTGCAAAGTATGATTATGTTGACGAAACAAAGATGGCCATATGGGGCTGGGTTCGTAGAAGTGTTTGGTTTTATACCTTTGATTGTTGTGATTTTTTTTGTACATACAGCATGAACATGTACAGATGAAATAAACAATTTTTTAAAAATCGAGTTTCCAGATGGGATTTGAACCCACAACCCTCCGTGATCTAGTCGGAAGGTCGTGGGGACTAGATCACGGAGGGTCGTGGGTTCAAATCCCATCTGGAAACTCAATACAGCATGAAACTTCTTTTTTGTGAGTTTAGTACATGACCATGATTTTGGTTTATTCAATTTACCATCATCATGTTTTCATTCTTACATTTTCTTAGTGGTTGAAGGATGTATTAAAATTCACATCTTTTATTCTCATGATAATCCAATTTTTTTTATTGTAGTCATATGGAGGGTTCTTGACATCCTATGTTCTTGGTGTTAACTCTGGTGTGTTTAAACTTGGAATGGCTGTTGCTCCTGTCACAGACTGGAGATATTATGGTGAGAATTAGCAAGCAAAGTTATGCGTTTTTCTCTGATGAAGCATACTTGGATTCCCACCTCTCCCCTGAAGAAATTCAGAGTACAACAATGCATGAAATGAGTACTTCTCTTTCCATTTGAAAGGCACTGGAAGCACTCTTGTGGACAATTCCCCTAAATAAATACAAATTTTACATTAAGCAATCAACTGTGTGTCTAGCCTGCCAAAACAGCAGGAGAGTTACTTTGCTCGTTTAGTCCCACTGTATGTGGTAGCTAACTTTCCTTACAACACTTTTCTCTTTTGGCTGTTTTTGAGAAGCAAAAGATTTTGGGGTTGATTAACTTGACAATAATTGTCATTTGACTGAATGATACCATCCTTGCACCTGCTCTTTAGGAGAAACAGTTTTACTAATACAGCATCTTTTTCTTTTTTCTTTTTTCTTTTTGCAGATTCCATTTACACTGAACGTTACATGCTCACTCCTGAAAAAAACCTTAAGGGATATGAGGTAGTTTTAGTGATAAATTACTTTGATGGCTTCAAATAGAAAAACTGCATAGCTGATTGTTGAAAATCCTTACAGCTTCAAGAGTCAAGCTAGTGGCTTTTTTAACCCTCATGTCTAAATGCAAGACTGATGGCCTCAGATTCCTTTGTTTGCTGTAGCTGAGAACTTAGTGTTTTATCCAGGCAAAATCCCTTAGTTGGTAATGTTCTCAATTCTCATTACCTGTATCTGAATAGTAGTGTTTGAAAATTGCAACTTGAATTTGCATCTTGCACACTTTTGAGTGCTGAAGTGTAAACCAGTCCCAGCAAGAGACAGGGAAGACATTCTGCATTGATTTTTTCAGCTAGTACTACAAGGCCAATGCCAAAACTACTTGATTGTACTGTTTGACCTCGAAAAAGCAATATCCAAGTTGGAAGTGTATCAACTTGATCATCTGTTATTCATGAATTTCAGGCATCATCAGTTCTTAACAAGGCAAAAAACTTCCAAAATGATAGTTTTCTTCTTGTACATGGAACAGGAGATGGTAAGTTGAATCTTGTAGCAGGGTTAGAGTTTTTAATTATGTTGATGTGACCATAAAACAGCATATCTTGAGGGTGTATATTGGTATTAGAACACATGCCATTGTTCTTTATACAATTTGACTCTGACTACCAGTAAATTCTATCTCACAACCAAGTGAATAAGGCAAGTAAAAAGAGGATAAAAACCCCATAGCCTACTGGTAATGGTGCTGTGCTCAGAATCAACAAAGCATGTTTAGAGCCCAAGCTGGGTAACTGAGTTCTCCGTCCAATGCTTTTAATAGGTTGCAATAGGCTGCTAGGGAAACTTTGCTGCACCCTCTCAGGGGTACTTGATGCAAAGGGAAATGGCAGGCTGAATATTATGCATTCTAAATTCTTATTTTCATTGTTTTACTGGTTATATTATCAAGGTGAAAATTGTTGTTTAAGTTGCAGTAAAAAAAGTGTGAATGTGGTTGATAAGTAAATGAATGGGCTGTCTACAAGAGGTGGTTACAAGAGTGGTCATAGCACCCTATGCTTGCCTTCTTTGTGCTTGTGACAGCCTAAAAGTTGTCTCTCCAGAAGGCTAGCATAGGGTGAGAAGCACCCACAGGGTGAGAAGCACCCACAGGGTGAGAAGCACCCACGGGGTGAGAAGCACCCACGGGGTGAGAAGCACCCACAGGGTGAGAAGCACCCATAGGGTGAGAAGCACCCATATGGTGAGAAGCATCCACAGGGTGAGAAGCACTGAAACTTCAGTTTCTAGGAAACTTCTCAATATGCGAAAGCAAGGCTTGAGGAATGGGGCCTTGAGGTCATGTTAAAGATGATGGTATTCAACTCTACCAACAAATATTCTGGGGGGGAGGGGATCAATTGACAATAGTTACGAACAGTTCTTCCAAAGATGCAGCTTTAAAACCTGACCATCAGGCACCAGAACTGATTTTTATCAACTGAAGTAGGTGAATGTACTAATCATTACATATTGTGGTGTTTCTGCAGATAATGTACATTTTCAGAACACTGCTCAGTTAGTGGCAGCTTTGACAAAAGCTGGGGTCAAATATCAAGTCCAAGTAAGTTACGAATGACTGAAGAAAACTTGAAAATGAATGAAAATATATGGTATTAGACTTAGTAGAAAGTTGAGAAATAGGGTAAGATATTTACCGGTATATGTAGCACATTTGTTGCAAGAGTTAAAATTGGAAAATTTTCCTATCAGTGCTTTTAAATTTGGAGAACTATTTTAAAAGGGAATTTCCAGAATGTAGGTATGGGAACTCAAACCAAACAAACATTTGTTGGAGTGGTGTGAAAGTGTTTTGGAGGATTTCATAGAATTTCAATTTTGTTTTCAATTTGGTTTTCAATTTTGTTTTCAATTTTGTTTTCAATTTTGTCTGATGTAACAGTTTTAATTTTTATTATTTTCTTTTTTTGCATCCGAATGCAAGTTTCATGTCCATTTCTTACCAAACAACAGTGATCTTTCTTAATTATGTGGGACTCCAATTATTAAAGGACTTTTTTGCACAAGTTCCCTACTGAGTGAACACATTTTTAAGTAATCCTGTTTATTTTGATTATACACCTGATAGAAACAGACAGATTTTCTAATAGACTCTACTTTTTTTAGTAATGAATCTTATTCCCTTCCCACAGTTTTACACTGACAAGAATCACGGACTGTTGGGAACTGAGACACAGAAACACTTGTTCAGACTTCTGACAGACTTCCTGACAACTGAGCTTAGAATTAAATGAAATTAATGTTAAATAACTATGATGACAGAACTCACAGTTAATGATCTTTTCTCTCTACCTCAATTGCAAACTTGATTATTTGTTTCATTACCCCCCATTGACTTTGATCTGCTAATTAAATGACTAATAACAACTTGGTAACTACTGATCCATCCATTCATCAACCATTGAAATTTTAATTACTTGTGCCTCATTGTAAAATACCCTTAACAATGAGTAGCAGCAGAGAAAGGCATGATGACCTAGAATTTCAAGAACTTAGTCCTTTTCTTGTAAAGTAAGAATTTTTAAAGGGGTGGCATATATCAGTATGTGAAATAGAATGCATTTCATTTATCTATAATTTAATTGTCTTTTTTTTTAATGCCAATTGGCGCTGTATGCCAATATGTTGCATTTCAAACACAGGTCACTTTTCTGATAGACTGAACTTTGTAATTTGACCTGATCTTTATAAAAATAATAATTTTTTTTTCCTTTTTTTCAACTGCTTTTCTGTCTTGTGATATTTACTGAGAACTGTCAATTAATCATGCTCTTTCTTGTAGTTTTATCCAGACAAAAACCATGGCTTAAGTGGTGATGGAACATCATCACATCTGTACCATTTGCTCACAAGGTTTCTTGTGGAAAAATTGTCTCTAAACAGTTGATGCAAAGAAGACTGAATGGTGTTGAGCCTTGTCAAGCAATATTTCAGATATGTTAAGCTAATATTATTATTTTTTCCTTAAAAGGTCATATATTAGTTGTTAGATTTTATTATTTTTGTGGGGTAATCTAAGTAAGGCACTCTTCTGGAAAGACTGCACTGTTGGTTCCTAACTTGGAAATTTCTTTTAATATTTTTTTAAGTGGATGAATTAAATATTTCTTCATAGCAATCAGATAGTGATCATCCAAGAAACCTTTACAAATGCACAGCTGGCACAATTTTGGAGAAAGAACAGAATGAATGGTATTTTTTTTTTAAATTTGCCTTAGTTCAAGATTTTTATTGAGTGTGACATTAATATTGTGCAAAGACTGGCACTAACATTTGGTATCAACATATGTGAATGCACTACTCAAGGCAAAAGTTGCAAAATTATTAAATCAATGTAAGGGTATTTTTTTTTTAATAATTATAAATTTGACAATGTATGATGTGACAAAACTGTGCATTGTTTGAGCCTTAAAATGTCTAAATAAATAAAATCACGGAAAGTCAACGACATATTACTCTTAACTTATATTGCACCTTAGACTACTTAAACCTCCATCAGATTGTGAGTAGTACTTTTCTTATCTTATGTAATGTACACAAAGTATTGAAATGCTTGGAGCAGAATTCTAGTTACAACAATTGCAAGCAACATGTTTAACGAATTTCCAATTATCCAGATGGCCAATTATCCTTCCTCAGTATCGTAATAAACATTCATACCTATGCCAGTTATCTGAACCATATAACTTTACTAATTAAAGGGGCTAAACTTAGGTAGCTGCAATTTTGCCATTTAGCTAGAACTGTATTTTTTCCCATAATTTTTTTAAGGCTTACTGTGTTGATAAAAAAGAAGACTGTCACAAGGGTTTAATATTCAGATAGAAGGAACCAAAATGTTTGAAGATACAGTAACACAGCTTCTTTACATTTACTTTAATAGAAATTGTAAAGTTTGTGAAGGTTTTTCTTTCAACAAAAAAATATTGTTTTAACACATGTGTAGGGACCACCCATGCCAAATGTGGGCTATAAATAAAAAGCTAAATCACAAATAATGGTTACTATATCATGAGTGTAAACCAGTAATTATTGTGCTGGCATTGAATTAAATAAATGAAAAACAGTTGGGAACTGCATTTATCAACTACAATTAGTGAAACAATAATCATCATCATTTACAACAGATAGGCTGTGACTTAGTAGATGAACTAATTATGGAAAAGAGAAATATGTCTTTCATTTATGAAATTCCAAGTCCTGTCAATTAGAGAGGACTGTACTATTGTGATTAATAAATTTGCAAATGACTAAAAACGAATTCTTTGCTCTTAAACCAAAACAGCAATAAAGAGGGTTGTATCAACTGTATTGATGTGAATTGACCACCAAAGAATTTATAAAGCTGGTGTCTTGAGCATTTGCCCCATGTCAGAGAAAATAGAGCAATAGTCAATTTTACAGTTGTATGCTTGGTTGTCCATCGATATCCTTTGAACAGGAGTGAGACAAAGGGTGACCTTGTCATGATACAAATACTGCTGCCTTTCAAATGTTAAATTACTTTGTTAGTGTACTAGATTAGATTCTGGGCTCTATCACGAGGTCACCTTCAGTCTCACTCCAAATCAGAGGCTTGGCAACTATGTACACATGCAACTGTAAAATGGCCAATTATGGTGTTGTGTGTGGTTTATATACAGCAAGATGAAGCCATGTTAATGGTGGGAAAATGCATCCATTGAAATTGTGGGAATAAGAATGCCAATTTCAAAGATAAACTTTTGTTGTAGAGTCTTGTGGCTTTCATAAGTGCCTTGATGTAGGGAAAGGCCACAGACCTGTACATACTGCCATGCAACAAATTATCTTGTAATATTCCCCACCAACATAGCACCAATTTCTTGTGAAGTTTGCCCCCTTCATTCGGAAGAGCATTAACATCCTAATTAAAAACTTTGTGAAAAATGTTATCAGTCACATAAATTTTGTCCAATCAAACTTCTAATTAAAGACACCCCTGTTAGTGAAACCCCATATGTCCCAGAAGCTGACAGTAAGTTGAAGTTCAAGTCAAATGAAACGTATTCCTGAGTTCCAATGGTATGATGGTTACTGGACAGGTTAGACACTTTATCTCCCTTTTACCCAAGAGTATATGAATGGGCAATGGTCAATTGACAGGGAAAGCTAACTTCTAATAAGAGATTTATCACCCAACAGGCCATATTGTAAATTTGTGGCTGTTATCTTTGGTTTGACAGTATAGTTTGTGAATTTTCTTGGAGAGTACTACCTCTAACCTGGAGGATTCAGAGTGATAATGGTAACTGGTTTAAAAATATAAGCTCTAAAATTTAAATAGAGTACCCTGATATTTTAAATGAACTTAAATTTGGACTTTTTATTACATTTGACAGAAACAATGTGGACATATCATGTTACCATCAGAACTTTAAATATTTACAAGGAAGAAGTTCCACTGGTCACTACTGCAATGATTCATGAACTACTGGAATTTTATTTTGATTGAGTGGTGGCCCAAGTTTGAGTAGAAATGTTCTTTCTTCTTGTGCTTCCTTCTTACCATTGTCCTTTCCTTTCTATAACAAACAAACAAACAAACAAACAAAGAACATGTTTTGGAATATTATATAGGATATGGCTGTCACAGAAGATCCAACTATACAGAGTAACATTCAATAGTGGCATGTACCCTCCTCATGTGGGTACCTTTCCATCCACCAATGAACCTGCAAATACGTCAGCAGTAAACAATGTAATTTATACACACCCTCTTCATCTCTGAAACTTTTCCATCTGTTGTCATTTTCACCTTCAAGGCTCTTCAAAAATTCCACAAATATACCAATAGGCTTCACCAGGGAAGTTTTCTTGAAAGCTTAAAATTCAGAGACCATAATGGATATAAATAACTGATAACAATCTCAGTACCATGATGTTTATTAAGAGCATATAAAGTTTACTTTTTGCCAGTGAAAATATCCTGTTTAGACTTTAAATCTACAATCCCTATAACTCAATCATGGAGATAAAGTGCTCAATTGGAAATATAAACCCTCTTTACATGACCACCCTCAATTGTTTGGTTTACCATATGATTTAAATAGTTTGTCACAGTGTGAAACAATTAGACCACCCAAAACCACACCAGACCTGCTAGGATTGCTCCTTTAGGGCCTCTCAGTCTTTAGTGCCTTAAATTGAAGGAGTTTTGAAGACCTGAAATTTCAGGAACATGTCCAAAATTAAAAAAAATTGAGATATTTTGAAGACAGGCAATTACGGGTGTGGACCAAACCTGGCCTAGGCCATGGCCTACCCTATGGCCTACCCTACGGCCACCCTATGGCCTACTGGTGATCAGATTTTTAAGAACATAAAAATAAAATCAGTAAGAGTCGAACGAATACGCTGGTGTACAATTATCTGTCTCTGAAAAGGGTATACTAAGAGGTCGCTAACATGATTTTCAACGTCCGAGGGAACAAAACATTGCAAATATGACAGCACTCAACCATAATGGTAGGTTAAGGGGAGGGGAGAGGAGGGGCCAATATTGCGTGGTCGCAGAGGATGTACAAAATGGCGGCTTTATGATGCAGGCTGTCAGTTGGTAACATATAGTGGAGTGCTGGTGTAAAAATGTAATGAACGGCGTTATATTGGAGAGCATACAATCATCCGGGTAAGAAAATGCAAACATTACATGCCAGGCCAATTTTTTAAGTGCCCTCAAGTGCTGTAGAGTATTGAATTTGCAACGAGCACCCAGGGACACGCACGCATCCCTGTCGTAAACATTTTGCAAACTTTACTTGCTTTTCCAAAGAAAGGGCCAGTATTGCACTAATTTGAAAGGAGAACCCAAAAGTTGCATTTAACCGGCTTCTGCAGTTCCTTGATTTCCTTATTCTATCAGAAAGTTAAGAAATTTTGATCGGAATGTGGCCGCCAAAACAGCAGAAGAAAGTCATTGGTAAGACAGTACTCGGGAAAATGTTGAAAGGTTTCCAGCAATGCTATCCTTTTAAAAATCTGACCACCATAGGGTAGGCCAGGTTTTGTCCAAACCTGGCAATTACTGAATAAATATTTCTGTGCTACAACTAACTGTTATATATGTACCTGGGATCTTTTTCTTTTCATCTTCAATCATGTCTGGTGTATTTTTATCATGTTTATCAATTTCTTCACAAAGTTGACTAGAAGTAAACAATACCAGTTATAGAAGTTCCCAATAGGCAAATCCAAGTCAGTATGTGATCAAAGTCAGCTAGTAGTGCTCTGCATAATGGGGTTAAAGAGAATTACTGTGCAATACAGCTATCATAACTTAGTGAGGTACCACTGAAGAGGACATTTAAATGCAAACCTTATTGTTGGTACTGTAAAAGGATCAAAGGTGTCCACCTCTTGCATGCTGATTGGTACACAGACACGACCTGGAAAAGTAGGCAGATTACTTTTGAAAATAATCAGCTAATTTGCTAGTGTCTGACTGACTCAATGACTGACCAATGAAACTCAATTACTGATTTGCTACTTTGATAGAATATAACTACCTCACCCGACCAACTGACAGACTCAACAAAGGAACCAGGTTCTACTAAAAGAAACCTCAGTCCTGTGTAGTTGAAAACGGGAAACACATAGTTGGTTATCAACTGGGTGTTGGACTACAAACCACTGTGGAAAATTTTGAAAAACTATTGTTGTCTTGAGCATAATCCCCTTGTTGCAGAGATATGACTGGTGAACTGAAGAGCTTATTGGCTCATGGGCTAACAGTCTGTTTAGCTGGCTGGCAGGCTTACAGACTGACTCGAAGTAACTGGCTGCATACTTACCTATCAAAACAGTTGTCAATGAGTGACCAATTTCCCCCTCCCCTATGATGTAATAGAATGACTAGCTGGTTGACTAACAATCTCTTAACTTTGCATACAAGCATGATCCAGTTGCTGCAGATTTAAGTGATTATTTCACAGGGAGAAAAAGCCTTTTTTCTGCAGGTGTTCGCATGTTTTCTATGTCTAACTAGAACAAATCCTTCAATCCCCAAGAAATCAAGTAATGAGTTGGTATGTTACTCAAGCGACAACATTAAATATTGCTCCTACTGACCTGTCTTAGGATGAACACAGAATGGACTCTTAAGTAAATGATTAAGTCCTTTGGTGACATTGACATCAAGGCGAGGAAAACAGTACTGGAACATTATCTCATCCTTTGTTTCTTTTCTCTGCAAAATTATTTGTTATTCATTCATGATTTTCTAGTAAAGTTGTCTTTAAAGGTCACTAAAAAAGCCACTGGACTTACAGACCTGATGGCTAAATTGTAAAAAATATTGCAAAAGTATGCAAATGCTAAACTGGATTAGAGAGAATTTGCTGAAAAATCAGTAAGTTGTTAGTTAGTGAGCAATTAATATCTTAAAAAAGACATTTTTTCCAGTTTATTAACAGATCTACCCTGAATGCTCATTTTTGATTAAACAATAAACCCATAATTTACCTCAGTACAATTCTCAAGTTTCATTTCAAGTTCATCCCATCTTTCCCTTGAAGTCTTTGTTGTTGTTGACCATGACGCATTCAGTTCATTTTGTACAGCTTGTCATGTTAAGAAACCCCAGATAAATTGTAAAGAGTAGGTAACAGTTTTATTGTTACTGCACCAAGTGTATATAAGGTTATTACCGGTAGACCAGCAGATGATCAAGTGACCTGCAGTATATCATGATGGGGGAAGAGTTCTTTGTACAATTCATAACAAACGTTCACCAAACAGCATGCAGTTCAAGAATCAACTAAAAGTTAACTGAAATGGTTAAAGGATACATTCAGGTACAAGAGCAAGCATTCCTTCCCATTGTTCTTTGCAGGACAACATGTCTTGGTTTTCAATTACAAGGTCAACAAAGTGGGCTTTAAGAATTTCTAAAGATTTGCTGAAAAAGATTTAATAAGAAAATGAAATTTTATCACAGGTTTTAACTCATTGTGATCATAATCAATCAGAAGGCACAATTTTAAGGAAAACAAGTGACATATTTACCTGATGTATGGATGGTAAGGTAGATGTAGATTAACTTTCTTGATTTGACTTTCACCACCCTGTATCAAGATAAGAGATACAGGGAACCACAATTACCATTCAATAAGAAAATTTAAAGAGCACCCATGACATTCTTGACAATAAATTTGAACAAAATTTAGAAATCATATAGAATAAGCACCTTGATGACACTGAGATACTCTGCAACAGCAGAACGAGCATTCTGTGAAAGTTTCCGGGCAGATTCATCACACACCCAGCAGTGAACACCACGACGACCACTGTACACCCACAGTCTGTGTTGGAAGCCAAAGTCATCTGCAGGACAAAATGGTAACTTTGACTATTCAAGTTTTGTGTTTTTTAAGACAAAAGATCTTTAAACGAAACAACTTGCCAATCAGTAAACACAGAGACAAAGTGACTTAATGGTTGACTGATATGGCTTCCATTGGAAGTTCAGGATTTATGTGCACTTTGTTAGTTAAAGTCTTAAGAAACTTTTAGGAAAAATTAAAACAACTATTTTTTTCACAGTGATGCAGAAAATTTCTAATTTTAATATTTTTATGGAAAAATACTCAGCCAATTATGCTTTTTCAAGAATTAAACAAACTGACATATTTTTCCAGTAAGATTATATGTTGCAGTGCCTCTGACCTCTCTCTAATATAGTAGACACGACTTACTTAATCTTACCTTTAAGAGCTCTGTCGACAATCTTCATTGCAACAACCATAAACCACCAACATTTCTCGCAAATGTCTGCACCTCTGAACAAATAAGAGAAAAGGGAAGCAATCAATCAAACCATCAATCAATAAAGGCTGACAGTTTCTAAAGAAACTGTCTGGGGCTGCGTCAGTGGGGGTAACGAAATAATTTGAATATATCAACAAAGTTGAAATGGTAAATTGGCCACCGTTACGATTATAAAAGCTGACGTTTTGAGCCTTAGCCCTTCATTGTTAGCCCTTCGTCGGAGTGAACGGCTAACGCTCGAAACATCAGCTTTTATAATCGTAACAGTGGGTAATTTACCATTTCAACTTTGTTGATATATTCAAAACATCAATCAGTCATCAATCAATCAATCAATCAATAGTTAAATAAAAAAATCAATCAATCAATCAATGACTGAATCCACCATTCAATCCAATTAATTATCAACCAGCTATTCATTTTACCGATCAATTCGTAATTTAGTATGTCAAGCTGTTAATTAATAAAGTAACCAGTCATGTTGGTTAGTCAATCTGTCAATCAAGCCTGTCAATCATTATTGAATCAAGTTCACTGAAAATAAAATCTGTGGACTTGTAAAATCCAAGAAGTTATGGCAGCTAACTTTTCCTTGCAATTTTGTTACAAAGTTCACAAAACTGGTTGCATGGAGTGGACTTCCAAAGTTCATCAATTTTGAACAGTGTTGGCAAAAACACAAACAACTCTCAAGGGTTTATTGTGCTGCAGACACAGATGGCTTTCCTTCCCTGCTCTCCAAATAAACAAGTCAGTCTTCATTCTTGATAAAGCGAAATCATTTTGCTATATTATTTACCAAGCTTGTTAGGTCAAATTGGCTGGATATTAGCCCTGTTCTCATCCAGCCATCTTGACCTCACGCTTGGTCAATAACGCCTATATCTTGACTTTTAGACAGGTAACCAGTTTGCCATGTTTCTCATGCAATAGCTAATAAATTAACGATGTGACAAAATTTTTGTTTTATCTAATATTTTATAAAGAACTCACTTGCAACATGTCCTAACTTCGTCATAATCCGTCATATCAATATCAAATACTAACTCCTTCTCTTCAGCCTGAAAAGCTCCAGGTTTGATCATTTTGTGGTCCTTTGGCTGAAACAATAAAGTACGTTTTGTTTTATCACTGTTATTCTTAAACCGTTTAACAGCTTTTAAAACAATAATAAATTACCTTTTACTGGAGAAATACACTGAAATTGTAGCTTAGATGAGCTTGAATTGTTTTAACAACTTGCCTTATGCGAGAAGACGGCTCCAATGTCAATCTTGTATGGATTTCGTTTGATAATTTCCTTTTCCAGCTCTTGCTGATCGACAAATGATTGATACCTCAAGTAGACATCATCTTTGAGTGTGAAAGAGAACTCTCGGTGGACAAAATAATTCTTGGGTACTGAGAAATCAACGCAGCAAGAGACATCAGGTAATGAACACTAAGCTACGAAGAAAACATCTGAAGGCAACGTCTTGCGAACCAATTTAAAATATATCTATTAAGGAAATTCTGACCTCCTCCATATGATAACCACTGAAAGAAATACTTGTAAGGAAATAATCGTTTATAGTACTGATTGAGTAATTCAGGGAGATCTGACTGACTAAACTGAGAGGACTTCTGACTCGTTTGCAAATCTTCGGTGTCCGCCATCTTGTGAAGTAGTTTTCGCGCCAAAATTAGCCGCTGACCACTGATAGAAGTTTTGGCGCCAACCGTGAAGTGAGGGTCGAAGAGGAGTTCAAAGGCACGGCGGAACAGGGAAGAAGTGGGGACCGTAGCCCCCAAAACAAAAATTTTGGGGGGCGCCCCCTCCCATGACTTGGTGCCTAAAATATCACTAACTCAGCATAAAACTTGACAAAATATTCAATCTCCTGATCCCTGTAAAATGCCTTGTTTCAAATCTCCTTTCCTTCTGCAGAAGTGGGTTGGTTGATTGCCAAAAGAAAAAGCGTTGCAAGATGGGGAGAAGAACTTCATGGAAGGCCTGGAAGTTACTGCAATTCTCAAGATGCACCAGTATTAAATATTTAACAATTATTCGCCAAAGGCGAGGTGAATATCGTCAAATAATCCCCGAGACAAAGTCACTGAACCCGAGGCGAATAATTGTTTTAGTATAATTTCAGTGCTGAAAAACAGAGAAATTTCTAAAATCATAACATTTTAGTAACATTTTATTTTAAAGTTTTATATCAACCGCATGGAGCAGTTTATATAGTGTCAAATAAGGAACCGCTCAACCAATCAGATTGCTGGAAACTCTTTGCTTAGCTCTGAAATTATACTAATAATGAATATGCGTCTTTTTGAGTAAGGAACTTCAAATCTGGTAGTACCTTGAAACCACTATGATAATCAAAGTTTTATGAAAGACAACTAATACACTCAGTTGCAAAAATTGCAATTTTTATTCAGTGCATTTTCCCTTACATTATAATATACCCAGCACTCATATGTTTAATAACAGAAAAAGTATGCTTGTAGCATAAGTTATTGTTTATCCTGATTGAAATACTTTGATCTAGCAATAATTACAAACTAACTATTTGCATTTCCTCAACTACATACAAAAATAACTATGACTGAACTCTAAGGAAATAGGAAATGTGCCTTTGAATAAAAAAGTGAGTTTGCTAAAACAGAAATTTCAGACAATTTGATTTCTTGGATCATTTTCTGGACCATCTTCACAAAGGAATAGTTACCCATGATATTTCTTTCCAAATTTAGTAATAAAATGAAGTGTGATGTGACATTCTTTTAATACAACACAAATATCCATTACACATTTTCAAAAAAATGGTTCATAGTTATCAGTAATTGTGGATGCAGCCATCTTCATGGTTTTATCATGTTTCTATACACTCAGGTTTACAACAGCAGTTGCCATTGCAAACATGTGTTTCTGTAACTCCCATTTTTTAAGCAATATAGGTGATCGCTATTTAGGCTCACAATCCAGAAAACAGTTGAATATCAGTTTGGCGTCAACCCACCCTCCCTTGCTCTCACATAGTATATCAACAAACAGTACAACTTGGTTTGATTTTCACTGACTGACTCTACAATGTATTTGTCATGCTAGCAAAGTTACTCTGCCTAGAGAATCACCTCTTTGAAATTCTTATTCAGATTTTCCCATGTATGAAAAGGGAAAATTTTCTGATATGGAACCTGACTACAAATAAACAAAGTGTGCATGTTACACACTATTAGGTAAACTGAAGCCAGTATACACTATTGCTTAATCAGTTGAGGCAGTTACCTGAAAGAGAAACAGAGAAAAATATCTAAAAATCAATGAATTAAATTGCTCTCCTAGGAGAGTGGTGAAATCAAAGACAAACAATCAAATTAAGAAAATTTTATAAAGACTTAACACTAAGCAATTGTGATCATTAAAATCTCTAGAAGAAAATAACACTCAATACATACTCTCTTCCTCACTCCAGTTTGGTCTGTTCCATTTCCTTCATTTTCCTCCATTATTTCCTCTCCATCCCTTTCATCCTCACCATTGTCTTCCTCAGGTTCTTCTTTGATCACTTTCCTCATTTGTTGTACAGGGACTGGATAAGAGGGAACCCCCAAAATACAATCTGACAAAAATACTATACCCTGTTCACAACAAAAAGAAGACAAATACTTCCTTAGTCTCACAGTTTGCCAGCTGAAACTATCAGTGGTAAGTTTACTGTATGTCTGGTAACAGAGATAAGATCTCACTAGTGTAGCATCATGTTAAAATTTGGCCAATGGAAATCCCATGATAGCTTTTCACTCTTCAAATCTTTCTTTTGCTGATAAATTTTGTCTCATAATTATACATCATTATTCAATATCAAACTACCATTGAACCTGTATTAAGTGGTGCAGTATTAACAGTCAGTTGTCAAAGTCTGAAAATTTTTCTCTTACTGTAATTTTCACCTATGTTAAGTTGCCAGCCCTATTTAGCAGTTGTGATCACCTTTGACTGTCACAACAGTTTGTTTTTATTGTCTTCCACTTGTATTGAGTGGCCACTTAATGCAGAACCAATCAAATAAAACTGAAATAAAAATCTCTCAAGTAAAAAATTTATTCCATGTTTATCTGTAATCCCGTGAAATCACTGTTAGTAGTTTGAGTTCAAAGGTCCTTAACTCATTGCACAGTATCTTTCTGTTTTGGACTGTTAGGACAAGTATTACACACAAACATCATCTGTAAGTCATCTGTTAGTCAACCTGCATTAAGCGGTCACCCCACCACCCCCCATGGGTGACAACCATGGGTGACAACCACCCATGGTGGTTTGATTGTAAATTTTTGTATTAGGCATTACCACCTACCATTCCAAGAAGAATTCCTGTGGCCACAACCACCACACCAAATATAGTGTATGAGCCCCACACTGGCACACCATATGTCAATGTCAGAAGTTCATGCATGTTCTGTGAAGAAAGTACAATTCTTGCTTGTGGTTTAATTGATTGCTGAAAGTAACAGTATGTAAATAACACCTTCTAATATTATGACTATGAATGTGTTGTAAGTTTGACCTAAAATCATTTGGAAAATTAATATGACAGCTATAAAGAATATAATTTGACTTACTCTTAAAAATCAACCCTCTCCCCCCTCCTAAAGAAAACCCCTTGTGTATCACCCTGGGGAGAGTCACACAGATAATGAGCCACACAATACACTTGCCTCATAAATACATTTGATAAATGAGACAGTATTCTTTAATTTGGTTATATGGATACCTTCAGTAGCACAGACAACTTAAACATCAGTCCAAGAAATCCCATCCTGAGGAAAGAATTTTAATAGATACTTGTTGGTTTGTTTACAAATGAACTAGATAATAACTTCAATTACAAGGCTAATTTAAACACTACGTCTAGTAATTTAATGCTCAGTTCCTTAGACATGTGGGAGCCACCTCTGGACACTACATAATAGGGTGGCACTCAGTAACCTAGAGATGAGCTCCAATGAGGTACAGTGGACACCCACCCATTATGCAAGATCATCACAAATAATGAGAATCCAGATTTGTTCATGTAAACAATCAGAAAACTGCCTCATCAGGAGATCAAATATTATTAAAAAATTCAGATGTACATACAGATATGAACCTGGAGATTTCCACCAAGGTAAAGGTTCAATGTCCCTCCATTTCTGATCCTTTACAAAAACCATCAGTCCCTTTAATGACCTTGATCCTTTGAACTGCCGAAACTCACCATTCTTTATACTGGAGATCAATAAAACTAAATTAACATTAATGCAACTGCAACAATATATGAGCAGAGACATTCTTACGGACTTCCTTCACGTTCAGTATTGTAATCATCCCTTTTGGTCCCAGTCTCATCTCAACTAAAGATCATACTTCAGTTGAAGTGAAAACAGATCACGAGTATTTGACACATAAAGGGGAGTGACTGAAAGGGAAATACTGAAGACTGAAGGGAAAGGGAAAGGGAAAGACTGAAAGGGAAATACATCCATCAGTATTAACCCTTAAAAGTCAACAAGTAAACAAGTGGTCTCATGAATGTTTAAGTACAATATTTGCAGTTTTTTTATACTTACTGGTAAATAGTTGGTAATGATAAAACCATGAATCTTCCACTAAGTGCTAAAAAAGAAGTTAAATGATTTGCATTTGTAGGATTTCCACTGCAGTAAATAATGGCTTTAAACAAATGTGATGGGAACTTTACAAGAAAAATGGCATTCACTTCATTAACCTTAGAAAAATCTAGGAACTTACACAATAACTTATACACTATTGATTGAAGCACTATACACTCCCAAGTGTATTTCAAAACAGTGGGCAGCTGATGAAAAGCACTAGAGGTTGACTATTTCATTTGTTTAAGAAAACAGTTGCTGAAAATTGTTGAGAATTGTCTACTTTATTCCGATGGAAGAAAAAAAAAAAAAACAGAAGACCATACAATAAACTCACCAGGTTCTTTAGTTGTATCCACTTCTCCAACATTTATCCCAAGTTCATCAGCTTTCAAAGCTAATTTGGACCACACAGGACCCACTTGTTGACAGGCAGGACACCATGGGGCAAAACTATTATAAAGCAAAAGCAAAACAAAAGTCATTAAGGAAGATATGCTGTCTATCAAACAATTTTTGGGTGAGGAGTTTTACCTCAGATTACACTGCAAACAATGTGCATGAATTGTTATATTTGCCAAGATGAGGTAGGTCATTTATGTTGGTCTACTTTCACACAACAAAATGACTGTGACAAGGAATCTTGCTAGTCAAATAATGAAAGAAAAATGACAAAAAGAAGAGAAAGTCTATAAAATTTAATCCAGATATAAATCATCCTGATCAATAAAGTAAAATAAACTACATGATTTGGAGGTGCATGGTGCATGGTGCATGGTGCATGGTGCATGGTGCATGGTGCATGGTGCATGGTGCATAGACATAACTGAACTGTCCGGAAGGAATTGGTAATTATTCTCTCCACGGGAGGTAAAAGGGTATACTTAACCTTAGGCACTAATTATGTATGCATTGATTCTGTGCTATGAAAAATGCGATGAAATCTGGCCTTGAAACTCAATGATCAAGAGCAGATACAAAGCTTGAACTGAACCAGTTCGGATTTCTTATTTTAATACTATTAAACTAGAATGGCATAAGCCACGTTCCTGGATAAGTAAATTAAAGATATGTTGCATATCAACCATTCGTATAACGTTAATCCGATCTCGTACTAGTAAAATTTGGGGCCTGCCTTAGAGGCTGTGGAGCGTAAAAATGAATTTTCCTCTTAACATTTTAAGAAAAGCACTTAAATGATCTGCTGTTTCGAGGTTGTCTGATGACTGGAAAGGACACAGCGACAGAAAGTAACAGACCGCGTAATTAACTCACCCATCATCAGACAAATAATTGATCACTCCGATCTTCTTTACTTACAATTTAACCATCCATTCTCCTTCTAGAATGTGGTGCCAGTTGTCACTTGTAATATTCTTAACTGGAGGTATTACTGGAGCCTTGGCTGAATGCAAAGGAAAAAATGAAATTACTGCTACAACGATTAATGAAGTAATTCCCGCTTTCGAGGTCGCCATGATTTTATCCGTGAGCCAGCACACTAGCTGGTGGAGTCTCAAAGATTTTACTCTTGAGAACATGCGTCAAAATTTTCAAAATGGCGTCCTTGTCTCGCAGTCGTCCATCGATTTCTTCTTTACGTAGATGCACGAGTTTATTATTGGTAAATCTTCCGATCTTTTACGCTGTTGTAATAAAAGAAGCATTCAGCTAATGTTTTTTTGTTTTTGCAGGTACAATCGAAGAACCATATAGTTCAATCGGCTAAATGCACGAGAACGATATGCTGTGCTGACTCTTTGCAAGCCACCAAAACTAGTGTGTGAGTATATAAGCCGGTGTTTCATGCGAATTTCATTCGTCTGCCATTTTCCGTTTTTCAGAGAGGATACTTTGGGTTCTCTGAGTCCTCAATAATGATTTGAATTCTACATCGCGTGGACTATGTGAACATTGTTATGAAATGAGCAATATCAAAAGCTTCGGGTGTTGCGAAAACTAAGACCCTCGAAAACGAAGACCTAAGACCTGTCTTAGTTTTGGAGATTACGAAAACTAAGACCTCCTAAAATCGAATCCGTCGAAATATAAAGTCAAATTGTAACCAAAACAGGTCTAATCTGTCAAATTATCTCCTGTCTGATCCTTTCCACCGAGTTTTAGGTCAAATTTAACGGTAAATTTAGTTTTCGTAACTTCAAAAACTGAGACCCCTCTTAGTTTTTGTAATTACGAACACTAGGTCCCCCACCAAACCATTTTGTAAAATGAATAAAGGCTGATAGTTTTGAAAGAAACTGTTTGGGGCTGCATCGGTGGGAGTAACGAAATAATTTGGATATATCAACAAAGTTGAAATGGTAAATTGGCCACCGTAACGACAAAGGGCTAACGCTCGAAACATCAGCTTTTGTAATCGTTACAGTGGCCAATTTACCATTTCAACTTTGTTGATATATCCTAATCATTCTGTAAAATGTCTGCAAAGTCAAATTACGACCTTTCAAAGACTATTCAGTGAAGGTGGATGTTTTCTTTGTGTAGTTACCAAAATGAAGACCCCGAAAACGAAGGACCCCACCAAAACGAAGACCCCCTACCAAAATGAAGACCCATTACAAAAACGAAGACCCATTAACAAATTTGTTATGGTCATGAGACACACTACAAAAACGAAGATCCTTATGGAAATCTTGAATTCTGAATTTGGCATGTCTGTAATTTATTACGGAATATTTCAACAGTAGAGCACTATGGAGCCTTAAATGGGACTTCTTTAAAGCTAAAATGAGATTTAATCGAAGAGATATGACATGCACATGGAAGATGCGTTGCTTGACGCTTTAAGCGATGTAGGTAAAGATAACATTACAAAAGACAACTGTCAAGAAGAACATGTGGAATTCATCTATTCCATCAACTAAAATAGGATAACTGTATTGATTTGATCTTAATTACGTTTCCTTAGCTCTTTCTTTTCAACATAAAACGAATATATTAAGTGAATCAAATGTCTCCAGTTGCAATCGTTTTGTTTTATTTATAAGATCGTGTCGGGCGAGAAAATCTGTTGTCCCTTGACAGATACACTTGTCATCCTATTTCGTAATTGAATGTTGCGGTAGTAAGTTGTCAAATGACTCTCTCCCTATTCTCAAATGTCTAAGGAAAAAGGCTTCAGGGAAGTTGCAATTTCAAACCAGGATTCTATAGGTCGATGGTGGTGTCGACGTTTGTTGAGCCACTGAGTTGAAGTCTCCATGATCCGACAGAGGGATAAGTGTATTACCACTAGATAGCCGAGAAGACTGTGAGGAGGAAAGACTACTTACTCTGCTATTCTGCTGTCTACCATCAGGAGTTTTAAGAAAGAAAATAATCAATTTGTTGTATATTGCACTCTCTACATCTCCCACCTCTTCAACATTATTTCTGAGCACCTCCCGTCTGTCCATGGTTATGCTGATGACATGCAGATTTACCTCTCCTTCTGACCTTGCTCTATCCATTCTGAAATTAACGCTGTCTCTGTGATTGAGAAGTGCATTGTTGATGTTCATTCTTGGTTTATTGCCAATTGTTTAATGATAAATGATGCAAAAACTGAGTATTTAATTATAGGCACCCATCAACTACTTGAAAAAACATCTATTGAATCTATTGTCATTGGTGACACCTTTAAAAAGTGTCCGGAACCTTGGGTCCTGGTTTGATGCCCAAATGTGAATGAATGTTCATATACATAGGATTTGTAGGAAAGCTTTTCGTGGATTATACAACATAAGATAGATCAGAAAATTCCTTACTGTTCAATCAACTAAGATACCAGTCCACGCCTTTGTATCCTCACACCTTGAGTACTGTAATGCACTTCTCTTTGGTCTACCTAAATATCAACTCAATTGTTTGCAGAAAGTTCAGAATGATGCAGCTAGAGTGATTTTTCAGATTGCAAAATTTGATCACATCACACCCGCACTTATCGACCTACATTGGCTCCCAGCAACATTCAGAGTTCTGTTTAAATTGCTCCTCCTTGTTTACAAGTCATTATTACACGACTC